TTTATCAATGTGTCAACATACCACGGGTACTTTAAAAACTTGTCCAGTAGTACATTTCGCCTCCAAGATATGATAATATAATTAAAACTTGTGTCTGTCCCGCGATCATTACCGTTGCCAAGCCGTTTACAAGTCAAGGTAGTACAAGTATGTACCGACTCTAACATCAAAACCTGACGCGATGGCCTCTGCTAGCGCCCTGCCAAGCCTCAGGGTCTGGACTAGTTTTTTTTGGTTGGGATGTTTTTTTCTCTCGCAATCTGGCTCTGACTCTTTTTTCACATACAACTCCAACTAACAACGACCGACTTCATTGACATTAAACACTACCCCACATCTCATCCGTCCCACCCGCAAACCCTTGCCAAACCATAACAACAACAAGAAGATGGCTACCCCCGGCTCTCCAGTTAAGAAGCGCCCGAGGACTCAGTCGCTCCCGTCGTTGCCTACGCTGACGGCCGAGCAGGCAGTGCCAATTGCTTCTGACGATAAGAGCACCAAGAGGCTCATTGTTGTGCTCGCTCAGGCATGCTTAGAAACCCATAAGATTTCCACCGGTGGTGCCAATGGCGGCGAGAAGTATGTTCTTCTTAACTCGGACGATCATATTGGTGTCCTCAAGAAAATGGGCCGGGACATCAGTGATGCCCGTCCAGATATTCTCCACCAGGTTTGTCCTTTACCCCTCCCAAATGGTTAGATGAATGGCCTTGTTTTTTTATTCTCTTATATGCATGAATCCTTGCGACTCCATGAGAATTGCAATTTCATCTATAAACAAGCAATAGATGGATGACTACTTTTGCTTAACTTCTGTTACTGGCGAGCGGTTCAACCCTCTCTGTCATGTGTAATTTGCTTCCCAAGCTAACGAGCACTTCCAACAAGTGTCTCCTAACCCTCCTCGACTCCCCTATCAACAAAGCTGGCAAGCTCCAAGTCTACATTCAGTCCTCCAAGGGCGTCCTCATTGAGGTCAACCCTGCTGTACGCATCCCGCGTACCTTCAAGCGTTTTGCGGGTCTCATGGTACAGCTACTCCATAAGCTTTCAATCCGCTCTACGAGCTCGTCGGAAAAGCTACTCAAGGTCATCAAAAACCCTGTCTCACAGTATCTCCCTCCTAATTGCCGGAAGGTCACCCTATCATGGGAGGCTCCGGTCATGAACGTGAGGGAGTATATTGGTGGGTTGGGTGAAGAGGAGAGTATCTGTGTAGTTGTGGGAGCCATGGCGAAGGGTAAGGATGACTTTGCAGACGGATGGGTGGATGAGAAGATTGGTGTGAGTAACTACTCGCTCTCGGCGAGTGTAGCTTGCAGTAAGTTTTGCCATGCAGCAGAAGACTGTTGGAATATCCAGTGAATGGAGAGATGTTCCTGCTTCTCCTCCCTTACCTTGCTCTTTTCATTTTTATATTCATTTTCAGGTTTCAGAAGCGTTTGACGAGAAACTTCTTTTCATGCATTGTGTTAGTTTGGTTCCTTTCTTTACTCCCATCCTTCCTACCTTATTTTACCCGAGAAACGCGGGCAGATCAGGCAGTTGCTGGGGGATTGATACTGGCGTTCAACAGGCAGTTTAGGAACCTAGTCTGTAATTTCTTTTCTCCTTTTCCTATTTTCCTGATATTTATTATCTCCTTTTTTATTTTGTTTTTGCTGGTGGAAAACTATGTATGAATTATTTTTGCTTTCTGGGAGAGGGATTATGAGGGATACTAGGATGGTAGATGTACTAGGGTCTAGGATAGATACGTACTCAACGTATGTGTTTATTTACGCTTAATACAGACAATTTTTTGCGTAATGTTGCACAATACTGCCCTGCCTGTCTCTTGAGGTTATCAGCTGGTGAATTTAGAGATTTCCAATCAACACCTGCAAAGCACGCTTAATTGGAAGACTGGACAGAGCCCAGTATCCAGGTACAATGGTTAATCATAATAATATCATCCTCAACCCTATTCTTGAGTCAGACAAAGTTCATGTTTTGGTAGTTAGGTCGATTTCGAGCATTTAAGCCATATCTACAAGTAGATATAAATATAGGAGATAGCTGTTTTAACTCACCTTAATACTCTAGGGCTTTATTAAGCGCAATGCAGCTCTAGTAATTAAATATTTTACCAAGAGGGCGGAACGTCCTAACTCTTTATAGAAGATATAAAGTACATAATGAATTCAATCTTCCGTAAACGCAAGAACCAAGAATAGTGGATGGATACATTGTGATCACTGATATTAAAAAATTAAAGCTCCCTTTAGGGTCGGATCAGACCGATAAACGTTCTCCAGAACCGCCTACATGATTACGCCAAGCTACTTGTATGTAGACAATACGGATATTCTGCCAGTCATGCTAGCAGTAGATGCATGACCGTTACAAAAATTCGGCCTATTAATCTAACTCGAGAGTCGAGCCTAAGGTTACAGGAATTATATTGCCCTACTAATCTCATGGAGTCTAATCGAAGGGACTACGCATAGGGTCTGTGTGACTCGCAACTACTCAGACACGTACCCCGACTAGATACCATCACCATTATAAATTTCAAGTGCATAGCGCACACCATATGATATCCTTCATGCTAATTATAATCTAATAAAAGACCTGAGTTACACTCTGTGTGGATATTAGATCGTGGTCCTGATCGCTATCTAACCGCACACGCCGTTCTATGTACATCCACCCATTCCCTGTGTCTAGGACGACGATGCCTACTTCCTAGATCTTGCACTCAAACCCAGGTATCTAATGTTAGGGTTAGGGTTTCTATTAAAAAAAAAAGTAAATTGAGGCTATCCAGGTCAATGACGCCATTAGTGTGGGGTGTGCAACCAGAAAAAGATGCAGTGCAGTTAAACATTTCTAAGCAGCTTAGATGAGCGCTAGCAGAATCGCAGTTCACAACATCAAAATAAAACCCAGCTACCTTACTTCACAATACCCAAAATCCCCTACAATATAGAGCTCTACAAAGCTCAGACATCCCATAAAAATGCTGGAAACAATCCCCCACGTCATCCTCGTAATTCACCCTTCAGACCTCCTTGAGCTCCAACTGCAGATAGCACCTATATTAATGCATGGTGGACGCACGCACCTAGGTTCTCTCCGGGAAAGGCGGTGTCGGCAAATCCTCAGTCACGGTCCAGCTCGCCCTCTCCCTTGCACGCGCTGGCAAAAGGGTCGGCGTATTGGACGTAGACCTTACAGGCCCCAATATCCCACGCATGTTCAATGTCGAGGATGAAAAGATCCGACAAGCGCCTGGCGGGTGGGTTCCTGTACGGGTGGGGGAGCGGGAAGAGGGGCAGGAAGATACAAGGATCCAGCTCATGAGTCTAGGGTTTCTGTTGAAGGATCGCGGCGACAGTGTGGTGTGGAGAGGCCCCAAGAAGACGGCCATGGTTAGGCAGTTTGTTACTGATGTGCTCTGGGAGGATGTAGAGTATTTGTTGATCGATACACCCCCGGGTGCGTTTCCCGCTTTCTGGTTCTGTTGTGAGGAATGTTGGGGGTTAATGAGATGTGGTTTAGGGACCTCGGACGAGCATATTTCCTTAGCTGAGCAGCTGCGCAATGTTAACCCGGACGGTGCAGTGATTGTTACTACGCCTCAAGCAATCTCGACAGCTGATGTGCGTAAGGAGCTTAACTTCTGTAAGAAGGTTGGGATAAACGTCCTTGGCGTGGTTGAGAACATGAGTGGCTTTGTGTGTCCTCACTGCAGCGAGTGCACAAATGTGTTCTCGTCTGGTGGGGGGCTGGTCATGGCAAATGAGTTTGGAGTTGAGTTCCTGGGGAAGGTACCAATTGACCCGGCGTTCAATATGATGATTGAGAGTCAGGGGAGCTGGGAGGGTAAGGGCGGACTAGTACAGAGGTATGGTGATAGTAGGCTGTGTGGGGTGTTTAAGGAGATCACGGAGAGGTTAGTCGTGAAGGTGAGTCCGCCGGAGAAGGGCGGGGAGGATAAAGTTTTATGAGATGTTGTTGGCTTGAATTAATGCATAAGTGGGTGTTTGAAGCGCTTGATTGGTTGGGAGATATCAATTTTTGAAGAGTTCATATCTTCTCTAATTTCCCGAGTGAGCGTGCATGATCGAAAGCTTTTGCGTTTATTTATCTTTCTACTTTGCTCAATGGGGGCTTTCTGGACTGTGTTTTGTAATATCTCCCTTTAATCATCACAGTATATAAAGCTATCAACCTTCCAAGCATCTTTACCATTGGCCTTTTATATGCCCTGAAGTTTACTTCAGGGTTAAGTGGGCACAGGACTCCAGGCATCGCTTAGTGATTGCTTTAGTCATCATCGTGCTAGCTCAGATCATTCAAAGGCAGCTGCGTTACTCCTACACGCAGTATTCCTCCATTCTAGAAGCTACATGTAGTTTTGACCTTAATTGAGCTCATGAGCTCATGAGCTCGTATCCACAAAATGGGCCGCCAAACAAAACTCATTTTCCATGAGTTTGGAGGTGAAATTACTTAAACCTGAGTAGCAGAAATAGTATCATTTAGGCTGCGTTCGGACCGCCAAACCTTTCTGTAAAGCGAGTCGGGGGTGGTGAGGTTTTGGTTTCCTGAAAACAATTACCTCGAGTTATAAGTAATTACTATCATCGACTACTTGATCTTCACATTGCTCCAACCAGCCTAATAATAAGTGCTATTTTACTAGAGTCGACTTTATGCTTCAGGGCGTAGCGCAGCTCCACTAGCTATAGTTGGATATTGCATATGGATACATATACTTAGGGCCCGTTCGGCAACATGACAAAACGAAGCTCTCAAGGGCCAACCCCCGGAGCCCCCACCTCCGCAAACGCCGCTCCGGACCGTTGCCGAACGGACCCTTAAGTAATCAAGGCGGCAGCTTAGGCGCCATTTAGACACATATATAATACATACAAAGTACTTACTTATACCTACGTAACCCCACTTGTGCTTTCTATATTCTATCTTCGAAATCGTTCCGTCAATCAATTATGTCAGACTCTAATCAGTCTTCCATACCTACCATCAAACTCAAAGAAGGAGAGCCAGGTATCTCCAGCCTTTCTCCAATCGGCCTTGCATTTTCTGAGGCAATAACTTATATAAACCACCACAAGCGCCTGAATCTCGAAGAAGACGCCCGCAAGTGGCTCATCGATGCCGCGAGCTCCATTATTGAACGCCTAAAAACGGAATTGGAGGGACTCTACCAAATCACCAGTAGAGGAGATTTGACTAAAGTCCCTCTTTGGGTAACTAGACCCAGCGAATGCTTGTCCATCTTTATCAAATGCCCACCCGCACTATCGAAACAGTATTCCCAAGAAATTGTGAGTTTTCTAGATAGCCTCATGTATGCTTGTGGATTCTCAAGCGAGATAGAGTTCACTTCGCAAGTTGAAATCTCTTGCGATATATGGTTCCCTGAGGCTGGAGAAGAGGGAAAATATACAGACCCAAATGCTAGAGATAAAATTTTCGATAAATCTTTCCAAGAGAAGCTCGTTGCCAATATCAAAAAATTTCTGAGGAGCTGAGAGGATAGAGATCAATTGGAGGTCAGGATTCCTGAAATGCTCAACCCCAGTCTTTTGCTCATATTACTTACACTGACTCAGGGCTACTATGGACTGCCACAGGCATCCCCATCACGAAAAACATTTGGAGCCAATTTCAAAGATGGAAACACCGACTAGAGCGAGGAGACAGTGAGGCGCCAAGCGAACCGAAAGAGTTGGAAATGGGCTGGGGTAACCTAGGGGAGGAATGATAAGAAAGCCAGATACAGGAAGATTGTTTGAGAAAAGGTAGAGACTGTTATGGAAGGATTTCTATGTTACTGTTCTCATTTTCATTTTCAGTTCATTTTCATTTTCATTTTCATGTTATTTTGGTACGTCAGATACTGTCATAGCTTACGGGCTACATACGTCAATTATTGAATTATCAATCAATCAATCAATCATTACACCGACTCCGGTAGGAGGAAAGACGGAAGGAGAGACAGAGCCAAAATTGTTTGTTATAAATAGTTATTTTGTTTTATTTCTTTATTGTTGAGATGGCGGTGGATGTAGGGTAGTGCGATATTGCCATAGCTTAATAATTATAAGGGGCGCTGCATACAATTAATGAATTAAAAAAAAAAAAAAAAAAAACACCGACTCAGGTAACCGAACACCATCTTCGCACAACAACCCAGCTTCTAAACCAATTTGAAACGCGAGGAGATGAGTATATCTATTTATCAAAGGGTTGTTTTTTATAAGTCGTTACCACTAGTGATACACACGACACAAAGAAGTCTCGAGACTTTGTTTAGAGAAGACGAGACCTGTAGTTGGGCAAGACAATTAGTCTCAAGACTCAATTCAGCAGTCTCGAGACGTCTCGAGATAATGTAAAATGTTGAAAATTGGAGTATTTTCCAGGCGGAGGGTTTAATACGTAGATTGATACGTGTACAAACTCAAGTTAAAACTTATCTCTAGAGGTGGAGCTGTGGTCTCGAGAAATGGCTATCAATAGTGATTTCCCTTTTATTATGTCCACATAATCAAGGGGCGACCCTGATTCTTCGCTACGTCATGTATACAGCTTACAGAAAATACTAAATAACCTGGATCTTGGGTCATTGCCTTGTCTATACTTAGAGCTGGATTTTCTTTCTTATTAACTTCTTAATTGGCAAATATCTAGGAGTATACAGAATATACAGCACCGGGAGTATGTATCGATGTCCCTTCGGTGAGACCAGAGGGCTACTTAGACTAACCCACGGAACGCCCGGGCTAGTAGATTTCAGCCCGGGCTTTTAACTGATTTGATGGGCCTATGTGTTCGGTGTATAATTTTAGATTTGGACTAAGACTAAAAGCTTTTCCCCATCAGTATCCAGTTAACTTCATCCTTATATCGCCTCTTGAATAGATCATTACAACCTTCTCGGGCCCATATAGATTCGCTCTATCCCGGGCCGTGACTAAACGGGCTGGGCCAGGCTCTACCTATATTTGGCCCAGGTCAGCCCCGTTATCCCTCTGGGTGAGACTACATGTACATAATAAAACCCATCATCTTTATTCTTGAGAATATTAACTAGTTAAAAATAACAGCGGCAGATCTTGGGCGCATAATACATTTAACTTTACGAATATTTATAAGATGGAAGCTATGCACTATCTAACCTCTATATTCCCTGTATATTCTCCCCAGTATTAGCCTATTCCACGGTATCTGCGCATGCAGATCTCACGAGTGATAAAACATGATTAACGTGGGCAGATCTAGACCCAATGAATCCCTCCATTCTCCACCAAGATCCAACACCTGATGCAGCCTAGCTAGAATAAATCCTCAATATCGCTCCCTGCATTACCGCGGGTGAGTATGGGCAGGTAAAAAGTACCGGACAATGCAGGTTTTTGGTTCACCAATGGGTGCGCGTGCTAGGCGTGAGCTACTGCAAAAAACCCCAGAGACAAAACTTGCATTGTCCGGTACTTTTTATCTGCCCCGAGTAGACACTCGCGCACCCGGGTCAGTCGCGCACCATAGAAATTGGCCAACGTTGATTGGTTGCAATGATTGAATTGGTTGTACCCTAATGCGCGGTAATCTTGGATGCCTAGAATCGCATACACACGTGACATGACACATATCACATAAACGTATATAAAAACATACAAACATCAGCCTTGAGGTCCAGTCAAACCCTCCTCACTCCCCTGAGCCATAAATCATAGAGACCATCCATCATGCTTGATAAACCATCCAAAGAACCAAAGTTCCCCGATCTCTCTCAAATCGGCCTTGCGTTTGCTCAGGCAATTACCTACATCAACTACCAGCCATCCCCGGATCTAGACGAAAATGCCCGCCAGTGGCTTATCGAGGCGGGGACGGAAATAATGGAACAGTTAAAGACTTCTCTAAACTATCTCCAAGAAAACAAAGATGATCGCATCAAGCTTCCCGCATGGGCATTGGACCCCGAAAAAGAAATGGACCTCTTCTCTCTTGAGGTCCCATACACCCTAACTGCATACAAGGGTCAGTTCGAGACATGTTTGGTAAATCTATTAGAGGCCTGCGGTTTTGATGTCACACCAATGTGCGGTGTCCTCTGCTCCAAAATATGGGTGAAAATTAGGTTTCGTGAAGCCGGGTTAAGGAGACCTACAGAAGCTCATAAACCCGGAGAGCTCTGTTCTGACATGGTTTTCATGAAGGAGTTCTACGATACCATGAGCGAATTGAGGATAACGCAATGAGAAAAATATAGAATCGAAAGAGGAAACCAATTGAATGTGAGTTAGGGCCCTTAAGAACATTTTCAGTGACGTACATATGCGTTTTATAGTCCACTCCACTCACATTATATCACTCAAAGCAATTAAGCAGTATCCTCCTCCTCCAGGGCGTTTTTTTTCTCAATCGCGAATGCTTCAAGAGTACTGGGGGGAATTCGTAATTTTTTATTTGTTCATATTTTTCGTACTGCTCTGGTATCCAATAAAAAGTTTGCCAAACAAGAAAAAAAAAATCCTCCATTACAAAGCAAAAATCCACCCAGCCACAATGACAACCCCTTCAACCCACCATCCAGGAGCATTCCCAACCGCCACATTCGACACCTGCTGCGAAAACGTTCCTGCGGGTGCGGTGGTAGTCGATGTGGAAGACCGTGTAGTTACAGTCAACGAGCCAGTTTCTGAGTTCGTGGTAGTTCTATTCGTGGACCCTCCAGACGATGCGCCAGTTGCCCCCGAAGCAGAGGTCGAAGAGGAAGCAGATGTTGTGGTGGAGGCAGAAGTAGTAGTAGACGGCGATGTTGTGGGTGTCGTCGCCACTGAAGCCACAGTTGGACTAGCAAATATTTCCGTAACGGTCGAAGATCCAGTTCCACTGGGAAGTGGTAGTGGTGTGTTTGTGCATGCCTTGATGAGATCGTCGTCGATGTTGAACCTTTCGCATTCGGGGGTGGAGGAGCAACTACAAAATTCGATATCAGCACATGGATCTCAAGAAAAGTCCTTTCCAACTGCAGGGTCATGTACATACCGTTCAACGATATCGCGCCAATACTTCGAGCACGGTACGAGCACCTGGTCGTTTCCAATCAAAGGACACTGCGCACATGGCCCGTTATCCTGCGCATACACGGCCACACATAAGAGCGCGAGGGCGCAAAGAAACGCGTTCAAAATGCTATTCTTCATAATAGCGGCGGATATAGTATACTGATAGTAGTGATGATGTTCATTGTGCTGGGGTATGGGCGAGGCTATATATCTAGGCAGTTATGTGTAGAGTAGTTTGGTTTGTGGGGGAGGAATATAAATAGATCGTGGGCTGAAAAACCAGAAAAACTCAAAACCCACAGACACATCACATGTGCATGTAACCATCGACTCACTGTTTGGACCCAATAGAATGAAGGCACCTTCAAGGTGTGTATGGAATCGTCATGCTTGACGTTCATGTATTTGCTTTGTGGTTTCGTCTAATTGTCCTGGACATGAACGTGGTGGAGTTTACCGATGACTGAGGTTCGGCAGTGGATCGATACACAGGAAAAATATAGGAGCCGTTTTAATTGCAACGGGAGCTCCGCTAGTGATGATGTTAAGTGTGAGGTACACTGACCTGGAATGCAAGCCAAAATACGTACTACACGGCAGGTTCCATGAGTGAGACGTAAGGGGTGTGTACAGGTGACCGAGGAATACAATACACTTCCCTCTTATCAACCAGAAAGATTTGTGGAACCATCGAAAGTCGACTTTGCCAACTTGTCCAGTGAAGCGAAACAGTAAAAGGATATGTGGTATGGGGTGGGGGCGCTAACTGTCCCTTGTGTTAACGTTTGTTGCCAAGCCATTATTATTAGCTCCCAGTTGGTTAGTAGAAAAAATGTCTCTTTTGGGAAACCCTGCGGTATTTGCCCAATTGCAATATTACATAAAAGTTCCTCCATGCACTGTAATTATAATCCCTAGAGCTTGGAAGTTATATCTTTGTAGAATCAAAATCATTAGTCCCTTCCTTTCGACTGTGGTCCATTGACCATGGAGCTTGGGGATCAATTGGCATAACACATGTATATACATGTAACCAACTAGTGCTAATTCAGGCTCTAGAAAGTACCAAGTCAGACTCTATGAAGTACCGAATCACAATCGATGAAGTACATGTAGTGGTATCGAAGTGCCGAATCAAAATCGATGAAGTAGTGGTAACGAAGTACCGAATCAGAATGTATAAAGCAGTATTGAATTACTGGCGATGTCGACAATTCTATGGGGTGTTGTGAACAAATTTGGTTGTGAATAGGCTTAGGTCTGACACTACTGGGTCGAATACGTTACTGGTAGTAATGATAGATCCATAGTTCTTTCAGCAGGCTACCAGCCGCAAACTCTGGGACGTAGGGAAATAGATATTTGTGTTTCCCTTTCTTTCTTTCTTCCTTCCTTGAAGCCCTCCGCCTCCCCCTCCTCTCGGCAGGTTTTTGGCCAATCAGTACCCGTTATTTGCGAATTCATCCTGACCTTTTATACTATAGGAGATTGGACCTCGATAAGCACATGTACCCATTGCTAGAATCAACCCGAAAATTCGAACTGTCAGAGGCGCGAAGGACCCCTTGCACGTGTCGAATAAGATGCCGTCCATAACCCCGATAAATATTCGGACAGCCAATGTTTCAGCAGAATCCAGCACCTCTGTCTCGTATCTTTGCCCCAACGGTATCCTATCAAATAGGCTATCGACAAGATACCCTCGAGGTAATGAAACGGAACAGATGCATTTGACGGTACGTTGAGTCGAGAGAATCACAACGGGCTCCACACGGGCAGCAGTCCGGCTATTGGTGACACTGCCGTTGCCCTAGCATGGGGTAACTCAGTGACGAACGGGGCTAAAGCCTACCTCCACCAAGACGGCATTTATATGCTCATCGAGGGCATTCTAATCGTTTCTTTAGGGACAAACACACATCGCTATCTAAGTAGATACTTTCAGGGGTTGGTAGAGCTCCTAGAGCCCGAGAAAGAGGAAACAAATTCCGACAAGGATGCTTTACTTCTATCCATGCCGCGAGGTCATCAAAAGTCCATCGCCTTAAACGACTGATCCTTACCCCACGTCGACAGGAAGCCTGTAGCGAGAGAGGTTAATATTTACGTACAGCCAACCAGCAATCGACTACGTATTTAAAAGTACATACCTCTCTCCAGAGCGCTCCACGCTCAGCCAGCTCATACCGACAACGATATCTACCAGCATAGACGTTCCATCCCTGCTACCTTGATCCATGCTGCGTCGGTTGAGATCTCGAGTAATACTGCGGGTTTCGTTCCGTTGTAATCGAATCGCGAGGTGGTTGTAGTGAGCGGATAACCCTAAACTCTAAACTCTAAACCCTAAACCTGACTAACTGGCCCACTCGCGCATGATGGGGAAAGCGCAAGCGCCGGGAGAGGCTGAACTGAGAACAGCGGGCTTCTAGAGGCTTCTTTCGGTCATGCAGACGTCGTAAACAGGGATGTCTACACAGGACAGGGAAGTTTCCAAGGAACGTTGCTCTCCGAGGAAGGATTGGACTGGCGGAAACGAGTGATATCTGGTGCTTGGTGTCAGGCGAAGCGGTGGATGAGAGACTGTCAATGATTTGTGAGAGAATCTTTGTTTTTGCTTATGCCAATGTTTTTGAGGCTGCGACTTGAGTTATGTTGCGTGTACATTTGCTGTAAGGCATTGTCGGTAGACGTACCGCTGTGTACGAGTCCAAGGCTGATCCTCTGGCTCTGATAATGTGAATTACGAATCTCCAAGAGTGACTCGGGACTAAATAGTGTCGAGGAATGTTACCATCACCAACCTACTTTTTCCATTTTACTTGGATTACATGCAGCCTTTTTGTGGAGGAATGAAAGGGTCGATTTCCCAAACCTCGATGGGCACATACACGCACCATGCAGCTATGTAACAGCCAGTCCAACATGCGCAACCAAATCAACCAAATCCAGCCCGCCCGCCTTTTTACGCCTCACCGGATTCTCATTGGCTACCACTCCACCGCTTCACACACACACACACACACTTCTCAGCTTTTTATCTGGTAGGGCAACAAGCACCGCTCCATGCGTCGCCGGTCCAATTAATGATCCTGCGGGAGGGCCACAAGTTACAACCAGAAAATCCCACAACCTGACGCTGACCCACAGACGAATCGGGTTCCTGCATTATGTCGAGGACTTTTACTACTATATTTAGCAACATCGCCGCTCCGCTCGCTCTTTAAACCTTCCGTTAGCTCAATTCGAAGGTTTTGGGTTTTTGATGAAGAAAGGTCTTAAATCACCCCGCAAGGAAGTCCACCCGAAGAGTTCCACGTCTACACTTTCGCTCCTCCTTCCCCCTTCCGGGTGGGGGGGCGAAAAAGACGGTTCTCCGACCAAAGCCAAAACACCCCCGCCCGAGACAGAGAGGTTGATCATCGGGGCCCCGAGTCAACAAAAACTCCCAGCCGCTGGTGATGGGTCAAAGTACCCTAACCCAGCCAGACTCGCTGACTCAATTGACTGCCTGACTAAACAACGATGACCCAATCAATCGGTCCAAACCACACCATCACTTGACTTGACATCTCCGCGCACAAGTCCGCCGCCACCCGACGTTACACCTCCACTCCCGTCCGTGTTTTGCGGGGTGGGGTGGCTGAACGCAGACAGGGCGATCATGCGACTAGCATCGTTAGACCGTGATCAGAAACCCCAGCACCTTAGTTGGTATTCTAGTCGTGGCAGTCATACCATATCACTCGTATGACGATACCTTCGGTACAAAGCCCCAAGCCAATAACGATCGAGTGCCCGGAAAGCAACCAACCAAACGAAAGGGCATTCGCCAATGCTGCTGTTGAAGGGTCGGATAAACGGAACAAGGATAATCCTACATAAGCGAGGATCAATCAAAAAAAACCAAAAATCAAGCAAATCCAAGGCAGGCGACTAAGTACTCCCCCAGAGCAGAGTAAAAAGTAGACTAGCATGCATAACCAGGCTGGTTGGATGGATGCAGGATGCCCGCTGGCCGGCGGGATCTCGGCCTATGACGGTGTTTTCCCACTTCCTGGTATCACCCACCTCTCCCCACTGGAAAACGAAGTTCGGGCTTCCGGCATGCGGTATGTATGCAGGTCTGCCCTTCTGTTATGATGGAGAATTTCGTCATATCTAAAGAAACATGATCGATTGTGGATTGCCTTCTGGAGTTGATCATCTGGGAAGGTGTTTGGTCTGGTCATGCGGCCAACTGCGAGGGAAACAAGCGTTACACGTGGCCTGCATAGACATCTCGACGATTTTTCCTTGATTTTTGAGCATTGGTGAATGTGCTGGGTTTCAGGATGGTAGTTCTTGGTAACCAATGAGGCGCGCATTCGGTTGTCACAACAAGACATGTCAATGATAAACAGCATATTATTTTTTTATTCATTAATTTGTATTGTTCTCAAGCTACATTACTGATATCGGATATTCGCTCATGATTAGGACAAAAACAAAAGAGACATTAACTACGTTTCCATCATAAAAGTTCCATCACCAAGTCCATAAGACCTTTACAAGAAGAACAAAGAACCGATGATAGCAAAGACACCAGAAAGAGCCATAGGGGCACCGTTCATGCAAGCAGCGCCGGTGGTGGCGGTGGAAGTAGGAGTGGCAGACTCAGTAGTAGTGGTGGAACGGGTGCGGGTGGTTACAGAGCTGGAGGAGGTAGCGGTGGAGGTGAGGGTGGTTGAGCTGCCATTAGTTCCAGTGGTGGTGATAGTGGTGGTTGACTCGGCAGGAGCAGTGGTGCTGATAGTGGTGAGGGATCCATCACTGGCAGTGGTGGTATACTGGTAGGCCTGGCCGGGAGTAACAGTGCTGAGATTAGTGGCAGACGCAAGCTCGCTGGAGACACTGCTGGCAACAGAGGAGATGGCACCGACAGCGGTAGAAGAGGCACTCTCAAGGGCACTGGACGCTGAGGCAGAGGCAGAGGCGAGCTCGCTGGAAAGTGAGGCAGAGACACTCCCAATGGCACTGGATGCAGAGGCAGAGGCACTTCCGAGGACGCTTGATGCACTTTCACCAGCAGAAGAGGTGGCAGAGGCAACAGGAGCAACACCAGTGAAGGTGGATACTGTTCCATCGGCCATAGTGGTGGTAATGGTAGCAACTCCTCCAGCGACAGAGCTGGCCGGGGCACCAGCAGCAGAAGAAGACTGGTCAACGGCGGGAGGGTTGCAACGAGCGTAAGGGTCGGTGTATTGACGGTTGCAAGGAGCCACCATACAACTATTAAAATCATAACCATTAGCATTACGAGCTGAGATATGATGAGATGATTCTTAAAAGGCTAACTTACGCTCCAATAGCACCATACCAACTCTGAGAGCAGGGTGTGAGAACGGAGTTGTAGCTTTCGATGTTGTCACATCCAGCACACTGGTCCTGGGCCATAGCCCTAGAGACAATTCCGACGGCGAGAAGGATGATTGAGTTCTTCATGATGATATCGTGAAAGTGTCGTTAATTCTTGAGGAATTGAGAGGATGGGTGGTGATGGTGATGGAGCGACTGGATGATTGAGCTGGCTGAAGAAGTGACAAGAAGAGGGAGGGAGGTGCAGTTATATGTAGGCTGGCCTGTGATCGGAGGGTGCCAACATGTACCCAATACATAGTATGTTAACGATAGGTATGACGGAGAACTGCTAGTCCCCTGTCGGTGCGCATGCCCTTGCGCGGATGCTGTCCAGAGTAGAACAACACGGGAAGTTGGCTGGCCAGAAAAAAAAAAAAACTTGGGAACTGTCCCGATATCCTGATAGGGAAGAGTGCAAACACGTAAGGCCCCACAACTGTTCAAAAGGATGAAATCTTTGCAGGACAGCCAAAAAGGAAAACGCGGAATAGGTCGAGCAAGGTAGCTAAAATGTCCAAAACTCTTGTATCCGTACCTCATCGGTGAATCAATCAATCAATCTTGCTTCCGCGAGAAACCCAGCGAACGAAAAATAAACCTGCCTTAGTTGCATGATGAACTTGCATCCATCGACATCCACCACAATTTCAAAGCACCCCATGTTTGTTGTCAAATCTTTCTCCTGCCAAGTCGAGGGTTTTTTCAAAATCCGTCTACCTACCCTACTCTACCAGTGAGGGACACAGACCAGCCCTCCAACCTCTCGCTTTTGCTTTCCTACGAAGACAAAAGTTCCACCCGCGGGGCGTACGACATCATTGGTTGGGTACCGGCAGGCAGCAAGCCTTTGAAGTGGCGGTGATAGTGAACGTGGTGGTTCATGCAGATGTCTCAACACAACTACGCAACACTAGTAGATCCCTACCGATTTGGTAAAGCTCACTGGTCAAGCCACGCAGCTATCCCTCAATCAGCTGTTTCTCCGGGTGAATGGCTCCGAAATATATTTACCACTGGCAATTTAGCGATTGGCGAGTTGTGGGGAAAAAGGGAAACAAAAATAATTCAGCCTCCTGCTTAATTCTGGTTCGCTGCGAAGATGGGCCGGAAAGTCATGGTGATGAGAAACTTGATCAAAGGTCTCAGGCGCAATTTTCCATTTCCTTTTTCCTTTCTTACAACGAACGAGACAGCATGCAAGATTGCAAGCATGAGGATGAATCTACTATGTATATCCCTCCCTGTTCAACTAGATATTTATCAATCGACTGGGGGTGTTCACCTCATGTCTTTGGGCGTGGACAGAAGAGAAGAGAAGGGGCTCCCTAGGTTTGTCACTCTACCCTAGATGTAATTGTTACAGATTTCTTCCTGCTAATAGCAAGAGAGAGTACGTGTGTGTTATGCGTGTTCACCTATTGGCTATGTAAAGCCTGCACATTCGCTGGACTTTCAGAGTGTCAATGATCCTGATTCAGATTGTTGTTGTCATTTTAGGCCAGGAACCCATCCAGTTCGTGTAACGTTGCGCTAAATCTTCGATAAACATGTGGGTGGGCGCCGTACGCGTGGTACCTGCCTTCATTCGCCGCATATCGATATCTTCATATCGTGAAAGGGCTGGCTGGTTTGTCTAATTGAACCCTTACATTCCTTCCATTTTCTCACTAGACTACCAAATTTCAAAGATTTCTCTCAAATTTCCACAAAAACACCCTTCGCAGCGCGTCGTGGTGGCGACTTCAGTACCCTTTTCACGATGAGTGCAATCGTGTGTTGTGCGGGAAACTACCTAAGCTGAAGATGGGAACTTCGGCTTGAACGCGTAGAAGCCCGGACATTGGCCAGGGCCCAATCAATTGGGTCTCGCAGGGGGATGAGACTGGCCAAAGCAAAATGAAGCAAGAGCCACAGACTAACCACTGCATAGCCACTCCTTAGCAGTAATCGCCACCAGCATGGCGTCAATCTTCCGTCACTCATCACTCGTGCGTGCAGATCGACTGGCTGGAGCCTGGGGGTGAGAAGAAGCGTAGGAGAGTGGTGGGTGGTGGCTCCAGGCCCTCTTTCCTGGGATGCTTGGGATTGATTTTAATAGGATGCGCGACGTCACTTTTCACAAGGTTTAGAGTCGTTAAATTAAAAAAAGGCTCGGATTTTGGCTGTGTGGTCCAACACCTGGTAGAACAGGTGTCGCGAATCCCTACTTTTCACAACTCCAAGAAAGCTTCTCCCGGTAGCGAGGGTTGGTAAACAAGATTTAACGGGCACGTATCGTGCAGGCATATATTCGTGCCGATTAATATTCTACATACTACCAGATACCCGGGCACTCATCCGTGTTCTACGACCTGATCGGTCCTGAGGAGGAGGAGGAGAAGAGTGGTGAGGCCGAGAGGGAGAGGAAGAACACCGGACGGAGGAAAGAGTTTGGGGCAGATTTGATTCATTGAAATTTAGCCAGAACCGAGGCGCTGGCTCGGTATAATCGATCGTATGGGGCCGGAAATTAACATCGACGGCGACGGGCACGGGGAGAACAGCGACATGGTCGATACAGGTCGAGATTGGAATCACAGAAGCCCTAGTCTTAGAAGCGAATTTGTCATTCCCACCACTAGCACAAGATCATTGACAATCCCAGCAGAAGAAACCTCAGTAGCGAACGGCCTCGAAGGAAGGCACTGGCAGCGGCACTCCACCGACGACACCACGAGGTCTGCGACGGCGAGATCCATCAGCGCCAACCACCGCTACCACCGCTCTAACCTCAATCATAATCCCCCGGCTGGTAGGGCTAGCTATAGTGGTGGGAAGCGAGGAAAACTGAAAACTCTAAAGGAAAACGCCGTAAACGCGCTGCGGCACAATGGCAATAGCGCCGGCAAGGGCAAGGGCCAGGATAACTCTAGATCTCAATCTCACTCTCCCGCCGCGGGCGGAGTCGGGTCGAGTGATGAAGATGAGAACGGGGATTGCCGAGTAGAGGAAAAGAAGGAGCAAGAGGAGGAGGAAGAGGACAAGGCCAGCTCGAAATCAAATAACGCGACTTCCCCGCGTCGGCAGTCCCTATCCTCCAAGCTAGCGCACCCTCGCGCAGCCCTGAAGGCGTCCCTGACCCACATTGTCGCAGGGAAACTATCCACCCTGAACGACCCGTATATTCCGCAAGCAGCGGAGGTCGAGTTCGTCGAGGCCCACGAAGAGCGCAATGAAGCTCTAAGGGACGGGTGTATGGAAGACGTAGAGGACGCCGAAAAGAAGATTGACGAGCTTGTCAAGCAGCGCAGGAATATGCAGGTGAACTGGGCAATTGACCGGCATGTGACCAATGTCACAGTGGCTCCTACCAAACAAAGAATTATCGAGAAACCGCGCAAAAGCGACTTTATTATCAAAGATGAGTCCGGGAACCCAATTATAGAATTTGAAAATGGCGATGAGAGAATAGACTACGTCAAATGGCTCGGACAAGTACGTCCCCCTAGTTCTACTATGCTTTTTCACTTCTTCTATTCCAGCGCAACCTTCAATTCCTTCCTAGCTACAATTCTTTCGGTAGCTATGTAGAAAAAACATGTCGTTTTGTAGATTTCCGTCCATGCATGATTCTCAACATTTGGGGCCCTATTATAGTACCTTCTGTACGCGACCCAAGATTATACGGCCCAATCTATCGATTACCGTAAACCCAGGTCCTTGAGCTTAGAAAAGGCGCGTTCTAGCATCGAGCGACTCTTTGTCTCGACCGCGCCCTGGCAAGAATGGCTCCTCCACGTCTTCCGCGTTTATCGGTGGGAAAACCCATACGAGACGTTTCGCTGGCTCTGTCTCTACGTGGTTCTATGGCACTACTCATACCTGATAACATTCCTGGTAAATATAAAAACCAACCTGCTATGCAAAATAAAAGATTGGTGCTTGCTTGGTTGTGCTTTTCATACGTTCGAAAGTAGCTCTAACAACTTATGTGGGGTGTTTTTTTTCCTGTGGGAGCTGTGTAGTGGTTCTGCGTTATCTACTACACACTGAGGCGATACATTTATCCAGAGACGGAAATTGAGGACCTCAGAATAGCGCTTGAGAGGGTGAGAAACACAGACAGAAAGGCGTATGATCTTGGGGATGTTATCGTACACAAGGGACCACAGGAATGGCTCCTCCCGCTGGCAGACACAATTGGGCCATGGGCGCAGATTCAGCTGGGCGACCTGGCCGATCTGCTCGAGATACTGGAGAAGTATGCAGCTCTCACACCAATCCCTCTTTGCTCACGGTTTCAGCCCTCCCTTCTGAGAAACAAGACCTACCAAAAACTACCTCAGCAGCAGTATTTGAAACTGATCTCCCCTTCCCACCCGCAGCTTCTACGAATGGCGCAATCCGGCACTTACCTCGCTCTCGCTATCCATTTTTACCAGTGTCTTCCTATTCGGCCTCATTGCGTCGCCCGAGTTCTGCCTCAAGGCTACATACTTCGGCCTCGGGGTTGCGTTCTTTGCGTGGTTCCCGATATCGAGCAGGTACCCAAAGTACCGCCTCGTCGTGTCGCCCGTCCGCTGGCTCTTCTGGAACATCCCCACGCAAGCGGAATGGGCGTTCCAAGAGCTGAGCGCAGAAGCGGAGAAGAATCGAGAAAAGATCACAGCGAAGGACGTGGAGAAAGTATTAGTGGGTAACCAAGAAGTAGAGCCGCCCGGTGGTGTAGATAGCAGCATCAATAGCGGCACCGCCATGCTTCCAGTCGCTTCCGTCGGAGGTGAACACCACGCCGGCGGGACCAGGAGCCTCACCTCTGCGCAAGCGGAGGAGCAGCGCGATACCGCCATCCTCGCGGTCGCCGAACAGAAGCTGGCGCGCCCACTCGACGCCTACGTGCGCGAGTATGCAACATTTAACTGCCGCTGCGGGCTGAACCTAGGTAAGCTCGTAATCCACCCCTCCGGCCTCCGGTTCGAAAGCCTGCGCAAGCGCAGGACAATCTGGGACCGCGCATGGATGGAGCTCGTAGAGATCAAGAAGGTATGGCCTGCACATCTATCTACACATACTGCAATTACGCGCGCAATGAGGCTCGGTCATGGCTTATCACTCGTAACCATAGGTGAAGAGCTCCGAGCCCGTGGGGAGGCTGCTGGCGCTGGAGGGCCTGGAGATGGTGTTTGCAGATAGTTCGAGGGTGAGGCTGGGGGATATGGTGGATCGCGGGGAGGCGTTTAAGTGGATATTGGGCTACTCGAGGTTGAAGTGGCGGTCGAATAATTGAGGAAATTTCAAAGGTAAAACGTATATACAAAATACATATCGTGTATCTGGTTCGCGGAGAGTTGGGACTGGTTGATTGGCCGTTGTTTGTTTGCGCAATATGGCGCAACCCTATCGTATCGGGGGGATACACTACACGAAAATAATTTTAAATACTCAAGCGCCGGCCTCTATGGACTGGCTGGCTGGCGTTGATTTCATTGCAGTATTGCTACCTGGATGGCAAAAATTATACTTTTCAAATTCTCCCCCGCGCGCGCGCATCGTGAGGGCTGAACTAAGAACAAGGGCCAACACTTTAAATGGGGGCCACTGCACTCCAGATCTACACAGAACCAACGGGCATGAGATATCAACGGTCTAATTTATCTGAAAATCTCCACAGTGGCTATCATCTAGAAATTCCGATAGATAATTTATTAGTGCCGGGGGTTCACGATGTATACCCGGCTGGAGTCCAGTCAATGCGCAGGCGGGCGCGGGCACGGGCGCTAGAACTTAGTTTTAATTTTGTTGAGATCTCATCGTGGGGTGACATGAGATATGCACGCGCGGTTAAGTTTAATCTGGCGATTATGGATTAATTTCCCAGCAGGGAGCTCCGAGCATGGGCCCAGTGGGGTACCGATTATCGTTTATCTGATAGATAGAAAGCCGCGGCCGGGATGGGTGATAAAAGATAGGGGTTAATTAAACCTACATACACTTATAGAGACAACGGGCGATAGGTCTAAGGCGAGGTTACTTCCGATCCTGATTCTGAATCTAGGAGGATTTACATGGTTTATCCTATCCTATACTACCCTACAATTGTTTGTTTTGTTTGTTTACAGGCAGATGACAGGCAGCTAAGGGCATCTTTACAGTTCATCTACTTATCCAAAGTATTGGTACCTAAGTACCCGCCGTACGCGTGGGGGCCGTTTTACCACAGAAAGGTGAAAGTCGAGTCTATGGCCACCATACCACCATATCACCACTTCTCCTAGACGCAGTTTTTTGCTTCATCTCCATACTCAGGGAAGGGAATCAACGTGCACGTGTCTATGCCCATGGCCAACAGTTGGAATAGTAAACATATCCAAGCATCGGCCGGACGAAAGACAACTCACCAAAACACAACCGAATCGTATCGTCCAACCGCTCCTAATAGCCCAGTCTACACGTTAGACAGGACAGGGGGCTGTTTACGGGGGATCCTGGCTTGTTTGCCGTGGGCCAGCCAGTTAAGAGAGTGACAGCTGCGGCCGGGTTGTGTGTGCTTCTTGCTTGTTGTTTAAACCCGGCATCCTGGATATGTGGCCGGGAGATGCTGTGTTGTATATTGGGACTACTTTACTGCCAGTGAATGTCTGTTGGCAAGATGGAGGGTTTGGCTGTTGGCCGTATACATGGAGGGAGCTAACTAGCCACCGGGAGGACAATTGCACTTCAGACGATGATCAGTCGAACGGGGATTCGAAGACTGCAAGAAAAGCCGTAGTATATGTTTCGGTGCTGGGAGACAATTATGGTTGTGCCGTTAGGGCTTCTAAACTTTCTATTCATGAAATCTCACTCACCCCACCTGGCTGGAGACAACTAAGAATGTCTGCAACACAACGGCCCAATCCCGGGAAGGAGGTTTCAGGCACCGGGACTTGGGGGTTTTGTCCCTCCTGGCTCCCGGCAGTGGGTGTTGTACCTTCCTTTTTGCTTGACGGTTCTCTTCTACCCGCCCCTCGGTTGTAGATTCCACAGGGTATGCCTTGAGCTCTGGATCTTGCTTGATAGCAGCGCCGGGTAGAGTCATGGAGGCTAGAGATTAACTTATTTAGTTATTCCTTCCCGCCCTTCTGCCCGTAGGTGGAGCCTGGATGAAATATACCCGCGCGGCCGCCGCTCTGGTAGCTCAATCAAGCCCAACCCAGGCGGCCGGGGAACCATGAGCAAGTGAAGTCGCGGAATTGTGGCGTTGCGGCGTGAGATCGCGGCCGAGAACTTAAAACTCCGGGGCGGGCTGGCCGTGGGGGTCGTGTGTTAGGTCTATGGACCTGGCCGGGCGTTGCGGCCGGTGCGCTGCGGTGCGGCCGGGCGTTAGTCGTGTTATCGCTCCGGCATGCATTTTGAAGCGCCCGGACTTTCGCCGGGTATGCGGTCTGGCTTTTTACGGCGCGGTGGGGGACCGGCTTGTGCGCGGTCAGCGGTGGGCAGTGAGCGGGTATGCGGAGGATGGCTGCGGAGGGTGGTAGTGATGCGGCGAGGTGAGGTGAAGTGAGGTGGTTGGGGTGGTGTCAATGATCTTAGGATAAAGCTGAAACCTAACCCTTGTGTTGATAGTCTTCTTTTTTTTGACCTTGCACGTGGCTCTCCTGATTTGGATGGTAAGCTTTGATAAAATGGCGGGTAGGATGGCAGTGTTGTATTCCGTTATTGTTAAGATATATGGTGCCCCCAGTCTTAAAGGTAACATGAGAAAAACGCCAAGTCTCGAATAACTTTTCAACCACGATTGATATTAAAAATATGGAAAGAGAAAAGCTGGATACCATGATGAAGAAGAGTTTGTCTTTCCATATTTTTAATATCAATCGTGGTTGAAAAGTTATTCGAGACTTGGCGTTTTTCTCATGTTACCTTTAAGACTGGGGGAACCATATAAAGATGAACAGGTTGTCTGGGGAGGAAGTAAGCCTAAGAGATGTCGTCGTTGACAGTCCCCCTTCCTTCCCCATCTCACACTTGACTGAGTCAATAACTGGCACTTCAACATTTCTGACTTCTGAACGATGGTAGGTCTGTTATTAGCCAGAACTTTTGTAAGTGTGACATGCAGTCCCGGGTTTCATCCGCATCCGCATCCGGAGGAGTCGTGGGCATAAGGCTGCATCACAGGTGCTCCTGCGCGCTGCTTCTTAGCTGCCAGGTCGAGAAGAGTGGCCTGTGGTTGGTGGAGAGATATTATACCCGCTACAACCTTAGCCCACATTGACCGAGGGAGGGGGTTCGGTAATTTTGGGTATTATGAACAGGGCCAGGAGGGGCGAGGGGAGGTTGTGGGGGGGGGGGGGGGGATGTTCTGATGACCTCACTACACATGTTACTCTTTTTTGGCCCCGGGCCCAACCATTGTTAACAGTAGGGAAAATAGTTGAGCGGGTAACGTTGGCAATGATAGGCTGGACGGTTGGTTCGGATGGATATCTATGTATACTTCTCCTCCTTCCTTCTTCATATCATACTATCACAATACAAGAGCGTGCGACCTACGCCTAACCTAACCTCTTTGAGGGTCGAAACAGATTTATTAGGATTTGTGCCGTGCTATAAGTATACGTATGTATATTGAACTTGCCACGTTTCTGTATATCTATAACGCAATTTGACAGGTTGCAAATGGAATTATGATTATGCACTGATGTTAATGGGTCGGGTTTTGCTGTGCATGAAGTATACTGACTATGCAATATGGATCCAAGTCTCAACGGCTGTGCTGCGCGGTTGCGGTCTTATCACATTGGTCGGTCACGAATGAGTTATCCTTAGCCGGTCCTGCATACAATTAATGAATTATCAATCAATCAATCAATGAACATTGGTCGGTCTACCAGCGGAACCAAATAACGAGTGATAGTCTATGAGTTAAATACTATATAATCTGTCGGTTCATTTTGTATGCGGAGAAATTCAGATGGCCCCTGGTCTATAGAATATCTGACTGGTGTATACCGTTAATTCTCGAATAATCTACTATCCCCGTATTTGTATGTGGTAAGTCCGAACTAAGGCGAATTGGCGTAGTGCAGATACATACTTTTTCTCACCCGGAATTAAGATTTAGCGAAGCGGGGATAGTGGATTTCTCGAGAATTAATAGTAGCTATTTTAAAATGGGGAGGTGGAAGAGTATCTGTGTGGTTGGTATACTTTGTATATATGGGGGGAAGGTAGCAGGGAGGAGATTAGGAACGGTGGAAGTAGCGGTAACAGAGAGCCGTGATGTGGAGGTGTTTACGGTTCATGAGTATTTACCATGCTGCTACTTGTTACACTAACCAGTACTCTCCGTGAAGTGACAATATCAGTTTGGGGGGCACATTGATTGTTTTAAGAGGTAGGGTTAGGACGTTATATGCACCAAATCTGGGAGGTACGAACCTACAGGCGATTTACGGGGGTGTTTATAATAAGTTTGGAACACTAAGTGTATATAACCGCACATAAATACTCTTGTCTTGATCCAGTTAAAGTTGAGTTGCGATATCATCCAGCTAGATGGTTGGTTACATTAGATATGGTTACACTTTATATCGTTGTACCAAATAATATTGCCAAGCAAGTTATCACTACCTACTAGAAACCAAAGCCCAGGTAAAAAAAAACTTTTTTTTTTTTGATTCGTGGGGGCAGTGGGAAACAGTAGTCATTCTGATTCCTGTACCTTTCCCGCCGAGTAGGGTCATTATGAAGATTATCGTTAGGATTATACGTTAGTTGGGGTTAATTGGGGTTAGGTAGCGTTAGGTACGGCTGTATGGGGCGGTAAATGTGTCAAATTTTACCAACGGTAGTAAATTATTTTACCACCGGTGGTGAAAATAATACCTGTATTTATAACCTATAATGCTAATTTTTATGATAAAAGCACAGACCTTTTGGCCAAAAGGGGCCATATAATGCCAATATATATGAAAATTGTCCATCGGTGGCGGTATTTCACCACTGGTGGGAAATTTTCATAAGTTTTGGCATTAATGATTGAACATTTACTTATTTAGTATAGCGCAGCATAAAGACCGAAACCCAGTGTTTATACCGGTGGAAATGTACTAATGTAGGATAGCGTGCAGATACAATGACTGAAATTCAGTGCTTATACCACCGGTGGTAAATAATTTACTACCGTTGGTAAAATTACTTTTGACACATTTACCGCTCCATACGGCTGATCCACCACCACATACAAATATCGCCTATATTGGAGGGCACGCAAGTCTTTTGGTGTGGGGAATGACTGCTGCTCATTTCTTTTTTTTTTTGAGTAAATATGTTCTTGATGGGTTTGGGTCATTTTTACTGATTGAGGGGAGGAATTATATAACTAACACCTTTAGAGGCTGACTGTACTTGGGGTTGGTTTCACAGCAACTGTGCTTTTACTCCACAAAATAAGCTGAGGGTTCCCTATCGACAACTGCCAGAGAGATACAGGAATTCTCCACGTTGTGTCTTGCAGGATATTGAGATAGTAAATGGCTTGACTGATGTAAGAATTTCCCATGTTTCGAATTAGCCAGTCGTATACCTAGTCGGTCTATATTAATATGCATATATCTACAGGTGAAATACACTACAGTACGGATTACCGCTACCTTGGCCGCCAGTCTGCAAAAGTGCTTGTGATGGACCTTGATAGTAGAACCGGCTTGACCCACGTGACGCCTCATGCCTCAACGTAGTATATAGTCCCCCATATTCATAACCGTCTAAAGTAGTACCACATGCCCCTGTGGTGTAGTTGGAGGACGCCAATTAATACTTATGCCCGGGGTGCACACCACAGCTGTACAAGACATGTGGCTTTAGTCCATCTGCAGGCAGCTCTACAACTGAGCTATGGCCATGGACCGGCCGTGCTCGTGCTCTCAGGAAAATCTCGTTTGATCTTTTATCCCTCCTTCTCACTTAGCCTTGGGCTTCGTGTGTGGGTTGTACGTAGAGTTGCTAATGACAGGCTTTTTTCGCAGTGACAGCACAAGACACCGCAGATCTACGAACGATCGACCAGAGCCCAAGTGATATATAAATGCGTACATATCCACCCCTAGTGTCTCTCCCTCATACCAACAGCCTTTGTGCCAGACCCCAAAATGAGGATAAGGCCCAGCTGGTGGCTCTCGGTGGGCGAGAAGGGAAGGGTGGGGGAAGCTACGGGTACCAACATGCCATGGACCTGCAGCTTTCCCAAGGCTCCTTACATGCATCATAGTGGTAGCTAGAGTACATAGTAATTGCACATGCATCGGGGACGTGCACTGATCATGATGATGATGACTTCGCAGTGCGGCGGAGAGGGGGGTGGAATACTTTCCGCAACCCTCTAAGATTATCTATAAGTACATCTCTATGCTGATAGTGTAGGGTGTACATGTAGCCATAACATATGGATTAGATCTTATGTCGATTTGGTAAATATTCCCTTCCTCCTTCAAGAACCAGGGCCTATCCTGAAGATCATTACAAGTGCTGCATGGCTGGTGCCAAGCCAAGGTAATGATCAAAAGTCCGATATATGTAGACCCTTCGATGTTTCACACCCAAGCTTTCTCTCTCTTCACGAAAACAAGCAAACATGGGAAACAAACAATGCGACTTCACCCATCCCCCACGTCTATTTCTGAATGAGAGGAGAGAGAGAAAGAAAAGATAAAAACAGAAAGAAAAAAACCACCACCCCTGCCCTGTCCCCAACCCCGACCTACCCACTGACATAAGCCATAATAACATCTAGGGATTGAACCAGCGCATTTTGGATTTTTTTGTTGTCTAGCTTTTTGGAATCTCAATTTGTGCTGTTCATTTCCACCCCCCTATGAATTTTTCCCCCGAGACCGCTCTCTAATCACCCCCCGTATCCCCGCCCTGCCTCTCCACCACCCTCCCCACATCTCGGCCCCAGTCTTCCCTATCGTCGCACAACAAAAATAAAGCAAGCCCAGCCAACCTATGAAACAAATTGTAGAACGTAAAAGAAATAAGGAGATTGCAAGAAAGTAGTAACACTCATCACGCATGTATCAATCACAACATCCCAGCCACGACCTAGAAACCATAGTGATGGAACGAACGCCGCCTAGTATTGCTAGGTGAAAGTTGTGGCCTCGAGTAAACCACCGCTACCGCTCCGAGGGCGTGGCCTAGAACAAATATGCTGATGATGAGAATCGTGCACCTGACGTCATTTCTTTTGATATTAACCATGACAAGTCAGAAAGAAAGAACGCCCCTTGCACGTCAATCAATCAAGAAGCGAAAAGGGAAGCAACAAAGAAGTAATAGAAAGGAAATAAAATGTAACTTCAACAGAAACAACATGCCCAGAAAGTAGTGTAAAAGATGAGTTGCCAAGAGCACAAAACGGAAAAAAATAAAATAATTTGTGATGCCGACATTTCATTTACTTTAACAGCAACAATTCCCAACGCCGGAATTTTTTTGTTTTGCTCCTCTAGTAGAATGAAGGCTCTATGCGACACCTACTACCTTCGCGCCTTCGTCCTGAATGTTCAATGCGTCCATTTGCCTCTGGCTTTCTCCGGTACTATCATCTGTGATCTGCATTGGCGATCCGCCTCTTACTACCTGCTGGCTCTGTGACGACAAGGATAGGGATTTACCATCACTTGTTGGTCGGGGTTTCCGATTCAGAGTTGCCTTTTCCTCCAACATCTTCCACACGCTCTCCCTGTCGGCGAGTCTTTGAGGTGCGGTTTCTTGGTCGGTTGCATATGCGGCCGTGCATTCGTCAAAGAGCGTTGGGTTAATCTCCATAAATAGCTTCATGGCGTTATATACCATTCCATGGATTGTCCTAAACGGCCGTCAATAAGACGTTTATTTAAGTAAAGAAACCGAGGGCATACCTGTTCCAGTGACCCTTGGAGTTTTCATAAAGCGGTGCAAACATAATTGGTAAAATGACTTCGACATTGTCGCTCACCAAGTTACAAAAGTACTCATTGTTCCAGAAGTATAGCGCTCTCTCAGCGACCTAGTATAGGTGAGATAAACCGCAGTTTTTCTTCCTAATAATGAGTAATAAGAAGCATACCTGGAAATGTGGGCTAGCAACGCTTTTAGCTAGTTGATGGAAAAGCGGCTCCTGAACTTTAGCAAACTCTGCCGGGTCCATCACTTCAAAAATATCCTCGACCTCGTTCAAGTACATGACCTCTTTAGTACTATTGACCTTGGGCCAGTATCTTAACAAACCGAGCACGACCTGTTTTATTACCAAGTCAGACGAAATCCATACCTATCACGGTAGGGAAAAGGGTCGAAAATAACATACCTCCTCAGTCAAAGCCGCATCCTTCTCCAAAAACTGTACTATACAGTATGCCAGCTGTGGGTGGTACATACTCAAGCTCTTGACTTTGTGCAGAGGTAAGAGAACCCTGGTCAAGAACAACTTATGCTCCTCCTTGAGTGGTAGAGCAAATCCGTTGATAATACTTCCCAAGATCTCCAACAATTCGGCAACCCCATTAAAGCGCTCTGTCTCATATACAAACTGGAAAAAGACGTTGTTGATAGATCGTCGGATGTAAGACCGGAGGTTGAGGAATTTCCCATAGATACGGTGGAGTGTAGTTTTCAAGAAATCGCGCTCTCGGGGATCCTCAGAGTCGAAAAGTTCAAGTAACTGTTGCAAATATTAGTATTTAAAGATCGCGCTTGCAAAAGAGCTCAACTAACTTGGAGAACGAATTGGTGATCAATGTACTGTTTCGCAATGTTTGTATTGAAGTCTTGGCTTTCAATGAACCTCAAAAAGAATTCATAGACAACCTGAATATGCGGCCACGCAACCTCTAGAACAGGCTCGTCCTCTTCCGGATCAAAGGCGTCGCCCACAGGGTTCACCGGAGGTGGGATGGGCCTGAAGAGATTCTTGGCGAACATCTCTACAACTTTGGGGTACATTGGCTCATTGATGACCGAGCGGTTATTGGCAACATAATCAAGTAATTCATGAAGAGCCAGACGCTTAATTTCCTTGGACTTCATATCTGCGGAAGCATCGTTGAAATCAAAGATGACGTTGCATTGTTCAATCTTCTGCATGAACAAGTCTTGGCGCCTCTGAGGGGGTACCTCTGAATATCCAGATATTAGAAAGCCAGCCCAACAAATGCCCCAACTTTATAGGTTATAGCTGCAAAGCGCCAATAAAACCTAGATGGAGACATACCATGAAATCCGGGCAACTTTTCTAGCTCCCTCTTCTCTGAGATATCGAACCTGGAACTATGCTGCCTCTTGGGCGTCTTCAGTCCCTCTGGGATCTGGTCTGCTTTGGGTGCTGTGTGTAGTCTGTCGAAAGCTACACCCTTTGCTCCAGCCTTTGGCGGCGCAAGGTCACCGGGCATGGTTTCAGCAGCACCTGGAGGGGGGATATGCTTCCAAAACCAAGTCACGCATAGATTAGCGACCAGGCTCCCGAACCACCAAGCGGGAGGGGTGAGTGGGGGTTTGGGGGCGAGCATACAGGAGCTGAAGACGGACTAATAATGACTGATGGTGTAATCAGCCTTGACGGACTTGCTGCGATCTGTTGCTGTAAGTTCGCCAATGAAACTGTCGATGATGATCCAGCGGGAGACTGGGTCGACGCTATCGAAGAGGCGGGAGAGGATGAGTCTTTGCTCTTGTGACTTGAAGCCTTGTCCCCATTTTCGTGACCATTACCCTTCTTGTCAGAGGTTGAGGATGACGAAGGAGCTGCCTGTCCGGGGGTAGGCGAGGTACCCTTCTCCTTCTTGGATGAGGCTTTGGACGAATCTTTGGTTCGAGATAACTAGTAATATCGAAGCAAATTACAGCAAGAGAAGGTTAGTAACAATGGGCCGCTGTCCACGCCGTACCGCATGTTCATCCTGGAACAACACAAGATCCAGGGAAATATGGGGAATGAGTGGAGGAAGGGGACATACACCCACTTTCTGCCTAAAGCTCTTCATCTTCAAATCCACCTAATGGCAACCGGGAGAGGTAGTAAAGGCTGTTCTTAAAGCTCGAAAGGTCGGGAAGTTTAACAAACAAAGGAGCGACAGGGAAAGGAGGGGTTGCTGTTGCGTTGTGGGGCTCCGGATCAATCAATTCGTGAGAACCAGACAGCGGGAGAAGTCCTGATAGAGATGGTAAGGAGGGGGAAGAAGCGGAGGACACTGTACTGCCAAGAGGGACGTGTGTGGATTGGAGATGGTTCAAGATGGGGGAGGTGTTGGGTGGGTTGGGTTGGGTGGGTGTGCCTGTCGTTGGATAACCACGGGGATTGGGGGGATTCGTAACGGGCGATAGAAACGAGACGTTTTGGCGGGACACAAACAACAGGATGACGGATAGTTGAGTTTGAGTGTGAGACCTTTTTTTTCTCTCTCTCTTTTGATGCTTCAATACGCTATCACCTTCTCCTTCTTTTTCTACTACTGCTTTTTTTTTTCGCAAGAGGCTCGAGGGTGATTTATGATAGTTAGGAGTTGGGCAAGGACTGTTGTTGCAGTTACAGATGCTTGCTGATGAGTGCTTCTTCCTTTCCCTCTTGTTGTTATTGTTATTGTTATTACTAACTTGGCGAACAGATGTGTGAACGAGCCAACCAGGGAAGGAGAGGAGAATCCGGGGGGGGCGTATGCTTCAGTAAGATATTAGATCGCTCTCTCGTGGGTAAGGTAAGGTAGGAACTGCTGAGCACGAAGTCAGGGGCAGGATAGTAGGGCTCAATTGCGAGCGGGGCGCCAGCAACAGAGAGCTGCTACAAACAGAACCCAGGCAGCAAAAGAGATATGCAATCGTCAAAACGCCAGTGTAAACACAAAAATGGTAGAGCTGCTCAGAGGAGCTGTTGTTGTATGTATGTAAGCCTACCTGAACACCACGCGCGGGGTTCGTGTTTGGTGGAGTGAGAAGCAGAAGCAGCCCGTGTGTCTAATAACTGCAAGTTGGTTATCTCCCACTGATTCTCCTCCCACAGCAGCACGTCCTACCTGCAAATCGATCGTAGGTGAGTGAGGTTACGCTCAAACAGGGCACTTTAGTTCGTGATGAGTCAGCATACTCCGCTAATTGTTTCAAGAACGGGAATTATCATGAGAGCCCCCGCAGATCAGATAAGCCAAAAGGTATACGTAGAAAGAATATTATATTTCTTACACGAAAATAACTCAGATATCAAAGAAAAAACAAATATTACCGAGATTTCGTCACTCGTATCTGCATTTTAAAACTTGCCGCTTTAACTGGTGGGGTGAGGTCGAGTGAGCAGTCGTGAATCACGTCACAACTCGCCTATCAGTATCGTAGCATCAAGTCTAGATGCTGTCCGAAGTTACGTCAATAATGGAAAAGATAGGTCACAAAGGATATTCGATAGTCGCTCATTGGGCCCTTTTAAATTAAGATTACAGAAATGGTCAACAGTTTCGTATTTACCAGGCCCACATGTGCACACACTCGACACAATCAAACATATTACCACGAACAACGTGGAAGAGAGCATTAAGACAGGTGGCTACCCATACAGGAGATTAATAAGATAAAAAAAAAAAACACTAGACGCCATTAGAATAATCGGTAGAGATAAACGCCCAGATAAGAAAAATGCAAGAACGCAAAGTGATCAGTTCACATCGCCCCGTTCATACGCCCCCCAAAAGAAAAGACCGCGCAAGTTACAAAAACCCTCCTCATTATCTGTCATGTCATGTCAAATGAGAATCATCGCTAGAAGGTGACAAAAGAAAGCGTGAGAAAGCGTGAGAAAAAGAGGTATCCTAGAAGACTGTGAACAAACATAAGAAAAGTAGCACTTTTGAGTAGGTATAGTACTAAATGTTTACCAAAACACTGTAGACGTCGCGTCGTTTCGCATGTATACTCGTTAATCGTTAATTCTAGTGAGCAGAATACTTATTGCAGTTGCCCTTTAACAATAGTATTCAAACAAGCGGCCAATTCCGTTATTTGGCCACAGCACCCCATCTGCCTTTTAACCCCTCCACCCAACGCCCATAGAGCACATCAGCCAGCTGATTACCGGCTGGCGTCGAACCCAAATAATTATCATCGACCTCGTCGCCGAAATCACTACTCTGCCTTGAACTCCTCCTCTTCTTTTTATTCGCGACATTGCTAGATGCTCGTTTGGTCCTTGTGATGACCTTAGGTGTCGGTTCTGGGGGCGGAGATGAAGATGCCGCCGTTAAGGTTTCACTAGAGAGGGAAGGCTTTGGTGTTATCATCTTTGCCGCTGCTTCTGCTGCCGGGGATTTCTGGAACGGCCTCGAGCTGGCCAACTGTCGAATAGGCTGATTTTGGGCTTGTGCTTCCGGCTGTGGCTTTGGTCGATGCTGCTGGAAACGATCCATCATTGCGCGCAAGAGCTCGTAACCACTCTCCGGATCTATGGCATCAAGTTGACTCCAGGCCTCGGCCAGGTTAGATGTTGCAGCCGCTGTAGCAGAATTGCCATTCTTTATGGCTTTGTTTTCGACCTTTACTACCGTCAGAGTCCGCCTTTTCCTATCAGGAACACACAACTTACCTCAAGAAGCGTCTTCTGCACGACCTTCGAGAAAAGCTTTCTCCCCAATTGCCCCTCCTCCGTAGTCGGAATATTCATCACTGGTTTCTCACTCTCCAGCTTCAATCCCTTCTCCAGCTTCAGTTCCTTCTCCTGCTTCAATTCCTTCTCCTGATGGTGAACCGCCTCATAATTCCTAGGTGTATTCTCCGGCACCCTCTTAAACTGCCGAACCGTCGACGGCGTCTTCCCATAATCTGTTTCGGCCGTCATTGGCCGCTCCTGCCTAGCAGGTTTCTGATTAGTCCTAGTAGGGGTAGTCGACTCCAACACCGTCTTCTCAGTTGGTTTCTTTGCAGTTGAAGATCGCCTGCGCTTCTGGTTATGGGCTTTGGCTGTAGATTCCGAGACTTTCCGAGCCTCGGTGACACTGACGCCACTTTGGGGGGCAGCATTGAGGTTGAGCTTTTGCAACGCTGAGTTCATGCTACGTTCTGAAATAATTTCGCTGGCTCGCATGGCGTTCTTGTGGTGGTCAATTCGGATGGTGCCCGAGTGAGGGTTAGTGCGGATTGTGTCAAAGTCCCAACTCTCTTCGGGCTGGCCTCCAAAGGTGTTCCTATGAGAACTAGAGTAAGCAACTGCAGGTTCGATTGGGATCTAAAGGCAACGAACATAGTCTCTTCGTAAAGCCTCGGGTGTGATTTCGTTACACCCCGAGCCTCCCTCTTCATCTGCCAAGCCTCCCTCCTCTCAATTAAGCTCTGCAGCTCTTCGACTCTTCCGGCATTCTTAATGAACCTATGGTTCAGAAGCTCCCTCGCACTAGCTCTTTGGTTAGGGTCCTTTACTAAACACCTTTCCACAAAATCTTTGAAATCCCTACTCCAGCGATTACCCTCCAAGCGTGGTGCAGGCTCCTTTGGAATAAGAAACAGCACTTTCATTGGGTGTATTGTCGAATGCGGTGGCTCTCCATTGCACAATTCCATGGCCGTGATTCCTAGCGACCATATGTCGGCTTTGAAAGAGTACGGGTTCTCCTGTGAGATGACTTCCGGAGCCATCCAGAACGGCGTGCCGACGAATGTGTTGCGCTGCGATTTGATATTGTTAAGTTGCGTAGCAACGCCGAAGTCGGCAAGCTTGACCTGGCCCGTTCCCGAGAGGAGGATGTTTGCCGCTGTTAAACCCTGAAGTAAGCAATTGTTTCATTAACATTTACAAATTGAGATTTACCTTTGATATCGCGGTGAATTTTTCCCTCTCTGTGTAGATATTCAAGACCCTGCAGGAGCTCTCGCATAACGATCGCAATATGTGCTTCACAGAACGGCGCCGGTTTCAACTACCTCAAGTTAGCTTTCATCCCTACTAGTAGCACTCTAGAGGTAGCAAGGAATCCTCGGCTTCACATACCAAATCCAGACACGACCCACCCGCCAAATACTCCATAACTACGATCATTATTAGCTTTCTTCCTCTAACCACAAATCACCCAACACCAACACCTATGATGTCAACAACAACAACACAGCACAACACAACTTACTGATCCATAACTTGAAGCCGCGAACAAAGCTACCGTAGTATTGTGTGACAAACGGGCTCGCGCAACTACTCAATACCGAGATCTCCTGCTGTATCTCCCGGATGTCGTCTTCGCTCGACTCGAGATCAATCTGGAAAAAGAAACAAAAAGCAATATATTGTCAGTAGGCTAAATCCTCGTTTGGGTTGGTGCTGGTGGTGGTTGTGGTGTGCCACGTCAAAAACAATTAATGGGGGGATGGGTACATGTTTGATTGCGACGATTGTGCCAGACTCTTTCTCAATTGCTTTGTACACGACCCCGAAACTACCGCCTGTTTAGATTTTTTTAAAGTCGGTTAGTAAAAACTTTAAATTTGTTTTTTTTCTAGTCGATGTTTTTTTTTATTTTTTTTTTAATTGGTATTGTTGATGGGATGGATTATGGGATTGAGAGTTTTCTGGGGCCTTGTGTAACTCACTCCCAAGTTCCTCCAACACCTGGAAACTGGATGCTAGAACATCAACCGACGTGTTTGTGTAGTTGACGGGCATCCTACTACAATCTCTCTTCGACCGCGCTCTTTCTCGAGGTCCCCTGGGGGAAGGGTTTGAGTGTAGTAGGTAGGGTTGGTTAGTGGTGGGGGGGTGAGTGAGTGTGTGTGCGCGTGTGGGTGAGTGTGTGTGTGTGTATGAGGAAAGAGAGGTATAGTATGGTTTCAATCAAACAAAAAAAGTATATGAAGGAACACCGATTCTTGAAGGGAAATAGATATAAAGGTAAAGTAGGTAAAGTAGGGTTATGTAGGGCGATTGATATGAAGAAGTGATGTTCAGACTGGGGGGGGGGGGGTCAGTCAGTTCAGTCTAGGTTAGAGTGTGGTGTGGGTTAAAACGGAAGGGCAGGGTGTGATTGTGGTGGTGGTGGTGGTAGTGGTGGTGTTGGGCTGGGTTGGGCTCTTCCGAACACCACTACTACAGTCTATCTTTTTTGGCTGCTACAGGCCCGGGAAGACGCATCGTGGTGCTGTGGTGTTGTTTTGATTAAAAAATTGTGACGCTGTTGCTGTGGTTACCTTCTTTCGCTCTCGTTCGTCCTGTTCCCAGCCCCCAGGCTCTGCTCGCTCACCACCACCCCCCATGCAAGGGGCGGTCCGAGGTAAGAGCTAAGCTTCCGATTTGATGCTTGCTTGCCTGGGGGCTTACCTAGGCCTGGACAGTGGGTTTTTGCTTCGCGGATCGCGCATCGTCTGGGGATGGATGGCGCCCTTATTTTTTTTTTTTTTTTTTTTCGTCTGATGATTTGGCTGCTACTTCTACTTCTGGACGCGTTTTCGTGTGTTGCCCCCCCCCATTCAGCCATATACGGGCGTTTCAGCTCGTGGGACCTGGTCTGGGCTTTGGGGGGGGGGGGGTTGTGTGTATGTTTGGTTTCACGTTTGAGGTTTAGTTTCTTCCGTTTGATGCTCACCCCCCCCCCCCCCCTTCCCCCCCCCCCCATGTTCAAGAGCAGAGCAGAAACATGGAGTAACCGTGGAAGGGCTGATCTGCGCTAGCTACGCTTTGGGAACCTTACTATAAATTGTCGGCCGGGTGCGGGTTTTTTAGACTCATTTCGTGATTAAGGCACTGAAGAGTGTGGTTATATTACTGTATGGGGGGAGCAATGAATGGGGAAGAGCGTGAGGAATGTGGATTTAGGTTGAAGGTGCAGCAGCAGCAGCCCCCAGCCACATGTGCAGTGCCCACGTCAATTTTGGGCATGCAGGGTGGATGGGAAGGGTTGGAAGGAAGGGTGCAAAGTGCAGTTGTGATCATGAGGGTTGCATATGCCATGGCCATTGGACCTACATGGCATAATAGCATAACGTTATGTATATGTAGATGCAATAAAGTTTTACGGGAAAGGGGGGTCTACAGTTTCCGGTAGAATTATTGCGAAAGTCAGAGCTAAAAGAGTGGATTTTGTTGGTCTGTGCTCGTAGCAAAAATCTTTTAAGGGCCAATAGGACTATTGGGTCACGGAGAACCCACTTTCGCAATAATTCTACCGGAAACTGTACTCTAAATGCTGGGCAGACGTGCTCGGAATTTCGTCATGAGGTATCTTTATAACGGGCCCGCGATTATTTGACTCGACGGAAGAGTTCAAGTCTAGCTGCGGTCCAGAGTTGGGTACCACATGTATGGATGCCATCAGCGACAAGTTCAGAGGCCATTTTGCTTTTGCACCATACATGTCACCGCGGAGCAAGGCCACCCAAAAACCGCGCCTGTTCCGTAAAGTTTGCTGCCTGAATATTTAAATTTTTGTACCCCCAATAGAAAAAAGAGGGAAAAAAAAAGCTACGTAGAAAGAAGATGATTATAAAAAAGGGGAAAAAGAACCAAGCTTTTTAATAACTCCCCATTTGTCCCGCGGCCCCTAACCTAAACTAAAGAACCAAATACAACCCCCCCCCCCCCCCCCCTTTCACCCCCCCACACCTCCCACCATCCCACCCGCTGCAAGCCATGCCATGCCTTCCTGAACGCCGAAGAGACCGAGACCAAGACCCAGAAAAGAGAAAAGAGAAACGAGGACAAAAAGAGAAACAGAAAGAGACCCATATCTCCCGCCTATGCCTAGCTAGCTAGTAGAGACCCAGAGAGAACAGAGGAAACAGAAACAGAGGGAGCGAAACTACCACCGATAGCGCGTATTCTTCGGCGACCCCCACTTTGCATTCGGGTCGCCCCACGTCGGCTCCGGGTCCTGCTCCTCGCGGCCCGCATTGGTAGGCCTCGACTTGTGTGGTGGCGGTGCTGTAGGGGGTGCCTGGACGGCATTATCATGATGATGATAGTTATTCCACTGCCCATGGTTCTGTCCCTGCCCCTGCCCCTGCCCCTGCCCCTGCCCCTGCCCCTGTCCCCCATACCTACCGCCTCCGCCGCCGCCCCTCCCGCCGCCCCTCCACCCCCTCCCCCGGTGTCCGCCACCCCCACGATACCAGCTAGCATTCCCCCCGTCGTTCTTACGCCCCCTATACCCGCCACCCCCCCTCCCCTGCCCCTGCCCCTGCCGCCCCTCCTTCCCCTGCTGCCGCCCCTCCATCCTCTCCAGCCGCTCCTGCTCCTCCGGCCCCGGACACTCGCCCAGCACCGGCACCGTGAACGTCTTGACGCCCTTCCACATCAGCGCATCGACCTCCTCTGGCGCCGCCGGCGGCGGCGGCTCGTCCCAGCCGCCCACGACAGGCGCGTCGCTGCACGCGCCGATGATCTCGAAGGTCGCCGCGGCCGGCTCGGCGGGGGCGCGCAGGGTGAGGTCGGCGGCGGCGGCCTCGAGCTCCGCGATGTGCTGCGGCGCCTCGAGTTCGGTGGCGCCGAGCGAGGTGCCGCTGCGGTAGAGCGTGTCGAGCCAGGCGATAGTGTGGTGGTATTTTTCGGCGGATTTGTTGCCGGTTTCCCAGGCGCAGGGGGGGCCGGAGGTGGTGTTCCAGTCCCAGCCGTGGTGGGAGACCATGGGGTGGGTTCTGGGGAGGGGATTAGTGGGTGGTGTGGATGGGGGAGGGAGTTACAGGTTGGTGGTTACAGGTAGAGATGGGTGTGTTTCTGCTGGGGTGTGGAGTTGTGGGGAATATCTGGCTGGGGGATGTGTATATCCAGTTGGGGGATATAGAGCTGTGCGAGGATCAGCGATTGAGTGATGTGTGGTGGTGAGTGTTGAGTGTTGAGTGTTGAGTGTTGTGTGTGGAGTGTTGTGTGTGGAGTGTGGAGTGTGGAGTGTGGAGTGTTGAGCGTGGAGGGACGTTGGGTGTTGAGGGGCGATATGGGACGGACAGAGAGAGTGTGAACGACAGACCAAGAGACAGACGAGAGCGAGCGAGCGCCGTGGTTAATGTGCAATCGATTGATGTAACGGTTGCGTGTGTGGAGCGTCGTCGGGTTGCACAGCACAGCACAGCACAGCACACGCCCGGCCGTGATCAGGCGTTCACTCACGGCCTCGCAGTTCCTCACCCTCGCTCATGGTGCAGTCACTGTCTGCTCTCTGCCTATTCGGACAGTGCAGTGTGCTCCCTCCCTCCCTCTCTCCCTCCCTCCCTCCCTCCCGCTTCCCTCACACTCACCCGCCCACCCGCCGTCTGCCACCGTTCATAGCTTCTCTCCCGCTCCCCGTCAACAATCCCTGCCACTGCTCTCTCAATCCCTGCCACTGCTCTCTCAATCCCTGCCACTGCTCTCCGCGCCTTGCAAGGTTTCGCGGAGCCGCACACGCGCTGCCCACAACGGCTCGCCGGGTCACGCAGCAGCACGGGTCTCAAACATCGGGCGTGGGTCACAGCGAGGGAAGAAAGAGAGAAAGAAACAGAAATAGAAACGCTCGTCTCCCCCCCCCCCGTGCACGGTGCACGGTGCACATCTCACATATCATCATATCATCACCCCTCCTCACTCGCCCACACCCACCCACTCACTCATCCACCATCCATCACTCGGCCCTCGCATCACCGACCTCCTCGAGTCCCTCGAATCCCTACACACCAAGACGCCCCCCCCTCCCGCCGCAAACCCTCGCACAGAAGGCCAACACCCTCATCAACTCCTGGTTCGACTTCCACCACCCCACCCCCCACAACCACCCGCGCACCCGCCGGACAGAAAGATTACCGTCGAGTATGTCGACGGCGTGTTGGACCAGGTTGCGGCCAAGAGCCGCTTCTCGAGCGACGGGCTGCGCGCGGGCCTGTCGGCGCGGGAGGAGGGGACGAGGGCGGACATCCTGGAGGCGCTGTATCGCCGCCTGACGAGCGTGCAGGCGAAGTGGGTGACGAGGGTGGTGCTCAAGCGTTTGGCGCCCGTGGAGATGCCGGGTAGGCTGCTTTCTTCTTGTTCTTCTTCTTCTTCTTGCTGTGGTTGTAGTTGTGGGAGTGCAGGGCTAATGATAGCTGCGCCGGTTTCTGTGAAGAGAGCCATACGCTGTCGGCGTACCACTTCCTCATGCCGCACCTGTTCAAGTTCCAGCAGGACCTTTCCAAAGCCTGCGCGCTCATCTGCGCGCCCGAGTACCGCGTCTACGCACGCTTCCCGCCGCCCAGCGAGCGCGCGCAGATCCTACGGTCGCTGGCCGCACAGATCCTCAAGCCCGAGACCGGCGTCAAGGTCGGGCGGCCCGAATTCGTAAAAGCACGGGTAAGAAGACCCTTTACTACTACTACCCACTACTACTACTATGCTATATATATAAAAAATTAATCTATAATGATTATGGTTCAGAGCTGCAAACACGCCGCCGCCCTCGCCGCCGGCCGCACCTTCTCCCTCGAGCGCAAGTACGACGGCGAGTACATCCAGATCCACATCGACACCACGCGCCCCTCGCGCACCGACTGGCTCACGCTCTTCTCCAAGAGCGGCCGCAACTCCACCAACGACCGCATCCGCGTACACGAGTAACCCCCCCCCCAAAAAAAAAAAAAAAAATCCTCCTCCTCCTCCCCCATCCATCTGCATCACCAAATCTCACTCGTCCCCTAGAACACTCCTCACATCCCTCCTCCCCGCCTCCCACCACCCCCCCATTCACAACAGCAATCCTCGAAGGCGAGCTCCTCGCCTACAGCACGTCCACAGCCAGCATCCTCCCCTTCCACCACCTCCGCGCACACATCCACCGCGCCGGCACCTACATCGGCGCCCCGCCGCGCGACCGCTCCTCGCACCTCATGGTGGTGCTCTTCGACGTCTTGCTCGTCGACGGCGCCTCGCTGCTGCACCAGCCGTACCGCGTGTGGCTACAGCACCTCCGCCGCACGGAGGTCGATTTTGGGGTTGGGGATGGCGCGGTGGAGGCGCTGCGGGGGGTGGTTTGTGAGGGGTGTGGTGGCGGGTGGGAGGGCGTGGTTATGAAGCCGTTGGAGGGGGCGTATGTGGCTTTGGACGGCGGCGGTGGGGGAGGGGGCGATGGGAATGGGAGGAGTTATGGCCATGTGGGCGGGAGGGAGGCGTGGGTGAAGGTTAAGAAGGATTATATGGCGGGGTGTGGGGACACGGGGGATTTTGCGGTGGTGGGGGCGCGGGCGGAGGGGGCGAGGGGGTGGCGGTTGGGGGTGAGTGTTTTCCCTCTCTTTTTTGGGTTTGGGGGTGGGGGGAGGGTGCTGACGCGGTGGGTATACGTACAGTGGGCGCAAAGGCGCTGACGGTGTTCCATGTGGGCTGCTTGACGAACAAGGGGGAGGTGAAGCGCGGGCGCGCGAAGCCGCGGTCCAGGCTGGTGTTTGAGGTGTGCTACAGCGTGCCGAGGCATGATCTGGAGGAGATTAACCGCTTGGCGCCGTTTAGGACCGTGGCGTATGATGTGAGTGCCCGTTTCTTCTTCCTTTGTGGATGGTGTTGCTGTTGGTGTGATTGTCATGATCATTGACATTGCCCATGTTAAAACTTTGTGATCATTGGCTATATATGTGTGTCAATGGCGCTTTGGTTAGGAGCCTGTCTTTCTTTGTTGTTTTTATTATCATTGACCGTGCCTGTCTCATTGGTCCCACTACTACACCACAACCCCCCACCCGCCCCAAATCACCACCCACTAATGCCCACAGCCCGCCACCGCCCCCTTCACCCTCGACCCCCTCGCAGGCGTCACAGCCCCCACCCACCTCTTCCCCACCCCACTCGTCTTCGAGCTCACCGGCGGCGGCTTCGAGAAGCACGCAAACACGCCCTACTACGTGCTGCGCCACCCGCGCGTGTGCAAGGTCTACTTCGAGCGCGACTACCTGAACGCCATGACGCTGGAGGAGCTGCAGGACGCGGCGAGGGCTGCGGAGGCCCTGTCGTGCGGGGAGAGGGAGGAGGAGGCGGTGGAGAGGGCGTGGGTGGAGAGGTTGATGGCTGCGGAGAGGGGCGGGCTGAAGAGGGCGTGGTCGGAGGGGGTGGGGGAGGGGGAGGGGAGGGGGGTGGTGGGGTTGAGGAGGGCGGTGACGGATGGGGGGGGGTGCCAGTGGGGGCGGGGTTGGTGGTGGAGGGGGAGGAGGAGGAGGAGGGAGGTAAGGTGAAAAGGGCGAAGCGTGAGGTATCTCTTGAACCCGTAGAGCAGAACGCTACTGAACAGAAGACTGCAGAGTGGGAGATTGCGGAGCAGAAGACCGCAGAAATTGCTCCGGAGATTGAGTGTAAGCTCCAGGAAACGTCCCCCCCGCCAGCACTAGTAGAGGGTAATGATCAAAAGTCTGGAATTTCAGAGACTGCTGAGGGTGCGAATGTGGCAGCAGCAGAAAAACAGCACACAACACCCACACGCACACCTAAACCGGCAGGACAACCAAGTTCAGATTCAGTAGCAGCAGCTATTTCACCAGTAAAAGAAGCTGCGCCGCCGCCGCCTGTGCTTCGGGAGATTTCCCCAACGGTGAATCCACAGGGACGAAGACGCTCTTCGGGCGGAAACACACCGCCAAAACGGGGTCTAGTGGGGAGCGCTGCTAAGGAATTTGGCTTGTCTAAAAATACAGCTGGAAATGCGTCTATGGCTACGGTGCTGGAGAATGATGAGAACCAACAACCAAAGACACCAGTGCTGAAAAGTACGCCAAGCCAACTAATCGAGCAGCAGCTCATCCATGAACAGCGTGTCCAGCACCAACGTGCCCATAGCAAGCCACCGCCCATCCCCAACTGCGCCACCACCCCACCAGAAGCCAGCGAGGCCTTAGAGCTTAAAAACGGGCATTCACGCATCTCCCCTCTGCTCAACGCCACGGTCCTACTTCCCCACTACCTTTTCAAGTTCCCTGAGCTCACGGCCAAAATCACCGCCCACAAGCCCGCAGCGGTCCATGCTCTTCCTGCTGCCGCCGGGGATATACCCCCATTGATGCCGGCGAGCAAGAGGTGCGTGGTCTTGGTTGAGCCGAATAAAACAAGCTTGACGAAGAAGACGCTGAAGGGCTTGGCGGCGGCGGCGGGGGCTGTGGAGGGCGGGTATGGCTTTGAGGTGTATGATTGGAGGGTTGCGGGGAAGGTGCAGCCTGAGGGGGGCGTGGGAGGTGGATTGGAGCTTGTATCATGTTTGGAGCGTGGTTTGAGTTTTTGCTTTTAATATCTTTTCCCTGTTTTTTTTTTTTGTTTTTTATTATTATTGCTGTTTTGTTGGTTGATACACCCAGGGCTTTTATAATTTCTTTTGTGGTATTTTGTATTATTGCTATGCCCGGCTGTTGTAATTATCCCATTCCTGGCTATCGATGATCGATAGTCCAATGCAAGTATATTTGTATATCAACTAAGGCTCCGCAGACGCATCCCGCTCCCTATAACCCCCAAAGAACCGGACCCTACTGCCCCCGTTCAGGACCATCACCTTCGCCCTCTCAATCTCTTGCAAACTCGGGCCCTGGTCCAAAGCCGCCCTCTCCCTCTCCCTCTCCCTCTCCCTCTCCTCGCGTTCAAGGATGAGGAGGAGGTTACGCTCCCATCTCTCTTCAATTGGGATATATGGCGCCCCAGCGCAGTTGGCGGTGGATTGTGCTGCTGACGAAGAAGACATTGTTTACTATAGCTTGGTGGTGAGATGATGATATTGGTGTTAATTGTGGAGGTTGTTGTGAGGCTCGCGCGGCGGGTAGATACAGCATGATGGCACAAAGGAGATGCTGCTTTCATTGTTCTTATATACGCCCGCGCGGGTCATGACTTGAAAGACCGTCTTAGGGTAGTGCATGTAGTGGATATAAGCGTTTTCTTTGAGAATTTTCCTTGTCACGTGCAGTGGTATCTATCTACTTCTACTATACTATAAAAGAAAAAGTTTCCTAATCCCACATCCGGCCCTGACCATGGGGGAGACTAATTGGCCAAATAATGAGCGAGAAGCTAAGATAGTTCAATCTGCGATTGTAGGCCGGCCAGAGAGAGAGCTCTGATCGATATCACACATACCCCACTAAGGAAGGCCCTCAGACCCCTCAAAAAAAAAAAGGGGGGGCAATAAATACACAAAAAGTAATGCTGTGACCATACGCCCCTCACGGGCTATAGGCCCTAATTCACGGGGAAGGATCTGAGATCAACTAACCCGGTATATCGGACTCTACTCCCCGTTACATGCCGTACACCCCAGAGCATTACTCCCACCCCCGGAGTTGAATCCATGACCTCCGGACGGTCATGGTGGCTCAACCCACACGGTGTAGCAAGACGAGGCGTCTACCACTAGACTACCTCGCCCACACAACTGTCAAGGCCGGGAAGTAATACTTAAGGGAGTAACGGCTAGCTAGGGGGAGTACACCTAACCCTGCAATCACAATCTACTTGTACCACGAACCCACTGGCCACCCTCTTGTATTAATATATTGAAATGTCTCATTGCAGAATGTTAATTCGGGACAAAGATTCGAAGCTAGGCCATAGATCAGGTGGCTCGACTCTCATGTATAGCCACTGTCTCTTCCTATTTCCGGCCATGGTTGATAATTAGTGGTGCAGTACGTACGCATAGGTGCAGCGATTCTCGGAAAAATGTTGGAGCAATATATAGGATGTGTTGACTTTTTGTGTATCAGCAAGATTGTAAGTAGGGCGAGGCGATAGCACTCGAAATGTTAGCTAGCTCTGGAGGTACGTCTTTCCCCATCTACAGATCCCCCGTCCCACAGAACCAAACACTTCCCACGACACATATGTACAGGAAGCTTGATCTGTCAGGCTAGGTATTCCATCACTCAGAGCAGCCTACTTATAGTACTTTCAGAACCTAAGAAGAAGTTAGGAATAGATAGGGAAGTACTAGTGACTGTAAAGGATGGAAATCACGTTCCGTGGCCGTCAAAGTAATTCTAGTTCGATATTCTTGAATTAAGGATTCGTAGTGACCTCAATGGCGGATATATTATTCAGCTAGTAAGCTAAGGAGTTAACTATGTAGCTATAGGCGGCGGTACGGCGGGGTATACATCTGTGGTCTCAATTAATTGAAACCTGTGGTGTGGTTAGTTTCCCCTAGCATACCTGACACGGAGGGTGGTTGTCGCTTCTGTCATCAGCTCGGCCGAGTGATCTTCTATGATTGGGATTTCGGTTCGCTCCTCGGCACCCCACCACCCGGCCCCACCATCGCCTTCTCTCAACTGGGTAACGTTTCCACCGTCTCTACCCCCACTTTCTTATCCGTCATCACTTTCATTACTAAGCCCCCCACTCTTCGACAACGCGTTTCACTGTTTTCTCACCATCCCTACAATTACATATATGTAGCCGGCCGCATGCCGATAGGGAAGGAGAGCAGAAAATGTCGCCGCCGGGAGCGGGATTAAAACAGAGATAACAGAAAGATCAACCCTCTCCCCGCATATGCAAAAGATCGAGACCAACAAGAAGGTACCAGGATAGTACAGGCTAGCCACCGGATATCTGTCTGGATGAATCACATATCTGGATATGAAGAGATGGAGATCATTGAGTAAAGCACGTTGATAGTCACCATCCATGTCACTTAGGAAATCACTTTGGTCCCACAGGTGTAAGGGCCAGGTCGACTCACATAGACAGGCTTGATGACCCTCAACACCGAGTTATCAGGGTCCCAATCATCTCCTAATATGCAAGTAGATCTCTGCAACCGTCACATACCCTGGAAATGAGTAGCTCCCTCCGTAAGACTGATCATCACCAATCGAGTGATTCCTTGTGCGCCAAGCTATGCAGCAGCTGGCTCCAATACGAGACTAGAAGTCTGGAGGGCCGGAGTAACTTCATCGTTTCTTGCTTCTTGCTATCCTCATAGCTCAGAAGAGATACACCTATCAATCTGGACTAACAGATGTGGAGAGTCCCAATGGAAAGCGCATTTACGCAAGCAAGAAAGGTTTAGCGCACCAGCAATAAAAGGAACTAGTGGGCCGTTAGAGATGGCCCACGCTCAATACGAGGAACTTCACTATTTTTGGAAATGGGTTATAGTTGGCTTTGAGACGAAAGGAGTGATCTGCGTTGTCCATCGAGGCAATCCGCGGACAAAGTGCAAAGACTTGTATGCACAGGCCAACAACATATATGACTACTCTATTGGGGCGCAGCTACAAATAAGGTTCAAAAGGACCAATAGTTAAATGAAGAGACATGCCGGTCCAGAAACATTACAGGAGACGACGTGTCGGCCCATCGAGGACACCCTTAGGAGCGGCGTATGCCGTAAATGAAGCGGTGCCCAATCGAAATACAGAATAGAAAAAATCACCATCCCTTCTCCTTCGGTTTGAGTAAAATCATGCAATAACAATCATTTCCATGGACGAGGATTGGAATGGTGCCTTTACCTACATGTATCCTTTGCCTTGGACCCTTAAAGCGGGGGGACCTTTGTCTGTGTCACATGCACCATCAACCCTACCTTGAAGTGCAATAAAGAACCTGCTACAGGGATTGGGGGGCTTACGTCCCCCGATCTCACAGATCACATAGATATCGTAATTGGGTAGAACTTAAGGTTGTGGGGTTAGCCTGCATCCTTGTATCACAATGAAGGGACGAGCTAATTGCCAGGAGGCTGGGACACGGAACAGGTTTATATCCTTGCTGTTGTGTGAAGTGAAAGTTTTACTTTTTTGTCGGGATTGGAGGGATGACAAGTTGGGTCACGGATTTTTGAACCAGTCAACGTTTGTGTTTATCGGGGGGTGACCGGTGGAACACTGGGAGATGCTCCTAACGACACATGCCTCCATCAATGTTTTCTGCACGCTCAACCACTGTTTCCCTGTGGGCCAGTTATACATGACGTGGTTGACTTTCTTCGGTGGAGAGACTTTGTTACCTGGACATTAAACCCAGCCAGTCCAGCATATATTACATTACACTATGTGCCTCATGACGATCAACAGGCCTAATATTCTGACAACAACTGTAAGCAACAAAAAGATTCTAACCTAAAAAAGTGCAAGAAGTTAAATCAACCACGGGGCCAAGAACCACAAGCCCCAAGTCGTTTGTGCTGGTTTTGAGACATCCACTAAGATTGCGAGACCTGCGCTGATGACTGGGCTTTACTACTACTGTAGTTATAAGCAGTGAGTCAAATTATATGAAGAAGACACATATATCTTAGTAGAGTCGTTGTAAGAAAACAAGGTTTGCCGAATGTCTTGATTGAGATCATCAGGAATCACTCGCAAGAGATCTGGATCCTGTTTAATTAGCCACGAGCAGGGTACAGTCGACTCTCGTTATAAGGATGGCAATCGGCGGTCCCGAAATACAATACTTTTTACCCGTACCTCCTTCGTATAGTGATACTCGCCTTAAAAGAATATAGTCAACACAGGTTTTCGGTCCCGACCGTATCCTTATATCGAGAGGCGACTGTAGCTTGTGTTCGTCTTCCGGGACCAATTTGTACCGCTCGTGCTGACATAGATTTGGTTATTCGTATATAGCATCGCACATCAAAGTCTACCAAGTTATGGAAATACAAACACCCATTATACAAAACACGGCGGCCCACAAAATTGATGTAGAAACAAGCAACCGCATATGGCGCCTAAATATGTGAGCATATACGCAACTCATGTATTTGTATCGCATAAATGAGAAAAATAGTCGTGTAAAAAATAGAAATCATAAAAAAATCAATGAGAGTAAGAAAAAATAGGTATCATTAGGGATTCTTTTCATATTACGCAAGATGAAAAGAAGCGAGCAAAATGAGTGAAGCTCCACGGTCTACAATCTTTGGGCAAAGTGAAAAAAAATCCCCCAACTCCACTTAGACAAATCCCTAGTCATTACCAATTCATCGACACGTTACAGTTCCATAGATAAAATATCGTCGTCCTCTGCCTCGCACGCACATATAGAGTACCTACCCCGCCAACCTCACAGCACTTAACCAACAGTATTAACGATCTCAGATGCTCTGGTCAGCGACTCAACCATCTGTTGACACTCCTTCCTTCTTCGAACGGTGTAGTCGCTCTCCTTAAGCAAGTTGTCTAGTTCATCCGACTTGTAAAGATTCTCTAAAAGTTCACGTTGCATCTCATCTTTCGTCAATCTGTTCGAAAAGATATGTTAAACCTCTGGATATTTCTAGGAGATGGGGGTGCTGGTACATACTGGACCAAGTTCAGCATAATAGCTTTGGGTACCATATCAATCATAGTCCTTCTAACAATATTGTAGTATGAGTTGATCAAAAGCTCTGTGGATCATGTATTAGTTTCAAGTTCGGATGCCTCTTACTGCGGGGCCAAAGAACGTACTGATGACCTCAACCTCAATTCCCTCTCTTTCAGACAAAGTTCCAGATGCCTTCAATGTAGCTGGTGGGGGCTCCATTGCGGCCATCTTCTTCTTGTTTTTGCTTGCAAAGAAACTGCCAAAGAAACCGCCGTTATCAGGGCCTGAGTCCAGACTTTGTGGGTTTGGCGAATCCCTGCCGCCTCCTGGGAGTGGTTTCCCGGTCTTTGGATCGACTTGTACAGGCTTGGCAGAATTATGTCTCTCGTTTACAATAGCCATAGCCTTGGATATTTGTTAGTTATGCTTTTTATAATTGTACGGGTGTAGGATGATTTACCCTGTGTCCATTAAGGAAGTCGGGATGTCCGGTATTGATGTAGCAAGACTCCATAGAAACCATATCTTGGACCAGTTTGTTGGTTGGCCCCATTGCTTTTTTGAAAAAGGCAATAACGACCTGGTGGAATTTCTCTTTAAGGCCTGGGTATCTCCGGAAAAGCTGTGTTTACGAGTTTAGAGTGAGCGTTATCGCGTTGCTACGAGAATTAGAAGGCACAAACCTGCTTTTGAAGAAGCTGCGTCAATATTCTGACCAACTCGTCATATACAAGACTGACACACTTCAAGCTAGGGTCCTCTAGCCGTTTGATCTGCTGTTTTACGATAAGTTCGAAGGCAGTAGTTCCCACAAACAATGCCGGCGAAGATCCAGATGAGTTGTAAAGAATGGTTCTTATGTCGATATCCTTGACTTGGTCGAATGGATCTACAGCCTTTACACCATTTGCGTACAATTCATGGAAAACAAAACTAATACGTGCCCCGCCAGAAAGCTCAATACTAGAGAGCTCTTGGTTATTGCCGTCAAGCACAGTCCGGTATTCGTTACAAAACTCTGTGATGATATTAAGAATGATGTTGGCACTATTACCAAGGAGTGAATCGCCAAGTGTTGCGAGCTCAGCTGAATATTTCTGGAGGGAAGATGAAATGCGAGATTTGATATCTGGAAGAGTCTGCTTGATGTGCATCATCAAAATCTAGAAATTTAATTTTGTTAGCTTGGGTGCTTGATGAGTTTTTCCCGAATAATGCTTCCTACCATATTGAGCTTCCTGGCAAGATAAGGCGTTCCGCAATAGGCATGCTTGTTCCTATACGCGCTATGGTTCTCGAAAAACGCTTTCTCATGTTCCAAGGCCGAGGAAATGAGCTTTCTGTTATCAATATCACGCTGGCCACGGTTGACAACTGGCACATATCCTAGTCGCAAAGGAATAACTCTCCCAGCAAGAATATCAACAACGTTGGTGCCCTCGTCCATCAAATCAATCTTCGTAAGGACACCAATAGTCCGCTGACCTTCGGGATCAACCTCCCTTGCAAGCTTCAAACCGTCGGAGTTCGCCAAATCGGTGTTTCCAGCAGTGACCGCCAAGATAATTGAATTTGTCTTGGAAATCTGCTTGAGAACCATGTCCTTGATCTGTCTCTCAATGTCCTTCGGTTGATCACCCACAGGCACCTTTGTCAACCCTGGAAGATCGACCAGGGTCAAAGTCAAGACATTAGGAGAGTAGATCCGGAGACCGATGGGCTGAGGTGAGATTCCCTGATTCTTTCCTGTTTTCGCATCGGTTTCCCGTACGATCTCGTCTCGAATCTTGTTGAAGTCGTAGAACTTCTGGCCTGGAATGTGAAGAAACTCTCCCCACTCGTCGAGGTTTGCCCCCACATCTGATTGCTTCATCTCATCCTCCTCCTTATTTGTGCCATTTGTTCTGTTAGTAGTACCGGGGCGGTTGATAAGTTGCAATACCTGCCATATAGTTAGATATAGCTCCTCCGAGAAACAAGTCAAACATAATGCTTACCAACGGCCTTCTTGTAACGATACCGGTACCTCGGGGAAGACTAAAAAGTTCAATATATTGGTACTAAATCCCGACATGAAATTATAGAGGGTAAATAGGGGGGCCTACAAGTCTCTCCCGACGATGTTTTCTAGCACCGAACTCTTACCGCTGGATTGGGAGCCAACAACTACGATCTGAGGCAGGTCGATGGGGTTTTGGACCTGTGGATATTGCCAAATCAATATTAACTACAAGTCCCCCGCACCCGAAGATAGTGGATAGGGGTGAGAGCGCAAAACTACATACTCCTACAGTTGCAAATACATCTTGCAACTTATTGACGAGTGTGATTAGCCCAGGATCGTTGACGTTGATACTGGTTCTATAGCGGAGAGGGTCAGCGGGTAAAACACTTTGACGAACTTCCAGCGCAGAAGCTACCGGAATGAAGGGGGGGGATAGTTACGAGGGCTGTGCCATCGCGGATCAAGACGAAGCACGGTGTATAAAGTATAAAGTTTGAAGCTGAAAGGAAATATTCAGAGATGAGGAAACGGGGATGATGATGTTGGCGTAGATGCCGGTGGAAGAGCTGATTGTGGTGGGTAGGATGAGGTGGTTACGAGTACAGTTTCTGGCATCACACAAAAGAACTGCTGCAAGGCTTGTTGTTTCAATTCAATGGCCATCGCTTATGATCACGTGACGGGTTGAACTCCATGAACTTGATTGTTTTCGAGATTTTCTTTCACAACACTGATGCGAACTTTTGGGGGCATATTTATCTGAAGATTTGTGTATTTTTGATATCGTTATCATTTCCCTTGTACGCAATTCGCCTGCTGGTGGACAAGCTTTCGAACCTCCTGCAAAGAACATCCTCAAATTGACAGTCCTGTTGTGAATTCCAGGTAAACATTTGCGCCTCTAGAATAACCTCCGACGGGTTTCGGCCCGTCAAAAGCTCAAATACCCACTTGTGAAGCTATCGTGGACTTATGAAAACTTTAATATTATCAACCGCTTTGCAATTTGTCAAGATTTGGCTTGTTTCACCCCAGCAAGAATGCCGAACGCACATGTCTCCCCTTATCTACTGTAACTTTTCCCAGGTCAGTCTGTGCAATTTTTAACTACATAGTATTTCGACAAGCTGCTCGAATCAAATAGCCAGGGTTGCTTAAGCATATTGCTTTGTGAACAACAGATACTAGCCCCCCAGAAACAAGACCAATGATCAGAACCATGAGATATAACAAAAATTCTATTACCTCACTCAATATAACCCATACCCAGCCCCGCACATGTAACTTGCCCAATAGTAAATCAGGAAGAGAAGCCTACGCAATCTCTCTGCTCCCCTCATTCTTGAAATAGCAACCTAGGCCTACCAATCGATAGATGTGAAGACCTAACTCCATTATCTAAACCACCGTCAATTCATCCACGATGATGCCAGCTGCAATATCCTTCAATTTTCACTTTTAGTAGTGAGGAGACGCCAAACGTCTCGTTCTGCTTTGTTCAGGCAACTGCAAGCTCTTTAGAGTAATGGCCGGGATCACCATGTTAGAAGTTGCCATAGTCAACAGCCGGCCCCGCAGGGATGGGGAGGTCCATCTGCTACAAACCAAAGAACCAAAATACCTTTGTGTATTTGGTTAAATTTGGAACCGCCCCCCCCGATGTCACTGTATGTACGCACTTCTCGCCTAGACTATAAGCTTGTAACATGTTGAGTAATATATGATAGTTGTGCAAGAGCTCAGTGCTCATTGTGGTCTGTCAGAGCATGGCTTAGATCTTGTCGAGCGGCGAGCTCCTGATCTTCAGTGAGGGTTAATCTATGTATTGCACAAACGGCATTCGCGTAGGTGGGGGGGCATTATTTGCCTACTTCCAGCTTGAAGTGAATTGGGTCGCTCAGGATATTGTCGTGCCGGTATATAGTAATGAGTAGACAGCGTAGTATCCGTATCTAGCCATCTTTATTTTCGGTACATTGCAATTGCTAATGAGATTGATGTCAGGCCCAGGTAGGTGTCTAGATAAACGGTTGCGTAGGTACGACAGAACCAGAAAAGATGCAATTATCCTGTCAGCCGTGTTTTTGGCGATTTTTTCCAAATTGTTATAAATTTCACACCCAGTGTGGAAGGAGAGTCAGTCGTTCCAAACAATTGGAATGCACTAAGAGCGATTTTGAGAATTCAAAAAAACCATGAGAGTATAAGCGATCCCGTCGCCGCGAACACCTACGGTACTGGTAACTGAGTTGTTGATATGGGGTTTTGTATCCGGTTAGACACATAGGTATTTGTTGTGAGGGAGAGAGAAGGCCGATCACACCGAGGTCTTTCCTTGTAAGGCTTGCCTTGTGGAAAGGTAATTGATCACTCGTGATCCATCATCTTTGCCGTGGCCTGGTTCTGGGCACGCACAGTTCAAAAGTCGCAATTTCGCTAAAGGAAGAAAATTGTGTCGACCACGGACGAAGATCCGCTTGACGTTAAAGCGGATTTTTAAACGAAAGATAGATAGATATTTTGCCGCTGCGGATATGTAGGTCCCACGGCTTTGAGCAAGTGACTGGAGAATTCCGCTGCTGGTAACGAACAGGTTGCGCAGTACCTAGGCACCTATATGTAGGCATGAACGTGGATGCCAGGATCCTTTACTCGTCTTGCTGCGGGGGAAAAAGGCATGAAGTTTGAAGAAAGATATCGATATTTTTCCAGCCTGCCTATGAGCAACTACGCCCGACTGCACCGTACCTGGCGATTGTTATTTTAACGTTGAGGCTCCGATGCAAAGGCACGCAAGTTTGAAACGTAAGAAGATGGCGGAGATCTTTAGCCGCCCGTCTTTTAGAAATGGATGTCGGTATCACATCTAATATTTCATTTCTTTCCGTATCCAAGCCCCCCCACATAAGAGTATCGTCTTATGGTATTTCCTAGAGTAGTCTACCACACTCACATCTTGCAGCCTCGCCGAGAAGAAGAGAAGGAGGGGGACCCGCTGACTGAATCCAGCTCGCTGACTCGCACGGTGACCTGCTCAGCAATCAACGGCAGTTCGTTTTGTTTCCCCTGTCAATGGTTATCATTGGCGGCGTCCCTTCTTGCATAATATTATGACATTGCAGTTGCTTTTTTCTGGAGGCCATTTCTTTGCAGGTAAGTAAGTAGTTACTAATGTAGTAGTAGGGTAGGTAACGTAGCAAACTAATACCAACTACTACACAAAGCAGGAAACACCCGAATAGCACCTCGGGAGCAAGTATTCGCGTGGTAAAGCGTTTTACCATTCACTTTGAGCGGTGATCGGGTCCGGTTGTAGAGAGGCTTATGGAGAGGGGGGCTCAGCCGGTGGGACTCGACACACCGCCGCAGACGGGCCAGGGCTGCCCTTCCCCCTCCACTGCCTGAGTCCATGGAGAAGAAGTGGTACCCTTGATTCAATTAAAAATACCCGGCCTTGCGTGTGCGAAGGGGGGGGGGGGGGATCACTCACTTACATCAGTGGTACTTACATGTATGTATTCTACACATGTCTAAGGTGGTTTTACTAGTTGATGGAGGGTTAATAATTTAAATCATCTGGTTGCCCGCCCACACCCAGCCTAAAGGAATTTCGCACCCTTTCAAACTCTCCAACTTGCCAACCTGATTGATACATTCGTTTGAAGGAACTAAACTTGCCAATCGCTTTGTTTGTCGGATGGGCTCTCTCGGACCATCTCTATAAATTCTATGACACTTACGATCACTATCCCTATGACCGAGTCTGACCAACCTATCGAAATGTGCCCCAGCGACGATGGAGATGATGTCTTTGACAACAACGTTTTGAGGGAAGATGCGGGGTTGGATATTGAATTTATCGAGCCATACGTTACTGCGAAGGAAGCACTATGGCTTGTGCCTGGGATCGACTATATTGTTCAGAATACGTTGAGGAGGATGGAGAAATCGTTCGCCTACAATTCGGTCTACTTTTTGAAGGTCATTCTTGATCTCCAGGTCACCTACTTGGGCTTGGATTCGTCGCCTCTTTCAGATACACTGCTTGACACCAAGCTGGTGTTGCGTATCGCTGAGCTGATGGCTGGGAGAATGGCACAGAAGGACAAGGACAACGCATCACTATCGAGAGAGCTTCAGCTCCGCACACTTGTTTCGGCGTTGTCACTGTTGTATCAGGTCAGGCCTAGGATCGAGAAGATCAAGAACGAAACATATGCAAAGCTACTCAAGGATATATCGGAGAGAGACACAGACAACCGCGCAAGATTTGAGGCAGGAGATGACGAGAAGCGCAATAGTGGTGATATCGAGTTCCTCGTTCGATACGCTTGCGATCTTATCAGGTGTTTGCCGAGTGATATCCCGAGTTTCAACGATTTAAACACGCCAACAATACATTTCCTTTTTGCAGCGGGTTTTATTGTAAGTTATTTCGTGTTTTCGGCCGTTTCTTAAACTCGTGTCCTAATCTCTTCTTTTTGCATTAAGAACCAACTAGATGGTGAAACGACTCCAGAGGCCCTAGACAGTATCTTTGCCAGAATAAAAGCACCACCATCAGAATGGCACAAAGACATGCGACATCTTTACGAGGGGACCGCGGGTGCGATTTCTCTCCAACACCAAGCGCAGTCCAGAAATCCCACACGGGCATGTCAGTATGCACCTGTCTTAGCGGCGGATATTTCAAGATCGATCGTGGAAAGGGCCGAACAAGAGTTGTTGGCACTGATCTCACAAGACGAAATTATAAGCGAGCCAATCAGCACCCCTGCTGGGGTACTTCCAAAGCATGAAGCCCATCTAATGATATCGGGTCTTTTGGATTTACTAAACCAACTAGTTTCTGCGTTTCCTACTTCGGAGGAGATTGTAGAGCAGGCGAGAGGCCTATGTATGAAGATAATACAAACCTCGGAGAGACCTGCATTCAGATATAAGGCCGTAAGTTACTTAAAGCAATCAGGTACATTACCTTACATATGTAGTTGCTAACAAGCAAAAACAGTTTGAGATCATTATATCATCTACCATAGGCTATACCGAAGCCGAATACTTTGGGATGATGCGCGACCTAGATTTGGTAATTGAACAGTACTTTGGTGTTATTAGTGGCCCGGTAGCAAGTGATGAAAGAAACCTTCGGATTGAGGAGCTTAAAATAGAAAAACGGGAAACCATGGAACGGTGCGAAGAGAAGACTGTCTTGTACAAAGGTGCGGTCGAGTCTATGCAGCGTCGCATTGAGATTCTACATTCCGGCACAAGATCCGCTACTACTCCCTCTTACCGAAGTACCAATAACAACGATGAAGTTATGCGTAGTAGCACTTGGGGACCGATGGACGATAATGCCCGGTCTACCACCACGGCGAGTCCAGTTCCAAGCAGTATTCCCAGTCAGGCTCCAACTTTATCCAGTATTGCACCGACTTGCGACTCCAATGTTAGTCCTACAGAAGACACATGTACCTTACTAAGTCCCACCGATACTTTCCGTTCACTTCTTAGTCCTATCTCAAGGCTTCAAAACTCCGACTCTCCAATAGTAGAATCTCCAATTCTTCCACATCTATACCGAACTCCTAAGCTACCCCAGGGAAGCTTTCTTGCAAACGCACCAGTCACCCCTCAAGAAGCCATTACCCCAGACTTTGATGCTACTCTTCGTTTTGACCATCTGGATCAACTATTCAGCGAAAGTTTGTTTGAAGAACCCCAAGAAGAGTATCCGGAAGACGCCAACGTCTCCAAAGTATCCTTTGAGCTCCCCATCCAGTCTTTCGACGACCGCAAATCCGCACTCTCCCAGCCTGTATACATTCGCCGCGAAGAGCAGTCCTCCGACTCGGAAGAATACCAATTCCGCAAACACTCCCACGACAGCCTCCACTATAGACCTCCTGCTACAGACTTCAGCCAGATGCAGCTCGAACCCCACCAACAACAGTCTCCAATCTCCACCTACCCCGAGCCCTCCCTATCACGCACGCCCTCCGGCCAGAGCGGCATGGGCCGCTTTTCCCGTGCTAGCAGGATCTTCTCTCGTCGTCCCGGTTCCCTAATCGGCCGCAACCCACCGCGCTTCAGCAGCCTACAGCTCAACAAGCCACTCCCACCGCTCGACACAGCTGAGGATGCGCCAGAGCCCGTAGAACCGAACGCACCACCGGTCATTGTCGAGCCCGCACGCTCCCAGTCGGCTCTCGAAGTCCGCAGCGAGAAGCTGGACTTTATGAGGATGCGCAGCAACTCTGCGCTTGGGCATGGAAGGTCAATCAGCTATGAGCCAATGATGCCGATTTTCTCGGGCGTGGAAACGGTCCCGATCAGGGCCTGGGACACGATCGAGTATGAGTCGCAGCCGTATGAGGAGATCTTCAAGGTCGCCCCGAAGGACAACTGCTTCACTGTGTTTCTCTCAGCAGATGCGAAGTATGCGGTGTTTATGACTCCGCATGGGTTCCAGGTGTTTACGATCCCGAGGCCGGGGGAGACCTGCTCGACAAAGCCAAAGTTCACATATAAACTTGGTGAGGCGGAGGGTCTACGGAAGGGCAAGGTCACATGGGGCTCCTACAAGGGCGGAGCGGCATCAGAGAAATATGTTGTTACGATCACTGGCAAGCGGGTTTGTTTCTCCCCCCCTTCTAAGTCTCTTTAGATATGTAGATACTAACAAGTATTGGGGCAACAGGTCCAAGTGCATGATCTTGAGCAGGAATGCAAGGTCATCTTCACAGAGGATATGAACGCATGGGAGTTTTCCTGCATCGCCATTGAGGCGGACAAGCTGGTGGCAGGATTGACAAAGCCTCTCATGGGCGAGAGCGTGGGCATGGTCCGCATCTTCCGCATGAACGCACCAACATACTCCGGACTACGCTGCGAGAAGCTGCGGGATGTGCACCTTCCCATCAACCCCAGATCTCCCCGTGATGCCCCGCACATCCTCTCAATATCAAAAGACGGCAATATCCTCACCTGCGCGACCCCCAAGCACGGCTACTACTACTCATGGAACATCGCCAAAGCACGTATAGAGGAGCCCACTCTCATCACCAGCGGGCGTCTCAAGGCCACTGAGGTTTGTTCCCCCCCACATATTTCTCTTTGACCAACTTGCATACTAACCTTTTTACACTAGGGCTTTGGTTCCGAAACAATCTCTTCCGCAGCACTCTTCCCAGACACCAAGAATATCCTCGTCAGCACATTCCCCACCAGCCCCAACGAAGGAGACTGGAACGGCTCCTTCACCGAGCCCGTGGGCACCACATTCAGCAAGCCGCAGTCGCGCCCCGTCCGGCAAGTCGGCCTCCGCGTCACCTCCACCGCTATTGCGCCTCTCGGAAACGCAGCGGCGTTCCTGACGAAGAGCGGCACGATCTGGGTCGCGCCTCTGGCGTACGTCGAGGACGATGAGACGAACCTTACATCCTTTTCGCCAACACACACAAAGGAGAGGCTGCAGAACCAACAGACGCCCGAGACCGCGGGTAGGATGATGTTTACGCCCGAGGGCGATCGGCTGGTGGCGGTTGATAGGAAGGGAAAGATTTTGAGTCTCACGTTTAGGAAGACTGGGTTGTCGCCTGTGTTGGCGCCGCCGATGAAGTTGGATGTTGGCGGTTACTTCTAGGGAGTCCGACATTCTCTCACAAACACACACACATACGTACTAGTAACTACTGGTCTGGGTTTATATTTTTTATCAGCTTTATTTTTTTTATTTTTTTATCTTTTTATTTTAGTCTAATTATGGGAGTTTTTGGATCTGGGGAAATATTGGGGTACGGGAATTTCCTTGTTTTACTTTGCTTTTTCTAACTCTTTTCTTTTCTTTTGGATCAACCGCAACAACAAATGGTGGGGGGGGTATACCTTACGGAGTTTTTTTTTTTTTTTTTTCCTGTTTGGGCAAACTAGGGGGGTCAATTGGTCATTGGCTTTTTCGTCTTCGTCTTCGACATCTTCTTTGTTTTTTCTCTTACTTTCTATTCTGTTTGTTGTTTTTTCTTTCTTTTTGGGGCTATATTTTTGTTTGTAGTCAGAGTTAGTTTTTTGTAACTGTACACTATTATATCCATCAGCGATGTCGAACGTTAAGGCTTGCTGCAAGCTTGTAAATAATAAAAAACCCATATAACAACTATAACTATGAAAAGTATTTTTAAACTCCCCTCATAATAAGTGTTTTTATTACTCTAAAGTCAAAATGCCATATAACAGTATTTTTACTCCAAAGCTTAAGTCAAAATCGACGATATTTCTTTCTTTTAATCTTTCCGCCAGCAAGCTGCTCGGCCACAGACTATGTAGCAGCATCTACACCAATTCTCTGGTATCATTATAATTAGTACCGGCCTACCTACAGCTGCAGTGCAGTATGTCAAAACGAAACGGCCTCCTGCGAAAAAAAAGAGAACCCGATACCCAGGTCCAGCAGATCCACGCCCCCTCCCCCTTCCCCCCATGTCGAGATATGTCAATATGCATGTACATAGAGTGCCAGAATTCCCCATGAACCCATTATGCATATAGATTGTCATTTTATTTTTTCCCCCTTCGCTTTTCGACGCTCGCGAATCGTGTTTTTAGCCTGACATCCTGACGCATGTACTCTATGTCCTGCAGTACAGTGCATACTATCCCATACCATCCTGTCCCAAATATCCCATCCCTAGAAAACGTACGTAGTAGGTAGGTGCAGTTGTATGTATAGACATCTATAGACCTAGCAAAGTACCTACATACAGTAAAGTACATAGCTAGAGTAGTATACAATTGCTATAGCTAACCGCCGCGCGCCCGGCCTTTTCTTCCCTTCCCTCCAACCCCAGCCGCATGAACGTCCACGACCGGGGTGGGCTATATTGGCTAATATTACACCACAATCCCAAAGTGCCGGGACGGACAGACCCAGCCTGCTTGCTGCTGCGGGTGGTTTCTATTCTTCTGCGTGCGGGTGGTGGCGCGAGGGAAAATAGCAGCAAGCAGGTGGGAGGGTGAATTGACCTGACCTGGAAAACGAGGGAGTGGATTAGTGACTGGACTGACTTGTGGCACAGCAGGCAATGTTTGGTTTGGGCGTGAGAGTCTCGGGGCCGTGGCCGCGATGGGGTTAGCTGAGGTGTTGTGCCTCTGGAGGATGATGTATGGGTGTATGGGAAGGTGGGAGGGAGGGATGGATGTACCGTACACAGACAGCCAGACAGACAGGCAGCCAGACATGAGAGCACCTGTAGGTACTCTACCTGTCTGCGTCAGTCCGTCTGTGTCTGTCTTTGTGCCACAGCAGCCAGACACAAAGGCACGAGTAACACAACCCCCTCCCCCCCCTCTGGCGGACCACACGGGGGCCAGCTGATCAAAAAACTTAATTGCGGCGTGCCATGCCAATCCAATAAATATCCCGGGTGCGAGTTCGGTCAACGGTGAGGCAGTTGAGTAGATCTGACTAGACTTTGGTTTGGGTCGCGGCCGGATCGGCCGGTCGGTTGGTCGGTCTAGGTTGCCCGCGCGCGCGCCATACCCGCCGCATTGCAGGTGCGAGTGAGAGGGCGTGAAGACGGTTTGGGTTGCGTTGAGTCGAGTCGAGTGATTACTTGCGTTGCTGATGTCAACGCTCAGCCAGATGCGGTAGTGAGAACCTAGACGTGCAGTATGCGGTGTGGAGATTAAGGTAATGAGTAATCCGGCCAGAAATTCGAAATCTGCTCTTGATGATGCACAGAAGCCTCAAGACACTGGCTGGCTGACATGACATGACGGAGGGACGCTTTGTCAGTAGTCACTATAGATCAACGGTGTGTCTTCCGGGCTCCGAGATGGGAATTGCTATTACCAATACTACTTACTTTACTTACCAAACTAATTGAATACTCTACGCCCTATCTACTATCTAGATACTATATAACCCCAAAGTAAAGTAATCATCCTCATTCCACTACCCCGGCCATGTACCCACGCATCTAGCGTACATATAATCTCATCATCATCCGAAGTCCGGGCTCGACTGTACCCGCAACAGCTAGCTTCCGATTAGCGACGGATGCTGACGTTAGATGACATCTAGCAGTATTAGTATTAGTATTTTTCCTTTTCCCTTCCCACCCCCTGCGTGTGCGCATCTCATCAAGATCCTTGTTGTGGGTGGCTATGGCTGCGCGCATGGTTTATGTAGTTGGTTAGAGCAGAATAGGAAATGGCCTCCGAGTGAGATCCTGTGGCTTGAAACCTACATACCAAGATACCATTTCGTTACCCGGACGCCTCTTATCGATAGGCCCCGCATGCGTCATTCATTTAGCTTGTTTCCCCCACCGAGTGGTAAAAAAACAAACTCAACTCTACAATTGACAAGTGCCGAAATGGGACATCTCGCGATCTTGGCAACGTGGTAATTATCTACTATTTCTCTCCCCTCTAAAGATATGAGCATTGCTAAATATCACATTACAATTGCATAGCTCCCTCAACCAGTGGGCCCTCGATTTCGAAGGCAATGCCGAACGCATTATCGAGAGCATCCGAATCTCGAAAAAGGCCGGTGCGTCGTTGAGGGTTGGGCCGGAGCTGGAGGTGACGTGCGTATAGATTTTCCAAATATTGCAGTATTATTGGGATCTAGTATTGGGATTGGGCTTATGTAGATTTTTTTGGTGGGGTTGTAGTGGATATGGATGTCTTGATCATTTCCTCGAAGGTAGCTCACTTATTTGCGTGCTTCTTTTTGGGGGGAGTATATAACTAAACCTAGGGCTCATATAAAAAGGCGACACCTACCTCCACTCCTGGGAGATGCTCGTCAAGATCATCTCACACAACGACTGCCAGGACATCCTCCTCGACATTGGAATGTGCGTAGCCTAGCGACAAACCCTGCTCCCACTAACTAACTAGCTCTAACAATTACTCCCAGGCCCGTCGGCCACAAGAATGTCCGCTACAACTGCCGCATCATCGCCTACAACAAGAAGATCCTCCTCATCCGCCCCAAGCTCTACCTCGCCAACGACGGCAACTACCGCGAGATGAGGTACTTCACGGGCTGGGGCAGGGTCAAGTATGTAGAGGAGTACTATCTGCCAAGGATGGTGGCAGAGGTGACGGGGCAGAGGAAGGTCCCGTTTGGGGATGCGGCCATCTCGACGCTGGATACGTGTATTGCGGCGGAGACCTGCGAGGAGCTGTTTACGCCGAATAGGTAGGTGGTGTAGATGCGAGATGGTGCTGTTTTGTAAAGTGGTTTGGCGGTATACTGATGGGATTGCAAGTCCACATATTGGTATGTCGCTAGATGGGATTGAGATCATGACCAATTCCAGCGGAAGCCATCATGAGCTACGGAAGCTCAATACGAGAATCGAGTTGATGACTGAGGCCACCAAAAAGGTAATACAGTACCCAAATCTTCCACAGAAACAAGCTTAACATGACCCTCAGTGCGGCGGCATCTACCTCTACGCCAACCAACAAGGCTGCGACGGTGACCGCTTGTACTACGACGGCTCCGCGATCATTGGTGTCAACGGCCGCATTGTCGCCCAAGGCTCCCAATTCTCCCTAAAAGATGTTGTGAGTAACACCCAACCCCATGCATACCCCTTGCATACCCACCTCTCTTACCCACCGATTCCAGGAAGTTGTAACTGCCACTGTGGACCTTGAAGAAGTGCGCAGCTATCGCTTCGCACCCTCGCGGGGCCAACAGGCGGTTCAGAACACGCCATACCCACGTATCGAGGCGGATATGAGCATCTCTGCCGAAGGCTCCATAGTGGATCTCTCCATCAAGCCCACAAAGGCCATCGACGTACGTTTCCACACCGCCGAGGAAGAGATCGCGCTGGGCCCGGCCTGCTGGCTGTGGGACTACTTGCGCAGGTGTGGTGGTGTTTCAGGGTACTTTTTGCCGCTGAGTGGTGGCATTGATAGTTGTGCTACTGCAACGATTGTGCACTCCATGTGCAGGCTTGTTGTGGAGGCCTGTGAAGCTGGGTGTAAGTTACTTCTAGAAGCACACTTTGGGGTTACGTTGTGGTTGGAACTGATGACATGTTTTTCCCCCTGTAGCGGAACAGGTTATTAAGGACGCCCGCCGAATCACGGGAGAGCCAGAGGACTCCACATGGGTGCCTAAGACGCCCCAGGAGCTTGCGGGTCGTATCTTCCACACTTGTTTCATGGGTACCGAGAACTCGAGCAAGGAGACACGCCAGCGCGCCAAGGAGCTCGCGGAGGCAATCGGGGCGTACCATGTTGACCTGAACATGGACACGATTGTTACCTCTGTGCGAGACCTCTTTGCGTTTGTGACGGGCAAAAAACCTGTTTTTCAAGTCCATGGTGGCTCGAAAACCGAGAACTTGGCGTTGCAGAATATCCAGGTTAGTTTGGCGCGCTATTGGTTGTTGGTTGGCTGGTTAGTGTGACGAGTGATATCTGATGATGGAAATGTTTAGGCAAGGTTGAGGATGGTCTTGGCGTATTTGTTTGCGCAGTTGCTGCCCTGGGTACGGGGAAAGCAAGGTGGATTATTGGTCCTAGGGAGTGCGAATGTCGATGAATGGTATGACTATCAGATTTTATTAATCCCTCATTCCTGATCTCTAACATGATGAAATGGCAGCCTCCGCGGCTATCTGACCAAATACGACTGCTCGAGCGCCGATATTAATCCCATTGGTGGCATCTCAAAAACGGACTTGAAGCTCTTCATCGCCTACGCACGGGACAAGTTCGAAATCCCTATTCTGCATGATTTCCTCACCGCCGTCCCCACTGCCGAGCTCGAGCCCATCACAAAGGAGTACGTCCAGTCCGACGAGGCAGACATGGGCTTCACCTATGACGAACTCTCCATATTTGGTCGTCTGCGCAAGAATGATAAACTGGGTCCATGGGGCGCGTTTAATAAGCTCCTCCATGAGTGGAGTGACCACATGAGCCCCAGGCAGATCGCAACGAAGACGAGGAACTTCTTCTTCTATTATGCAATCAACAGGCATAAGCAGACGGTGCTGACACCCTCGTATCATGCTGAGCAATATAGTCCGGATGATAATCGGTTGGTTTTTCTATCTTTAGCTGCAGTTGAGGGGCGTGAATGTGTGAATTTGCTGACGATGAGTAGCTTCGACTTGAGGCCGTTCTTGTATCCGGCGTTTAGCTGGCCGTATAAGAAGATTGAAGAGACGGTTGCGGCTCTTTCGGCGAGGGAGAAGAAGGACTAGTTTGCCTAAATGTGTAGATGGTTAGACTGCTGGGTAGATGGATTTGTTTGACTTAAGGCCGGAATAGATATATATCAATTGTTAGCAGTATCGTATTTTTCGTGGTAGCGGCTTTTATGTATTGGTGTTAAGATTCTCTGTAAGTTTAAACATTGTATGTTGGAATAGTAACGGCATGCAGTATGGCTCATGAGCTGGGCCAGCTTGAACTTATTCGATCTCCATCTCGAATCAAGGTGACCCATAGAACACATAAGGATGAAGTCCATGTATGAAGCCGTTTTTGCCTGTCATCTCTCATAGCAAGTAGTAGACTACAAGTAATCTGACAATGACAGCGGTGTTGTGTGTATAAGGTACCAGGTGCCGAGGAGACAAGAAAGTGCGGTCCAGTGATGAAGTTGACCGGGTAACATAATTAACTGTACCAGGTTGATGAGAAGTACCAGATGCCACTGTTGGATCATGCAACACTAGAGGGACGTTGTAGAGCCTTTTCGTCTTGCGGGTTGGGTCATAGAAGGATCCCAGCCCGCCAAGCCTGATCCGTCTCGAGTCGCGCCGCTCCCTCCCTGACACTGACTAAAGTTTTTCACTCTGTATCTTAATGCAACCTTTTCGTCTGTTGTCAAGAGTACTTGCTAACCTTCACTTCTTGCGGCAGTAGCTGTTGCTTCCCCGTGATCCTCCTTTTTAGCTGCGCTTAGGAGATAAATGGTTTTCTTGTAATCCCGATCATTGACCTACTGGCTGGAGTGGGTTACCAGAATCTCGACTCCTGCGAGCCTTGGACTCCGAAAGACCGTGGGAGTTTGAGCTTATAGTTCGGCTCAAGATTTTGTCATGTTTGTAGGCCGCACTACACTAGCGGCGAGGCGACTGAGATTGAGGTCTATAGCCCGAAGAGATCCCCCTACTCGAGAACACCGAACAATGGCGTTTATGAACAGGGCATGCGTAAATCGTACTTATTTCTCTCTACCTTACAGGTTGACAATGGAAATGGCTACTTCCATGCAGCGGAGGGTGGATGAAAGGTTGATTCAGAAAGTATATCTAAACCCCATGGCAATAGTGAAGAGGTAGAACTCACTTGCCCCCCGGATGCACAGAGTCTCCCCTGCCTTGAAAGTGAATCAGACTGGCGACCCTGGCAATGCCTTGACCTCCTCTTGGTGACCGAGGCTGTGGCCGTTAAGCTGTGACCGTTGACATTGAGGTTAGATACTTAGGGTGTCGTTTCAATATTCCTTAAGTTAATCATGACACCGGCGGTATCTGTGGTGGGCTGAAGGTCTTTCTGTGTACTAAGACGTACGTGGGGCTTGCCTGGACTGGTGCTTGTGGTGCGCTTTTTCTAAGCTGGCCTGAATGTTACGTACACTCTAGGGTCTTCACATGTACAACGAGTTCTAGATATCCCGGAAAGAAACTCTGAAGTCTTATCTTATCTCACAAGTGGGTGGCCAGTGGATCATGATGTACGTCGTGGTGGATTGTGATTGTAGGGTTTGGTGTCCCCCTAGCTCACTTTGCCCTCCCTCCCTTAAATATTACTTCCGGCGCACTGAACAATTGTGTGGGCGAGTGTAGTCTAGTGGTAGACAGCTCATTTTGCATGAACACCGAGTGGGTTGAGTCCCCATGACCAGCAGTAGGTCATGGGTTCAATCCCGGGGGTGGGAGTGTCTGTGGGGTGTATATTATATACCGGGAAATGTAGCCCATTATATTACAGTACTGTATTGGGTAGATAGCCCCGCGAAGGGTATATGGCCACAGCATCACTTTTTGTAAATTTATTGCCCATTTTTGGTTTTTTTTTGGAGCTTATTGGGTGGCCCGAGGGCCTAGTGATATCGATCAGAGCTCTCTCTGGCCGGCCTACAATGCAAATTGAACTATCTTAGCTTCTCGCTCATTATTTGGCCAATTAGTCTCCCCCATGATCAGGGCCGGATAGCCGTCAGCCGCACGAGTCTTTTTGACTCAAAACATTGGGTTGTTCGTGTTGAAGTACTAGTAGGACGGGCAAAAGAGACGGTAAGAGAAATCTCCACGTAGCAGTCACTTTAGAAAAATGGAATCGGAATGATCCACAAAACACCGTTCTGGGCCAAAACCCTCCATAAATATCCTCACAGAGCGGGTAGATATAGTTGGAGTAGTTGTTTCTGGTGGGAGTCTCAGATGTTTGGTTAAAGCCAATGGATTGGCAATTAGTGCGAACGAAACCCACAACAGATCAATGATTGTTAGTATATACCATGAACCGCTCCTACTCTGAACGGCAACCTAAAGAAGTACAGTCTCGGAAATGGGGGTAAAATTGCTACCGTGGGGCTACGGTATTAATTCAAGAATACTGGTTTAAACCAGCATCGTAAGTAGAATACCATATCAATACCGTATCAATACCGTATTCTTACAGCATCACTAGCGTATTGACTAGAATACGTTAGTGAATTTCTACCCCTTTCCGGTACTGTAGTACATAACTACCCTCTATTTCAGTAACTGGATCCTTTCAGTCCTCCTATACATCAGGAGTATAAGAGCTTCGTCGCAATTACTTTCGAACAGATGGAGCTACCAGGCATGGAATTCGGGCAGAGACCTCACTCAGCCTATCTTTATCTTGCTAGGAGTGCTTTTCGCCGCAAATCTTTGACCCTGGATTGGGTTTCTAACCTTACTTTAGCCACGAGAATTGCAATGCAGTATAGCATACGTGGTGTAGCTGATGTATGTCTAAAACATGATCTGAAGCTTAAAGCCTTTGACACATGCTCAAACAATCTGGCCTAAACCAATAAGGTTCAAAGAAGAGGTCAAAGACATCCTTCTTCTTCACGAGGTCCAGCCTATCTAGAGTAAATCTATAGAGAACACACAAAAGCCTTATAGTACCTGTCCATAGAATTTTCTTTGAGCACGCCTAGTCAACATCAAAGTGTCTGAAGACTACTATTGGACATTTTAATCACAAATTCTCTCCTGGTCTCTGGTTTTATAGCACATGTGAAGGGAGGTGTATTTTGCGACCTGTCCACTCTCAGCTGGTTCTGCAGCGATTAATAATCTTAAGATCTCTATCAAAATATGTCTGAATTGCCCCAGACGATTTCCCCTAAGAGTTTATTCCTTCGGCGAAATTCACGACATGTGGATAAATGAAATAAACTGATTATAAGATTACTAGATCAATTGCTGGAACATGCTCAACCTAGCTTCTCTAAGATATTTTTGACAGAGGATCCATGAAATTCGGCCATCGGTTTCTGGCTCATCTATCACAACCAAACAACACTCTTACAAATTGACAGCTATATAGAAAGATAATACCTAATAAAAGCTTCTCTTCCACTATTTATCATGGAAACACTATCAATAAGATACAGATGACCAACCATAGGTTCGCAAAAATACAGAAAGCTAAATTGCGTATGATAACCGCTCACAACAAGCTCAAGTCCTCCTCGCTGAAATCAAAGAACGAAATACTGCCAGCAGACCGAGGTATAAAACATGCATATAAAAAAGCAACCCGATTTACTGCTGCTGGATATCGTCATCGAGAGGGCATTATATAAGAAAAACAACCAAGGACAAAAGAAAATGCCAATATAGGCCCCCCACCGGTCATAAAAAACAAAGAGAAGATTCATCATATCATACGCCTTGGACTTTATCCAATCCAGCCCAATAAAATCCATCAGGTTCAAGCACAAACCCTATAAAAATCTCCAAAACTCTCAGAGCACAGAAATTCATGCATTTTTCTTTCCAACCGTCTTCGACCTTGCCCTCAATTCGCCCTGTTTACCCTCGTAATATCCCGTCGACCCGGCCCCTGTGGCTGGGAACGGTGCAAGGCTCTTCTCGACCTTTTCAACTAAAGCCGTAGCCTTCTTCAGTGTTGTAGCCACCACGGCCTGATTCCAGATTGCGTTTGATGTTGTAGAACTGCACCAAGAAGAGGATCGCACGAGATTTAGTCCAGATGTTCCGAGAGAGAGAGAGGGCCAGTATGAGGATGGAGGAAGGAATGAGGATGGAGGAGGATGAGGAGGTGGAGAGAGATTCGAACCTTGTGCTTGTCCTAGGCGTGCTTGAGCGCGACGACGACGACACCAAGGTGTCGGAATTGGTAGTGCTGGTGCTCCACCGCGTGTTGGAAGATGAGGAGGATGCGGATGAGGGGTGATCGAGTAGTAAGTTCTCCTCCTCTTCGATCCGGTTCGTAGTAGATTTGCTGTCGTCGTCTCCAAAATCGATTAGTGACTCCTCCCTCCTTCTCTCCTTTTTAAGGCTGCTGGCAGGTGAGCCACTCCTTGTTGACATCCTTGGTGATGTGGATCTGGTGCCATGGGGTGATGCACGAATCCCAGTGCTGTTTACCGTCGAACTGATGGCTTCATCACCGACGGTTGCTTGTCGGAGGTCCTCGATGAAGGTCCATAATCCTTCTTTGAAGTCCTCTGCCATCTGCTTCCCCGTCCTCAATAACGCATCCTGGCTGTTCCTCTTTTCCCTGTCCGCATCCGATAGTGAGCTCGACGCCGAGTGAGCAACAGTATGCCGTTTGACCAGCGCCGGCGGTGTATCCTCTCTACTCCCTGCGAGTAAACTGAGGGTCCTCGTGTGTCTCTGGCTTGATACCTTCCTCCCGGTCACCGAGCTCACTTTTGCCTGATACTGCTCTCGCCCTGGGCTATGTACTCCTACTTCTGCTGCAGCAATCGACGTATTCAATGGCCGTAGCCTCTCTGTTGGTGTGATCTCATGTAGCTTCATGGTTGCTTCATGGACCGCCCACTGCCTCTTTAACCGGCCGAGCTCTGTCTCGGCCTTCCCCAGTTCTTCCTTCAGCTCCAACACTCGTCGTTCCTGGGCTGCAAGAGCAGTCAGAAAGGCCATTGGATCATCTGGCGTGACAGATTTATCCACATCTTGGTGCTGGTGCTTTGGCGAGTATACGGGAGACGGAGGGGCGCCACGAGGAGAGAGATTAGAGCCGGCAGGGAGCACGGGGAAAGAGAGCGAGAGGCGTTTTCGAGGGAGGGATAGAGAACGCTTGAGAGGTGCTTCGGGAGGCGTTATACTCCCGTTCCCGGTCCTGGGTCGAGGCCGGGCAGTCGGGGGAGGGGAGAGAGGGCCCCGGTTCATATCTAGGCCGTGCATGGATGAAATATCCTCCATTGTGAATATACAATTATTCCGGTGGAGCTGTGAAGTGAAGTTCTGTACACATTGAATGGGTAGAAGAGGAGAAGGATAAACAGGTTGAAGAGGTGAGAGAGTGTTGTTCAATCTAGTTGTGGTCAGACTCTCTGGCTGTGGAACTTAGACATAGGGGGCGGAACATACAGGGGTTGGGGAAAGTTCCCGTTGCAACGGTGCTCCTGTAATCTGGGGGTGGGTGGAGGGGAGGGGACGGATGGAATGGGAAAGGAAGACTTCGAAGTACGTCAACTTATTCCCTCTTGTGGCGAAAATCGGCATAAATCTATGGGCTGAATCGGCTGGGGAAATGCTCTACAGATGTCAAAGCATGTAAGTACTTCTCTACGTATGTGTGTCTGAAGAGAGCTTTGACGGGGCGTGGAAGGTACCGCGGTACCTGCATTCCTCGCTCTGACAATGGATTCAGACTGAGAAAAGGAAAGAAATGGACCAATTGCCAAGATGTACGCAATCGTAGCTGTACCTACTACCTTGTTGCCAGAGTGCAGATACCTAGGCAGCTCCTCGGCTTTTTTCACGAGGGATAACTCCATGGAGTTTATATTAGATGTTTGTTTACGATGTTTGCCTGTTTACCTTCTCGGAGACAACAGTCTGGGCACGAGACTACTCGACGCGCTTCTTTGGTGCCCACAGTCTCATACCAGCCTATTCCCTGCCCAGCGTAGTGCTGCCTCGGTAGGGACCCGCCCAACAAAATATCGGGTGGCTATTGGCGGCAAATAACCAGCCCTGTCTACTCCTAGCCATAGCTTGGTGTTTCCCATGTGGAATTTCAACCTCTCCAATATTAGACAAGACATCACGAAACAGAATTGCAGATTGGAAATAATTCAACACCAGCACATATGAGTATCCCGCCACAGCACAACACAATAAACGAAGAATAAGAACGGCGACAATAACCCAGCCAAGCAGTACTTTAGATCAATACACCAAAACGGCTTAAACCAAATAAAAAAAAAATTGCTAGCTATTCATTCAAAATTCAACCAAACACCTAGTTACTTAAGTGCCTATCTTAATACGCTCAAACACCAGCTTAAACATAACTCAACACCCCCTCCGGCCACCACTTCCCTACCACGCCTAACTTCACTTCACCCTTCCCTCCACTCCCCGCTCCACTAACCGTCAACCCCCTCACCACAATCTCACCTCTACTCCCGCCCTCGTCAGCAGCGCTATACTCCTGGTAGTCCCTCGTGACGACCTCGCACCCCGGCGCCACAGGCCCGAAATGCGCGCACCGCTTCAGAACGCCCTTCTTGCGACTCGGTTTGGGAATCTGAGTCTGCACGCGGTAGTCATAGATATGTGTCTGGCAGATGGGGCCCGCGACAAGGTAGTACTTAAGACCATATACGACTTTGCAGCCGAAGAATACGCGCAGGTCGGAGAGATCCTCAGAGTTCAATGGCTTAGATTCGAGGTCACCGGCGGACTCGGCGGTAAGGATTAGGCGTAGGCGGCTTGGGTCACCCGCGGAGGGGCGCGCGTAATCATTGACACGGGTCCAGAAATTGCCTTTGGGGATTGAGCCATGAACTGTGAGGGTGCGAGATTGGAAGTAGTGGATGATGCCATGCCACATCTCCATCTGGCTTCCCATAGTCTTGCGATGGACTTCATCTAGTGTATTTGGAGATGCGACGACGACCGTGGGGCGCACGCGTGCGACGCATTTCTCAAAGTCGGCAGAGGAGCCACTAACGGGGTTTAGGGCGAGGGTTGCACCAGATGCGAGGGCTGCGTATGTGTTGATGCGGGTGTATAGATCGCTGAGGGTATCCACCGGGATGAAGACATCGTTCTTGGTGAGTTGTTCATTCTTGGGCAACGCATGTATTGCAGAGGCGACGCCAGCGATGATATTACGGTGGTTGAATGGGGTAATCTCGATCTTCTTGTCATTGCCGATGAAGTTGGTTGCGAAAGTGATCACTGAGGGGGCTTTGAGGTCGATGGGCCCGCTGGGAGGCGGGCTACCGGGGGTCTTAATGATCTCGTGATAGATAGCTGTTTTGATGGCGGAGCCGGGGGGCGAGTTGAAGTCTAGGTGTTGGGAGCCACGTTCGACAACATAAATCAGCTGCTTTAGGTTCACGCCTTCGACGTCTTTGAGTGGAAGCTGGCCGGCGGGTGCAATAAGGACATCGAGCTCACTACGCTTCAAGAGTGCGTTTACTGAAGCACTGGAGGCAGTGGGGTCGAATGGCAAAATCAGAAGATGAAGATCGTAGAAAGCACAGGCAAAGGTAGCCACGATATTCTCAATATCGTTCGCGAGGTAAATCGCAATCCGTTTCGCACCGGGAATCGAGGCAAGATGGCTTCCAAGAGAGTGAATATTGGCCGTCAAGTCCACTATGTAGAACAAAGATTCTGTTAGGTAAATGATTTCTATTTTGGATTATGAACAAACAAACCCATGTCGATTTCGTGGACATCAGCTCCGCGGACACTAAGCATCTTTCCATTTCCCTTCTCAATAGCCAATTTCCAGATGTCGCGAATATCGCCATCCCGAATTTGAAATTTCTGTTCGGTAGGAAGGTTTAGGCCAGTGACGAAGGGTTGGTTGGACGGAACATTATTTGAACGGTGAACAGCACTCTCTTTGGGATTACGGATACTATTATTGTTATGGTATTAGAATTGCCAGATAGAACTCTAAAAACCCCAGAAGGAAACATACGGGGCAACATTAGACTGCCGGTGGAGAATAAGTGGGTGAATATCAGGATCTGTCTGCCAGAAGATGGGCACCACAAGCAGGCCTAGCACCACAGTGATAAGCGTGTATGTCACGATGTTGAATTCTAGAAAGTCTTCCATGTTAGACACGGAGTTGCTCTAATTGAGCTATGTGTATTGAGAGAATGGGATGTTCTTGTGAGGGAGGTATGGTTGCTGGAGCCTGGAGGGGCAGCAGTGGTGGAGGGGATAGGTGTTCTCATAGAGATCCGGGAAGTGTAATATTAATATTAACGCTAGACCTGTGCCTAATGGACAGTGCACCCACCATAACCGGGGATGTGACACAACATGATTGAGCTGAACGATGCCTGCAGCTTGCATTTTGCTCTATGATTTGTTTCCTTTCTACTCTTCAGCTGTCTACGTAACTGTTTACGGTCCAGTCCAATCCAGACCTCAGTTTCATTTCAGGCCTCATGGCGTCCAACAAGGAAGTTAAAGATGGTGGCTGACGCAGTGTGGCACTAGCTATCTACTCTATGTACCCTTGAGGCTTGACTCCATGTGTCCGGGTAATTCTCGCGTAACCCTTGGCCATGAATGTTGCGCCGAGCAACCACGCAAAGGAATACCGAGCCAACACCAAAGAGACAAGGGGAATCTAGCCCGTACCACATTCTACAACCACCAGTGGACAACAGAATCCAAAACTTCACGTCTCCCAAGCAACAACCCCAACACTACCGCTGCACTGCGACACCAATCAACAACACACACGGTTTACCGACCACAACCATCATCCACTCACTGACTACAGCTACTGCTCTTCTTTCCTTCTTTCCCTCGTCCCTCACTCTCCAACTTCTAAACATCGCGTGTGAACACCAGCAATCCCAGTTACGTGACATCAAATGTCTTTATCACCCCCCATGACCCCCTACAAGTCGGCCGCCTCGACACCGTCGGGCACGCCCACCGGCTCCTGGCGTCATCCCGCAATGGACATTGTAGCCCAGCGGAACTCCCAGAAGGGCCTTACAGAGACGAACATCCACCGGCTCATGACCAATGGGATCTCTCTCGTCCTCTGCTGGTTTATCGTTGCCTTTTTCCGCCAAAGGTACCCCCACTTTTCTATCCTCCGTCCAATCACAAATTACTAACAACTTCCCCGCAGCTCCACTCTCAAGAACCTAGTCCCCACCTCACCCACAATCTCCTTCTATGCCTTCTATGCCCTCTGGGGCGTGCGCTCTCTCCTCATCTGGAACATACTCGAAAGCCTCTACAAGCTTCTACGGCCTGCCGATGAGTTCACGGACATCCCGCTGACCCCCGAGCAACGCAAACTCCTCGGGCTGAACCCTGACGTACCCCTCAGTCCCGCTGCCGCAGAAGGCAGCATTGTCACGCCCCCCCGATACACCAAGAACGCCCCCTCATCATCCCGCACCGGCTCGCCGGTTTCGTTCAACACCTCGGTTTCCTCGCCGTCGCCCCCGCAGAGCCGTAAGGCCACTACGACCCCCCCGCCGATGACGCCCAGTCCATTGAGGATGGGCGGAGTTGTAGACCGCCGAAGCAGCTTTGGGAGCCCTAGCCCGGCGGCGCCGAGAGTTGGCAGCTCGGTGGTGCCGAACAATAAGTGGCTGTATGAGAAAAATTTGCAGAGGAAGGGTATGCCGTTTTCTCCGAGGCCCAGCTATCTGTAGTGTCTTGTCTTTTTGTTTGCATTGGAACTGGAGCTGATCTGGTCGGGATGGGAAGGCGCAATGAATCTAGGTGCGGCGTTGGGGATTAGTCCTAATAGAGGTGTTTTCTCGCCTAGGCCCCCTGGGGGGCTGTAGCATCCTGTTTTTCACTGATTTTAATGAGAGGAAGGTCTTTTTTCTATCTTTTTTCTAGGAAGTTGTGTGCTTGCTTTTTTGGTTTTATTGCGATGAGTTATGAATTAACGGCGGCCGCGGAGTCGCGAATTGGTAAGGGATGGAGGGTGGCTTCGACGGCGCGGCCCAGATGGGCCTGACAACTTTGCAGGCGCAGGGCCAACGTGGAAAGTCATTTTGTAGGGATCTTTGGATTGTGTATACTGACAGAGATTGGGTTGTAGCATTGTGTCCATGTGCTTACTATACATTTTATCTACGGCGGAGAGATCTCGCGGGAGTGTCTATATCGCGGCCGATCATCATGTATCTTCTTCTTTTTTGCTTGTGTATTATTCGGTTTTTGGTTGTGGCATATGTACCCTTAACATGGCTGGATGCTGAATATAGTTTTTTTACTCCAACATTCTCCTGTAAGCCCTTCATCTTGAATCCAGAGAAGGTCTACTTAGAGTAGGTGGGCTGCGTGTACTTGCATGAGCCATCACTCGGTTAGAAGAAGAAGCCTTCTTACAACAACACCACTTTATGGTTGTTATTACCATTTCTTTCTTTCCTTTTCAGCGCACAGGCACAATTGACTCCATATTCAACGGCTTTGACCCATCAACAAACCCAAGCACCCTTATGTTTCAAAGTACCCGCCAGAGTTACTAGGTCCATTGGGGGTCGGACATCCCCCTTTCAGGAAGCTACTTTGGCCTGCTCTGTAAACGTACTCTATCGGGTAACGGTTTTGGTAGGGTTCGGTGAAAGTTTCAACGATGACTTGCCCTACAAAGCAAATACTTCTCACCCAGGATCGCCCGCTTGCTAGCACGGTGTGTCGAGCTAACGAGCTACCCGCCAGCTAAGGAACACCTTGAATGGGATGCCTGACAACATGCATTCTTGGATGTTAAGAGGGAGAACTGATCCTGTGATAGCTGTAGCCCAATCTCAAGGCAAGTTGAGCTTTGGTAAAAATACTAGGTGGCAGACTCGGTTCAGGGCTCTGTGTGCCGGTTATATAAGTAGCCTGGATGTACGTGGAGAAGGGCCTGCTTGACCTGATAAGCAGGCCAGTGTTGGATGTTGGCAAGATGCGGTTTGGGTTGATGGTGAAGAGAGTTGACTGTCCGGCCTGGGACGTTTAGTGGGTTGGTTGTAGTCTCGTACCTATCCCCTACGAGTAGCAAGTTGCTCAACGGGCTGGTTGAGGTCTATGAATTATCAGTGCCTTCGCTGAATTGGGCTGCTGGCTGGACGTGCTAGGGACAGGCTACATCTTCACAACTTGGCTACCCTCAACAACCACATACCATAAGGAGGCAGTGGGTTGGACTACTCGTTTTACTGCAGTGAAAATGACAATAAATGTCATTGTCAAGCCAGACAGGCCGCGCTGACCTGATCAAGGAATGAAAAAAAAACCAACGCTTGAAGCTGAGTGAACGCAAAACATTCGAAACAGAGCTTCGATAGAACTGGTCAGCAAACAGGACAAGTCTGATCAGTGCTACTACAAGATAATGTCCGAACTACACATTTAGTACTTAACCACCCAGGTTTTAATGGTAGTTGTGGGTTTAAGGCCATTATGTGGTTTTGAGGAACTTTAATTACCTAAAGGCATTCCCAGGGCTCATTTGGCTCGTTATGTCAACCAGAATGTATGTGAATTTACATGCAATGGGTGGTTGAGTTTTACCTCTTACATTGGGTCAATGATTGGAATTACATGCATGTAGGTGCTCGAACCGTCGGAAGCCCTGCCAAGACGTAGGACGGGTAAGAGACAAATTATCATTTCCATTTCATCCTGGCGGATGAGAGACCCTTCTTTCTCTGAGGTATTTATGACGTTAGTAGTCTGTAAGCTGTATGGGCATATCTAACACCTTGCTATTGATTCCATTATTAGGCCAGTGCCGGCCCTTGCTTCCCACTGTCTCGTAGATAACTTCCAGAAGATTTATACTCGTGAAGCAGACACTGAGGGAAAGTGCCACGATGTAAAAAAACAGCGATAAGATAAGAGGAGAGATGACGTTGACCGGCAAAGGAGCTAAAAGCACAGACCAGTGCATTCACGGAGCCGCATATACTGAGCTTCAAGGAGTAATCCAGGGCACAGGGCCGAGGGCTGTTCTGTTTGGGGACTAGCCAAGCACCAGTGAGCTGGGGAACTTTAAAGAGGCTGGACAGACCCATCACCAAGTTACATAACGGGAATGTGATGTTGGTTACGGGGTCACGGGGCATGTGGTAATGCTATCGGTCGTGCTCGGGTGCATGATTGATTGCCGGAAGGAGTTGGAGAGGGTCCTCGCGATAGCGATACAGCCGCGCCGTTGAAAAGTGTACGGTACATACAGCCGAGAATTTGAAGCTTCATAGCAGGAAGTGTTGTCTGTTTTTATCGCCAATTACATCCCTAATATAGAGAGGGGAGAAAGAGAAGCGGATATGTTGGGGTGAAGGCGATAGGTGCCATGCACAGACAATAAACAGCTAACCAGAGCGTCATCCTGGAGTTCACAGCGAATAGCTTATCGACATGCGCTCTAAATCCAAAGATTTTTGCTGATTGGAGGTACAAAATGCAGCCTGGGGCCCACCACTTTGTTTGTTCCCGAATCTGGTGCTTAGATGGATTAGATAGTATCTGATACTCTCTTATTGCGTGAATATCCCAGGAAGGCTCCGGGTGCGTGCCAGTATCTACATATATGTGGTGGTAGACGAGACAAGACCTCAAAACCCTTCCTCATCCGTCCTCTTCCTCTTCAAACCACCTATTCTCTCCCCCCCACTCCCCACTCCCCCTCTCTCCAGAACTTCAACTTGCCCTCATTATTTCTGCCCTTTGTCCTCCCATATTCAAAAGCTGTCCACTCCATAGTCTGCTTCTCAATAACTATCTCAGCTCTAGCTCTCTCTTGACTCGCTGCTTGCTTCTTCTTCCCAGACAAATCGATCGTCCATCCCCTGGTTCCTGACCTGCCTACATCTCGTTTCGTCTTTTAGCACCTTGCAGGCCTAGTTTACACGTTGATAGCGTGTGTTGGATCATTTCGCCTACATAACTTTGACAACGCCGCACTCCTTCTCAAGTTTGGTCATTAACAACCTTATTCGCCATTTACCGCACCCTGATTTACTCGGAACCTCACATTTGTCCCCCCTTCAACTACGTTCGCATTGCCCCTGCAGCCTCTCCGCCGTTCCCCCAACTAAAAATCTCGCGTAGACGTCAAAGGTCGGTTCTAGAAGTCTGTCAAAGCGATCCTTCGACTCACCTGGTTGGGCTTTGTTCTGACAGCTCACTTGATTTGCTCTTCATCTTGATAGTAGATATAATTAAGATTACATTCAACAACCTCACGACGTATCTCGCGGTGACACTGCCTTTCTCCGGCTAACCACCCTGTCATTTCTTTTTTTTCTTTCTTTACCCCTTGAACCGGTTTAGCGGTCGTCATCCACTGCACCCTTTCATCTCAAGACTTGGTTCTCGAGGTGTGAAGTGTTGGCAGTAATCGACTATCCGCCAGACCACCTATATCATCGTCGTCCTGGCAACAAGAAGATCTCACGGAGCTCTTTCATCCTCCGAAGAAAGTGAAAGCGAAACATCTCAAACCGATCAAGGCCAATCCTCTACAGATAGGCGTCCGAGGTCCTCAATCCTTGGACAGCAAGCCCCGCAATCAGGTACCACCTCTACTGCCATCACTTCGCAGCAGAGGTCACCCCAGCAAGGAGGCAACGAACATCCCGCCAGGAAACGCAGACGGACGTCCGCGTATAGCCCAGGCAGTGAAACGGCTACCCCACCTAATCTTACCGGCAGCGACGCCAACAGAAACATGATAATTAAGAACAATACTGTTAGCTCTCAAGGTGCTTCGGGCAACGGGGCTACGTCGCCTTTTAGGTCGGTTGAGGTGAATGGCAACCGTAGCACTTCAGTTCGCAATGGATCCTCAAAGCACGATGGCGAGTCAAATTCTTCCTCATTTACCATGCTGGCCCCGCCTACACCGAAACCGAGCTATTTTGGCCATGACCGGGAGGAAATAACCAGGATTGCTATTCAGTCCTTGGTAGATTTGGGGTACCACCGGGCTGCAAGAGTATTAGAAGAGGAGAGCGAGTACACATTGGAGTCACAGGAGGTCTCGGACTTTCGTAATGCTGTATTAAAGGGGGAATGGACAAAGGCGGAGGTCTTGCTCTTTGGATTGGAAATTGACAGTAATCATGACGTAAATGTGAGCCTGTTTGGTTTGGCTTGGTGGGAATCTATGGGTTCATCCGACCATGATGTATTGCCAGTGCTAACTGGAGATTTGGATAGGCTTTGTTGTTTTACTTGAGGGAACAGAAGTTTCTTGAACTGCTGGAGGCTAGAGAGGTATCAAAGGCTTTGCAAGTTCTCAGGACAGAACTTACGCCACTGAATCAAAGTGTAAACAAGCTACATTCACTATCAAGGTAAGCATTTGGCTATAGCAATCCATTGGATGTAGAAAGTTACATTATATGTTAGTGTTACATGTGTATTGACTAGGGTGCTGGATGCATAGTTTGATGATGTGCATAGACGCCGAAGATCTCAAAACGCAAGCTGGGTGGGACGGGGCTGCAGGACTATCCCGGCAACATCTTCTCTCAGAGCTATCCCGTAAGCTTTTTCTAAGGACTTTAGGAAGAAAAGGTTTACCAACTTACACTACTCTTGTAGGATCAATTTCGCCTTCTGTAATGATTCCCGAACATCGTCTCGCCTCCCTACTGCACCAAGTAAAACAAACCCAGATTTCCAGGTGTCTTTATCACAACACAGCCAATTCCCCATCGTTATATTCAGATCACATATGCGATAGAAATCAATTCCCACTATCGACTATACACATCCTTAAAGATCACGATGATGAGGTATGGTTTGTGCAGTTCTCGAATGATGGGACAAAGCTGGCGACTGGAAGTAAAGATAACACAGTAATTATTTGGGATCTTGAGGTGAGTACTGGCAGCATGTCTTAAGCCTTGGGAAATATATACTAAAATTGGTTCATGGGGCAGACTTTTGAATACATACATATATTACGGGAACACATGAATCATGTGACCTGTGTTCAGTGGTCACCGGATGATACGCGTTTGTTGAGCTGCTCCACAGATTCAAAAGCAAAGTTATGGGATACAAGAGTAAGCTTCCTCTCTTCTGCCGGCATTATATCACGGACCTTTGTTAATATACTTATCTTTTCAGACTGGTGAATGCATCTGGACATCATCAGGCCACTCGGACTGGGTGAGCTGTTGTGCCTGGGCACCAGACGGGCAGACATTCGTAACTGGTAGCGTAGACCGGGAAATGATAGTTTGGGACCTAGAGGGGAAAGAAGTGTACCGATGGACGGGGTCTAGAGTATATGATTTGGTAATAACGCCTAACGGACGACGGTTAGCCGCCATCTGCACGCAAAAGAAGTTGCATGTCTATAACTTCGTAACAAGAGAGAAAGAGTACGAAATCCAGATGGTTTCGGAACTCACATGCATATCTGTCAGCAAGGATTCGCGGTACATTCTCATGAACATGGGAACTGGCTTGCAGGAGGTACATTTGATGGATCTCGCGACAGCGGAAGTTGTACGGAAATTCACTGGGCAGAAGCAGAAGGAGTTCATGATACGAAGTTGTTTTGGAGGAGCAGACGAAAACTTCGTAGTTTCTGGCAGTGAAGGTTTGTTTCCCATTTGGACGCCTCGTCTTCCGTTGCTAACACTTTCCAGACGCGATGGTATATATTTGGCACAAAGAGAACGGAACACTAGTTGAGACTCTGCCTGGACATTCGGGCATCGTAAATTGTGTTGCGTGGAACCCAGCGAATCCACATATGTTTGCATCTGCAGGTGACGACCACAAAGTGCGAATGTAAGTATATTTAACTTTTCTCCTCGCCCATAACTTTACCTCTTGAAACCCAGGCTTACAAGGATAAACTAGATGGTCTAAAGCGCCCCAACACAAAGGCAAAATGAAAGGTGTTGCCGAAGCCTTTGGTCAATAGATTAGGAAGCATGGCTTCAGTCCTAATCTTATCCCTGATAACCACACGACCCCTTTAACTGGAATAGTTTTTATTATCGAAATACGGTAGTTTACTACAATGGGTGTTTATTTGTGATTTTACGTGGGTTTGTCTTGGCTGCAGTTCTTCCTGCGCTTGTATACAGATTTTTTATTATTGTATTTTTCTTCTTTTTTCTACGGTCTGTCATTCAGGGTTTAGGTATTAGGCAATGGGGCAATGGGGTTGGTTCCTGGGTGCTATACGGGGTTCAGGTGGCGGGGTTAAATTGAACTGGAAATATACACTCATGATGGCGATCAGGAGTGGGGTGCGGATAAAAATCCTCATCTTTATTGTTCTCTTTCCATGTCATCCTCATCTGTACTATTTATCTTATTGGCTCTTGTGAGGTGGCTTCTACTATTATCGGGATCAGGATGGTTAGAGTGTTTACTACATACGGGTATCCATTCCGTCATGAGTTCTTTGCAATTTCCAAGATACATGGCCGCCCATGCCTACCTTTCCCACTTGAATTTATCAGAAACGCGCGCGACACACATCTATATATACTTTACATACAGACATAGACTGAGATAGATAACAATATGGTTCCTCATTAAAACTAACATAACCCGTACTGGTGCTGCAAAAGTCTTCCCAATTCACAATCCGACAGCTATATTCAGTTAGTTTTACAATGGTTTCTCCGAGGAAAAGACCATTATGTCGAGGCTAACACCTTCATAGGGTACAGTAGATGCCCCGCCACATAAACTTGAAGGGCTCAATGGAGAGCATTCGTCTATTTATTCTTTACTCGGTTAATAATGCTTAGAGAATCTCACCGCATCATCTGATCTATTCTCCATAATTCTGCAGCTGGGATACCGACTCCGGTTATTAACAAACTTCAAGCTTGAAATGTGGAAATGATCGATTAGCACGATTATCCATACCCTAAGCTATTTCATCGCACCCACTTTTAACCGCACAGGTTGTAGTAGCATTTATACACTTCCCCACCTTTCCTTTCTATGATGTATCAACCAAAACATTATATTTATCACAGGGTTTAAGAGTTGAAATGCATATATCCAAGGCTGATGTGCACTGTTTTTAAGCCCTGGGCTAGGTAGGCACCTTGCAAGAACGATATATTATAAGTAAGTATGCACAAGACATTTATAGTTTGATGGCAGTATCGCAGGATAAGTAGGTCATAGAACACCATCACGACATTACAAACTCTAGATTACATTATAACTAGATTAAGTATCTCTCTGCACATTATCTACCCAGAGTCGCATTAACAACACTGCCAACAAACTCGCCACCATGGGTCTTGAACCAGTTAAGAGTTTGGAACAAAGACGCCTTGGGAGTTCGCTCAAGAGAAGTATAGTTGAGGTACTGAACACCAAAGCGGACCGCAGCTCCAGAGCCCCACTCAAAATTATCGACTAAAGACATTTGTTAGCCACAATAAATATCATCTGCAAATAAAAGACAAGTACTTACAGATCGACCAGATAAATGCACCAGTAACGTTAACCTTATCCTCAGTAGCGGCAAGGAGAATGTTATCAAGATATCCCTGGATATAATCCGCCCGTCTTAGATCCCATGTGGCATCCTGAATGTTGGTATATTCGCTCTCAAACGGCTCTGCAAAGCCAAATTCAGTGACCATGATATCTGGAACCGCTGGGAACAGGTCTTTTGTAATAGTCTTCAAGAAACTCCTGATACCTCCGGGCGTGCTCTTAAGCCATGTTACACCAAGGTCTCCAGAGGGGCCTACGCCGAACCCGTCTGGGGTGACGGATGACTGCGATACACACTCGGGCCAACCGCCTGCAGAGCTGTTGGTGGCACATGCCTGAACATCATCAATAGCACCGACGTAGTATCCAGTGTAAGCGTCAATAGCGTAGAAGTCGCAAGAGCCCTTGATGAGCTTCTTCTCTTTTTCAGTGAACGTGGGGAGAAGGTCCCCTAGAGTGTCTTTGAGGGACTGGGGGTAGTCTCCGTCGGTCCATGGACCACCGAACCAACCGAGAACAAAGTCATATGCACGAGAGACGGCAGCAGCATCTTCAGTGCTGGTTGAGTTTGCTTCGAAGTAGTTTCCGGAGTTCTTGAAGGTGATGCGGCCCTTGCCCTTAAATTCTTCCTTGTACCATTTAGCGACCTTTGCGTGCGCAAGTCTATTCACCACCAATTAGCACAGTTCGTTTCAAGGATTGAATGTGCCGGTAACTTACAACGTATGGTGGCCGCATAGCCAACGAGCCTTTGCTCCAGGGCCAATACCGTACGAGGGATAGTACTCTCCAGCAGGGTAGTATGAGTATTGCCAGTTACAATATTGGGGTTCATTTATAGTGAACCAGACCGGAACATGCTCATCGTAACGAGAAATGATGAACTTTGCGTAGTTCACATAATCGTCGATAATCTTTGGGTTGGTCCAACCCTAAAACACCACAGCGATTAGGATTCAGATCACAAAATGTCACTCGTTCAAGTAATTTCACGAAGACCTACACCATACTCGTTGAACAACGCCAACGGGGTATCCCAATGGAACAAAGAAAGGGCAGGCTTGATTCCGAGCTTGACCAACTCTGCAATAACATCATCATAATGTTTCAATCCCGCCTCGTTGATTGGCCCAGAGCCAAAAGGGAAAATACGGGGCCATGAGATACTGGGCGAGAACCACGGGGTACCAAGTTTCTGTAGCCGTGCAAAATCTTGCTTGTAGAGATAGTAATGCTGGCCGAGGATATCGCCGTTTGTATCGTCAACAACCTGTCCGGGGACACGATGTGAGAGCAAGTCCCAGATGGAAGGTCCACGGCCCTCATCTTTGGCAGCACCTTCAATCTGGTATGCAGAAGAGCTGAGACCCCATGCGAAGTTGGCAGGAAGTTTGGCATTGGCTATCTCGGGATTGCTGCTTGCTAAAAGAGGGTGGAATAACGAGTCTGGTCCAACGTATGAGGGCTCTGGTGTAGGTTCTACGGTAGCAGTAACAACCGGGTGGGTTGCAACTGGGCCAACCTGGTTCCAGAGAAACCCTAGTCTCTCGTTGGAGTAGTCATTGTTGGGGAGGTAAGTAGTCCCTGCAGAAGCATTGAAAGAAACAGTCTTAGTAGCAGCTGTTCTTTCAAGAATAGGGTGCCCGGCCTCCTGCGCCAGAGTTAATTTTGTATAATATCATAGTCCGAAACAAACGACGACCTACCAACGGGGTGGCATTTCCTCCCAATGCCAGAATTGGCAAAGTTAAAGCTGCGTACCGAAGCATATTGGATATCAATTGTCAAGTTGACACCTATAAAAATTCCTGGTAACTCGGGAGATTGTTCTGGCCCTCGGGATGCAAGGCTCGAGACTTTCCTGCTCAACAATAGATCAGAGGAGGGAAATTGTCTCTCCTTAAATATTGCATCATTTCCCCGCCTCCGTTGTTCCCCAGGTTTACAGGTTCAATCCGGGGGGTAAATGGAAAAGCCTGGCCATTTGCCTTACAATATAGTTTGGTCATATTCTCAACGAAATACCCACTATCATGCATTCAAATCTGAATTTTATTTCAATGGTAGCCTGAGTAAAACCCATAAAGGAAAGAAAGCAGTCATCTTTTGGAAGGTGGATCGTTGACCGCGAATCTCCCTGCTTCCTTACCCCCGGGATATCAGCCAAAGTTCATAATATTTCTGATTGACCAGTAATATCCGTTGGAGCGGTTGTATGCAAGGCCGGTACTGGGGTCCGGGGAAACCCATAACGGGGATTCTCATCAACTAAGCCTGGTTTCTAGCCTTTAGGATGATTTTCTAAATTTCCGGGGTTCGCTTCCGGAACCGACGGGCCGTCAGATTGAACGTAGTAAATGCTCCGACAGCTGCAGCTAGAAAGATTACTTTAGCCTCAACATACCTACATATTGTTTTTATCATGATAAACTTTTCGACAAGGGAGCAACACCATTTCAGTGTTGGATCCCAAACCTTACGTCGAGTAAACTATCTCATATTCCTAGTGTTAAGACTCAGTACATATAGTTAGTAGGTATCATGGGCTGCGGGAATTAAAAGCTTTAGAACAATTGCACAATAGAATTTATTCACAACTGCGACAGAGGTTGGAGACCCTAAGATGAAGCGGAAGCTGACGCTGATAATCCGTGGCTGTTTAGATTTAGTTGATCCCGTGCTACATGATACCTCAGGCACTCTAGCTCTAGAGTACTATGTACATGTATGTACATGTAAGGCACACGCATTATGACCAAGAACTAAGGATATTTTTACCCCCTTTCGAAGTGAGTATACTTTATCAGGATTGTTATAACCATCCGTCTTTGTGAAATATATATATGTATACGTAGCTTAACAAATCGATATCTCGAACCGTGGATGTGACTAGCTCTGTTAATCCGAGGCTCTTCATACCGTGAGTCCGGGTGCGACTTGTGATACAAAATGGAAGGAAGTGGAAAAAGGAAATTCCGAAATACGATTAAGATCTTGTAGGTACCATAGATTTGTTCCGCATGAGATCCTTGCAGCTGTGAAACGTTGGAGCTTGCGGTGTTGGAGACCAGCAAAGGAGCCAAGAAGCCCATGTGAAAGCGATATGCAAGACTGAAGCAAAACAATCCTGTTCTGGTAACCCGCTGTAAGGCCAAAAGCAGTAGAATTATGAAGGCGGGGAAAATTCCCTAAACTCACCTAGATAGGAAAGAGGGGCAGCCATTCGCCAGTTTGCCCCGCGCTAGCACGTTGACTAGGACCCTTTTTATTTCCCCTCTCCCTCGACTTCTCCATCTCCCACCAGAATCAACTCAATCCTCTATACACCCTCAATTCCATCAAAATGACTTCTGAGCAGACGTATGATTCCAATTTCAAACCCTTCTTGTTCAATTACTCTTCTAATTAATGAAGCTGACATTCATATGATCATAGTTTCATCGCGTAAGTCCCTGGATTTCAATTGCGTAAAGATAAAATGATATTAACTTCTCCATTTTGATAATAGCATCAAGCCCGACGGTATGTTCGAACTATTCTGATGATTTTTCAGCTGGTAACTGACGATTACGCTTTTTATAGGTGTCCAGGTATGCAGTTTTTATCACAAATTCAGCGAGTAAGGTGGAACTAATCGTTTATATAGCGTGGACTCATTGGCCCCATCATCACTCGTTTTGAGGCCAGGGGGTGAGTTTCTCCCAGATAATCTTAAACAATTATATTTTTCTAATGATTTATAGATTCAAGCTCGCTGCCATCAAGCTTGTCACCCCCGGCAAAGAGCACCTTGAGGCCCACTACGCCGACTTGGCTGACAAGCCTTTCTTCCCTGGGTGAGTCTCTATAATATGTTGTTCACTTGGACCTTGAGCTGATATATTATTCAGATTGATCACCTACATGAACTCTGGCCCCATCTGCGCCATGGTTTGGGAGGGTCGTGAGGTCGTTAAGACCGGACGTGGTATGAATTTAATCCTAAGCATAGACGCAATGATTGTCAACTAAGAACGCAATTTTATAGTCATCCTCGGTGCCACCAACCCCTTGGCCTCCGCTCCCGGAACCATCCGTGGTGACTACGCCATTGTAAGCTTTCCCAGTCGATATTGAATTTTTGATTCAGTAAGCTGACCATATCGCGATACAGGATGTTGGCAGGAACGTCTGCCACGGATCTGACTCCGTTGAGTCTGCCCAGAAGGAGATTGCTCTCTGGTTCTCCAAGGAGGACCTTGTCTCCTACAAGCAGTCCCAGCACACCTGGATCTACGAGAAATAGATGCTCGTATTTCCTCCGTAGAGTACTAGCTTAGAATCGCGCATTCCAAATATAGTCATATTTTGCGTTCAGATAGCGTTTTCTCCGAGTCCTTATGTGAAAAATAAAAGTGTCCAAATAATCCAAACCAATATTATTTCTCTAAACTTAAAGCCTGTTATTCTCAGTCTGATGCCACTATGAACAACCACGTGATATATGCATGTGAACAAATGAAGATCTCTATGTCTTGGCAAAACTTTTTCTTGACGTCCGCCACGAATTTTAAGCCGCCTTCAACAAACTACCCTAGGACCTTCAATCCGGCGCAGATACAAGAACCCAAGCTATGAACTTCGGCGGATATCCAGGTACTCGAGGGGGCGCAAATGGCGGCGAGATGTCTGCTGATGAGCAGCAGCAGCAGATGATCAAAATGGTGCGTATTTCGTCGCCCACCATCTCCAGATTACCGAAGCTGACATGGGAATTCATAGATGCAAGCTGGATTGGAATCTTGTCCAATAAAGACCGTCATCTCTGGAGGTGCCGGATTTGCTCTTGGAGGAGTTTTCGGGCTGTTTATGGCCAGTGTACGGACTCTCAATCTGTCCCTTAATTGGCCATTCCATTACAATGTTCTGTACTGAGATCGAGGGGTTTTATATTATAGATGTCCTACGACACGCCCATGACCGGTGGCCTACCCGGTGCAAAATCACTGGCAGACCTGCCGCTGAAGGAACAGCTAAGACGAGGATTCAAGGATATGGGCCAGAGGTCATATTCTAGTGCGAAGGGTTTTGGACTTGTGGGAGCAATGTATGCAGGTTCGGAATGCTGCATCGAAGGGTTCCGGGCCAAGAATGATATGTGAGTCTTTTCGAACCTATGTTTGGTGAGAGGCTGCTTGAGTTCGACGAATACTAACGGTTCATTTTTTGGGACTGAAGGTACAACAGTGTGGCTGCTGGGTGTGTTACCGGAGGTGCACTCGGAGTGAAAGCGGGACCCCAAGCTGCGGCTTTCGGATGTGCGGGTTTTGCGGCGTTCAGTGCTGCCATCGATTACTACATGAAGATGGACTAATCGATTGGTAAGTATGATCATGAGGATATCTCCTTCTTTGGTAATATAATCAGGCCTGACATTATTTCAAGGACATTTTTAACATATATATATATATCTTTTTTGCACTCATTTCTTTTGTGCAGAAATTATCTCTCCTCACCAGCTTCATAAATGGGGGGGTCTATACGCATTTTCGTTCGTGGTTGCATGGTTTCTTTTTCCTGGTGTAAATAAAAATAGGGTTTGGGGGTCTCTCTCTCTTGTAAGATATGGTAAAACTAAAGGATGAAAATAGATCGGATGGTTTTTCAATAATCTGACTATATTAATGTTCTTTAGGACTCAGTTGACTAGTTTTAAACCCCCATCACTACAAGTAGCTATAGGGGGAGATCCTGATCTTACTCACCTTGAGCTTTAGAATACTGCCGACGCCCTAAACCGTAAACTTCTGGGGCCTCTGCTCTCGTTGGATCATGGCTTTTCAATTCTAAAGCTAAAAAAAATTATTTAGTCAGTTCTTATTACTCAATATATCGAGAGGGGATTATCAATTCATAATGAAGGTTTGTATATCTTGCGAGGGGGAGAGGGGCAGGGTCTGTGGTGCTTACCTCTTACTTCCTCCGCAATTGTTTTCAAGTCATATAGCCACTCTTCTTAGGACGGGCAAAAACATGATAAGAAATGGTGAAAAATAAACTAAATGATCAAACAAACGGACAGAGGGCTTGTATGATGATCATCAACCCTAAAGAATGTTACCATACATATTGGGACTCCCATCAGTACTTCCACCCTCCAAGTTTAAGCTCCATGTGGCGTCCGTACATGTAATGCCAGGTACACTAGCAGCCACAATGCTTCTCACAGATAAAATATAGACACCAGGCAAGCTAAGCGTTAATGAGATCATCAAAAATGTTGAAGAGATCCAATAACAAAACAAAGACCATGAACCATTGACACCTGCCCTACTTTTAGTGCATACAAAGTATCCCAAAGAAAAAGGTGGCATAAAGCACGTTTTTGATTGAATGGTTTCTGATGTAATTTTTGCAAACGGATGTGCTAGCCTCGTGATAATTGGAGGCACGCAATTGAAACTGCCGTTATATGCCCTCTAACCAGTTGATATAACTGTGCGCAATAAATTGAAGTTTAACATACGATTCCTTTTGTTGGAAAATTAATCCCCACATACGTGCAGTTACTCTGTCTTTGAAAATTTTCATTATCTTGGCGTTATTAGGTGTATCTTTTATTTCTAGCAGAATGGATTTTGCTTTAGAGGTATTCAGTAATGAAGCTACATCTTTGATCGAAAAAGTATTAAAACACGCTCCTAATCTACTTGAACAGCCAATCACGCTCCATCACTCGCTAACCAGCTCATACCAAAAGAGAATGAGCAAATTCGACTCACGAGTTCAAGCCGGATCTAATTCAAGCTGTCCAGCTGAACTGGAAATCTCCATCGGCAGCAAAAAGAATTCCCGACGCAACGGGCTGTTTTTAACATCATAAACTTTGTTTCAGGTCTTGCTGGGGATCGAACCCAGATTACGGGAATCAAAATCCCGTGTGCTATCCATTACACTACAAAACCTTTCCTCAATTTCTCATTTGTTCCCTTAAATTGGGAAAATATGCGAAGATAGCTAATCCCTGACCAATCCATTTTAGGCTGTCTGGATCCGGTATAGTCTCTATTGGACAGTCACAATCTGTCACTCGGCTACATACTGTTTTGTATTTGCTGTCCTCGGATAAGCCTTCCACGGCCGCCTCTATACCACCCGCTCTTAACTGCACCCTTGATGCCAGCCAGAAATCAATGGCGCGACCAGATGGCAGTAATGGGACAACTCCTGGAGGCTACTACTGACTAACATGCAACGGGGTTGCGATCAAGGGATTGTGCTAAACGTAGAGCGTCTCAAGGACTCTTCGTGGAAATATAAGTTCTACTCTATCAAATGAGACGCACCAGTAAAAAATCAACCCAAATTCGCCCGAAATGTCGCGCCATGTCTGAGGGGTAGGGAGCATCGAGATAAGTAGGGGAACCAGTCGTATATATATATCAGACCTACTTTGCATGTAGTTCACTGTTCCATACATTTCATACTTACGGGTCATGGCCCTGCGTTCGGTTGGTGATTGCTCAGTTTACCCTATTTCAAAACTTTATACATGTCTAATGCCTGCCCATAACCGAAGGGTCTGGGTGATATAGGAGGCGATGAGTTTAGTGGATTAATTGTCGTTAGGATGAGTGCTAGGGTGAACAGTGCGCATGCGGAGTAGATAAATTATGTAAATATAAGTATGGCGGGTACTTGTATATATAGAGTGCGCTGGATATAAGTTGGAAAAAAAGTGAAAGGCAGCTAGTTACACCAGTACTTATAGACATTGGGGGTTGTAAATACGGGAAGTGGTGGACTGACTAAGTGGGTTTAGATTCGTTTGACAAGCTGACCTTTCCCTACGAGAGTGCTCCTATTGAGCCACAGAGTCGGACCGGTGAGGAAGTATCCTGAGTGAACCAACTCCCCCTAGATAGACTGGTGCTGTAAAACGCCAACCCAGTGGTGAAATTTCTCTCGCAAAACAGCAGTCCAATCAGAAGTTAGGGAAGTATCCCACTAGCCTCTACATCGGATTGTAAGTACTTACATGTAAGCACCACTATCACCGAAATTCAATTCGATTGGACATTGCCCTAGATCCGCCCCAGACTGTGAGTGCAATGATTCGCATTCTTAACTGTCTAATCTATTGAACCCGACATTTATTGGCGCAGGTGCACATGGCAAGGAGCTAAGACTCTCTTATAGTTGAACTTCGTGACTGGGCCAGAACAAGATCAAAAGAATAGCCAGGGTCTGGTACATGATACCAATAACATGCCAATAGTAGTTTGCGGTACCCGGCCAGACGGGTCTATGTGCAGCCTGTCTTTTCAAAGTAGCGGTCTCGCGCTCGGACTCTCAATCTAGAGGACTCTCTTACTCGTGGAAGACCAGCTGGGCTGAACCCGGCCAGGCCGCTGCGAAAAATATCAATCTCCTCCGGACCTAAACAAGGTAAAAGTCCAAATTAGCTACTAATATATATATGGGAATCTACATCTATATGTGGCATTCTGCCAACGGATATCGGTACCCCAGGGATTGACAAATTGCAAGTCTATCCTACTTGTAGATACCGGTCTTAAGTTGCGATATCTTTAATCAACGACACAACCTGTATCCAGAGAGACTGGAGAGTTGGGTTTTATGTGGGCTTTCAGCCCATGCATGGATCCAGGTGGGCAGGCTTCGACCACGGATGCAAGTATAAGGGACCCTGTGCGTGCATACGTGTTCGGACAGAAGATGGACACAGCGAGAGGTAGAATTATTGTAGAAACAGGGGCTAAAAACAGAGTTTCTATGGCTAGGCAAGCCAATAGGACTCCTCCCATACTTCTACAATAATCTTACCGCAAGCTGTAGAGACCGTATTCTTAGTGATATTTAAATGCCATTTATATAGATACAATGATCATGACCTACGTTAGTTGTTTCAAGTGTGGTAATATACATATTGAATTGTGAATGGTTTATCATTGAAAGTATGATGGAATCAGTTCTTGTACATCAAATATATACTCTACCGGTATGTGTGATTGAAGCTTAATTGGCGTGTCGTGCATGGGCATATATGCATGCATGGGATCTCACTCGGATACTCTGAATCCCCGATTGAAGACGGGCATTTCTTCTCAAACTCTTATCGATTGGTCAGAATTCACGATTAGGACTGAGAGATTTTATAATAGAAATTGATTGATTGGAAATAACAAATCAACTGAGTAACATCCATAGAGCAAAGAAAAGGAAAAGACGTGACCAAGTAAGTAGCTAACCCTCGAGATATCAATAGAACCCACCCCAAAGTACCAGAACAAATCATAAAACCAGATCATTCAAATCAATCAAGCCCAGAATCCCAACAAAGCTAAAAATAAAAAAAATAAAAACCAATCCGAACAAAACATGCTCAATCAATTAAAACAATTCATAGAGTATCAATCACACTACGATATCTCAATCTTCCTAGATCCAGCCTGGACCTTCTTAGGGACCACAATCCTTAAGATTCCGTGCTCCAGACTGGCCTTCACCAAATCCAGATCGACCGCGCCAGGGAACGTGAAGTTCCTCTGGAACTCGCCAATGTTTCTCTCGGATACCCAATACTTGGTTTTGTCCGCCTCCTTAGGTCTCGCTACATCCTTCTTCCCAGCCTCCTCCTCATCCTCAACAGTAGGCTTCAAGCTCTTCCTCCTCTGAACGTCCTGCTCATGCGACCTCTCAATACGCCCACGCACAAGTAAGGTTTGCGCATCAGTGAACTCGATCTGAACCTTTGTCTTGTCGTGTAGTCCGGGAAGCTCTCCCTCGAGAACATATTCGTTCGGAGTCTCGTAGACATCGAAGTTAGGCGAGAAGCCGGTGTTTTCGCGATGGGCGGATTGTGTGTTTGAGGGGATTTGGTATTTCTGGTAGAGGGAGGGGTCTCCGAGCATGCGGAAGAGGGTCTGGTAGTCGCGTGGCTGGTAAGACATTTTTGTGGTTGGTTGGTTGTAGGGTTTGGAGATACGAAAGGTTGTGTGGTATCGAATTGTGGTTATCTTTGATGTCGTGGAGAGTCTTTTATAGAATAGGATATGATAGCTGTCAAGATACTTTGCTTTCTCTGTGTTCTGATATTCTGAATACGAATTCTATCGGGTGGATAATTGGGGATATTTTATAAGCACTCTCGCTCACTCGCGACCTGGCCATCTCGAGAGAGTTGTGGAATCCTCTAGTAAGCTCAGGTGCTTGTGACGTACTACGTTGTAAGCTCTAGACATTTCTCGAAAGCTGGGGTCGGCTCGCTTCCAAGCTTTCAAACATTGCCAGGGTACGAACCTTCCAGAAATATCGTGTGGTCTTGGCATCGGACGTTGTGGTGCCGCATCAATCTTATCTTATCTTATCAACAGAGCGGAGCGAGTGACCATTCATGATATTGCCAGAATGTGGCTGAGACACCCCTTTGCCTCCATTACTAACGACAACTATCACAACCACAGCGCACTGATCGAGGTTTCACCCCATCCAATCTCATCGTCCCACAACATCGGGAACTGAATCAGGGTCTAGTGTGTTGATTCAATTGTTGTGCATCCTGTCACGCCTCATCTCAAAGATGGTGCACTCTCCCGAAACGTGGCTACTGCACAGTCCGTGGTGCGGGGGGTTGTCCCTATGTAGATCAGACCCTTTTATCCAGTGCATAAGATTGATATTCATACTATTGTCCAAGGCATGTTTTGGTGCTATTACTAGGGCCTTAGTAAGGTAGATATTCAGCAAACTACATGTATGCTATGGAACGGGTCCTTTTTTCTCGATGTACGAGCTCATACCATTGAGTTCAGCAATCCAGTACTAGTATGTTTTCCCAATCCCTAGCTGTAAAGTACAAAGGCACAAAGCGCGCCCTGTGTAGCCCCCGCAAAAACCCAAAAATCTGCCCTACGAACACCATAGCTCTCACAAATATGTGAGGAACACATGGCGTCTCGTGTTGTCTCGTTCAGGAGAAGAAAAAGGGAAGGTGATATGGGAGGAAAGAATAGTACAGACAAATTATTACTACACTAATATGATCACCAGATCACCATTCAGGATCCTCTCTCCTCTTCCAGCACGCCACAAACTTGCTCCCATTATTTCTCTCAACCTTCTTTCCCTCCTCGGTGTCTGTCCTCATCACCTCCACACACACGTCGCCTTCGAGGTCCTCCTCGGTTAGGCGGTCGAAAAGTGGGTGGTCGTCAAAGTGCTTGGCCATCCACTTGTGTAGATCCTCCACGTCGGTGATGGTGTAGACGATACCTCCTGGGCGGAGGACATAGGCATATTCTGCGCAGAGTGTAGGGCTATGCTCAAGTTAGTAGAGTGCCTGGCTTTACGGCGGAATGGAGGTAAATACGAGACGATACGCGCTTTGTGCTTGCGCGCCTTGAAGTGAGGGTCAGGAAAACAAATAAATATTTTGCTGAGCTATCACAAACAGTCAGACTCCTGCCTCTTCGTATCCCTACATCTCCGCGGGTGGGTATAGCAAACCTGGAATTTCTCGTAGATGTTGGGGAGGAACTTCATCGTGTTCGCCCTGAGAACACTGATGTTCTGGTAATGGCCTTCGGTCTCATGCTGTATTCTGAGCGCCTTGATCCGCTCATCCACATACTCCGTAACCTGGGTCCTGATTTCCATTCCTAAATCCTCAAGAGTCAACAACCTTTACCAAGCCCGAATCGAACTTCTTTGGGCATACATACCCAACATTAGAGTATCCGGCAGCTTCTGCGCCAGTGACACAATCAGTCCTCCAAAACCACACCCGATATCCGCAACCTCGACTTGCTTCCCACTCGGCTTGGTCTCGGCATCTCCGCCCGCGGCTGTGGCACTCGGGAAGTACTTTGGGAAATGGTTGGCCCAAACCATCTCCTTCGGACTCGACGGACTACCCCAACACGCAATTAGGAACCGGCACCTCAATTCCCCCGCCAATTCCACTGGCCACAGAACCAAACTTACTAGGCCAACTGGTGATCCGAAAACGGGTTCGCATGAGCTCTTTGGCGGTAGTATTTCTTCTGCGGCAGCTTCGCTTCCTCCTTGCGCTCCTGGTTGTTGCGGTGTTTTTCGCGTAGGCCTGTCCGCTGGCCGGACTGCTTCTGGCGCTTAAGGGGTGGTGGGGAGGCCATTGGTGCGGACGTGCGATTGTGAGGTTGTAATTTTTGTGGGTATGGTGGACCGCAGTCATAATTTTGGTGTCACGTTTTAGTTCCCGCGACTAGGTGAGGCTTGGCGATGCGGCTTAAAGACCCTTGCCCTGATCATGATGCCGACAGGTTGGTGAAACTCAACCTTGCTTGAATTAAAATGTTGGATAACTCCATCCAATAGGTACAACGTATTCTACCTAGAGTTCGGTTCAGCCCTTATGAAATCAGGAACTCCTAATATACGCAATGGCATTGGCTCGACACAAAGAAGCAAGCATACGTATACCGTCCCCTTGCAATTGGTATTCACAACTACTTAAGTTCGCCGCCCAGTTACTAGCTCTAGAGAGTCTTAAATCTAAGGAATATTTGAGGATATATGTTCTCAACCAGTCAACCCGGTGAAGAACTCCTAGGAAGAAAACTCGAAATGAATAGTGACTATATATATCCTGGAAGAAAACGGAGTGGTAATTGTTTTTTCGCCTATCTCATATAAACCGATCTCTAGATCTCTAACCAGGATTGAGATAAGAAGACAAATTAGTTGACCCAAGAAGAGATCGAGCCTCCGAAACATATCATGTAGATGTTGCCCGAAATAGCCCGCCGTGGCCTTTATCTGATCTAGCCATCTCTTTTTTCCGGCAGTATATTTTCAGAGCCAAATTTGCAAAGTGCTTCTACATCCTAGTCCCATCACGAATCCGTCTATGGTATCTATTAAGAACTTAAGCCCCTTTATCAAAGCTTAAGCTTCTCTGCCCTTCTATCTCGACGCCACTCCAGCCGTCCTGTCATACCCCAACCTATATATGGCCGAGTGATGTCGGGTGACCCACTCCATCGACTGCAAGGCAACGACTCAGACTTCGGCATGCCGTTAGAACAGCACATTCCAACCGAGCATGAACCCGATATTCGCATTCCGCTGGTCGTGTGAGCGTTGAACTGTGTTGGCAGTTGCAGAAAACCCCCTGTCGCGGGTGAGACGTCCGGTCCGTGCGTGGCAGCTTGACCAATCGGTAATCGGGCGAGGGAAGATGAGTTAGATCTAACTGCATGCTATGGTAATGTAGATCGATGAGAATTGATGTTTGATCTGCCCCTGATCAGCGATATTGTATCTTGGTGAGAGTTTACTTCCTTAGGTTTTTCTTTTCTTTCCTTGTTGAGATGTGGTGTCGCAGTTGCAAGAGCGAGAAAACGAATCATGTAGAGTCACTCGAGGTGTCCAACCAACCGTTTTCGCAAAGAAGCTGTACTCGCTATCATAATTATTATCAAACACCGAAAAAAATGGAGAGGAAGTTCGAACTGGGCCGATCGCGAGCTAAACACCGGATTACTATAATGAAGCGCTGCCAATGTTTCAAGTCACTATCACAATCACAGTAGCACATCAATTGGAACATGTTTGTTAAGGAGCAACCAAAGTCAATTCCTTTGTATTAAATATTATTTCCTCCACATTTTCTAATATAAACCATCCCCTAACAATGATCCATCATCCTACTACCAACCCCCCCATCCTTTCCCCTTTCTAAGATCCTCCCATCCTTCTACTTCTCCTCCACTACCCGATCGCTTCGAGAAACTGTTTACAAGACACAGAGAGGGGCGGCGATGTTGACGAGGCCTTTCTGTTCTCCGCTAGAGACGTTGCAGCACTTGACAGTGGTGACGGAGCCAGCAGCGGCAGTGCAGATCCCTGTAATCTCTAACGTTAGAATATAATCTTGAAGAGAAGAAAAGACAACTCAAGAAGGAATTGGCATACCGATAGAGGCAATGCTCTGGCAGATCTCCTTACCACCAGCATGGAGCATGGTGCAGCAGGCAGCGACGTTGTGGCCGTCAGTGCGGGCGGCGCAGGCGTTCTGCTGGGTGGGAGAGTTGCAAGAAGGAGCAGCGGCGACGGCGGCAACGAGAGTGGCAATGGAAAAGATGGTAGAGAACTGCATTTTGATTGATTTGGAGGTTTGTTTAAAAAAAACGAAGGTAGTTGAAGAGTGTGGTAGTGAGTGAGTGAGTGTAGTGAGTGAAGCGAGTGAATTGGATGAGTGGATGGAGATTGTAGTTGGGGGTGGGAATGGCTCTCATTTATACAATTCTGAAGCCCATTGATTTTGGCCCAACTACATGTAACTACGGAGAATGATAGCTACAGCGCTTGAACCTACGATACGGGCTTACCCATACTGCACGGGACTCTGGTGGCGGTAGTGAGGTTTGGTGGTTGGTGTACGTTGAGGTGGCCCAAGCTATCGTGGAAGCTATGGTTAGTATGCCGCTGTTAACACCGAGACCGTTGAGTATCCGGTCTCATATTCGCACAAACCTCCCGGATATTGAAAAGGGGTGTTGTTGAATCTAAGATATCGCGTGCCGAAGGGACAAATCACTCGGCATGTATCAGACAAGATGTAAGACTCAATTGCAAGGCATTGAACTGGAACAATATTGCAGATACGAAGTCATCATACTGTTAGGTTTGAGGCGCTGACACAGTCCGAGTAATATGGCCTGATCAATACTTCAAGAGATTATCACGAGATCTCAGGAGAAAACCTAAGAATACCAAGCGCAAGCATATATACAATTTCTAGAAAATTCACCTCCAATATGAAGTTAACAATTATTTAGAATTACACTCCCGAAGATCCAAATTTCGTACCCATGGCCATGATATCACATCTACATACATACTTTATCGAAGCATAAAAGAAGCTCTTGGTACCTTATAGTGCTACTCTAACTCTAATTCAGAACTATGTGGCTGTAGCTAGGCCAGGTACAAGGATATCCCAGGAACACCCGACCCACAGCTCAAAACCAACCAACCGGAGCTTACCTACCGTCTCTATACCCAGTACCCTAGAGGTAGCTAGGTATCTCGGCGCCCCCACCTCACTGACAGAAGCCACACCGTCTTGTTGATACCCGATTGGGGATAAGAGAGCAATAATGGCCCGAGCGGCCCCCGGCCTTGATCACGGTATCTCTCAGCCCTGCGTATATTTACAGAAACATGGCAGAAACATCTTGTGAGGCGGTCGGGAATGAGGGCCTGGTTTGGAGGGGGGTCGGGTGCGACTGGCTGCGATGGGTAGAGAGATACGAAAAGAGAGGATAGGAGGAAGTGGGAATGTGTTGTTGGGAGAGTATTGGCAGTGGTAATTCTGGTGATTTCTGTCTTGTGGAGCTCAGTCGGGAGCTCAGTCGGGAGCTCATCAAGATTGTGGTAATTTTGGAGGTAGAAATTGCTCAGGAGCTTTTCGTGGAAAGTTTTATTTGACAGTGAAGTTGGGAGCTACCGTATTTACAAGGGTCACCATCATAGTGCAGTACCCATATAGCGGGAGAATACTATGTAGATAATCCTAATGATACTACGTAGAGCACTTTGATTCACAAGATTCCCGCCCGTATTGATCCTACTCTATGAGACGGGTATGTACATGTGCCTACATACTAAACATCAAGCTCAAGACGGATATAGTTGTTTATATGTCTCCCCCATATATTTATTGCATGATCGTTGTGGTTGTAATATAGCTCTACATGTAATATCAGCGAGCTGCTGTATGAGATTGCGCGCAAATCGATCATGTTCCGCATGAGAGTTTTCATGCAAGGGACATATTACAGCGACTTTCATAAACGACGATCTTTAATAGTGAAAAAAAACCAAAGATCATTAGATATCATCACCGTATATTCCCATCTAAACCTCAACATCCTCCAAAAAACACCACAAAACCGAGTGATCCCCCATGCCTCACTCTCCCCCCGCCTCTTCCTCCCCTTCTTCCTACCTCCCTACCTCCGATCCTCCTCTCCACAAAGCCAAAAAGCCACCGGAAGCCACGCCCCAAAGCTGCCCAGGTAATCCGGCAGCCCCTCGTTGAAAAGGGATAATATACCCTACCCACGGCGCACCGTTGCCGTTGTCTTGCCAGCTAAGCTAGCTGTATGTCTTGGATCAAGTGAGACAATCGCAAGGCCTAAGGGGACCCAACCACAGCTTCTCGAAAGCTCCCGAGCGCGCATCAGTGCCTTTCGAGGAATTAATTAACCTGATATCTTCCCGGGCGCTTGGTTTTGCTAAGGAGAGATGTAGAGTAGCCTAGGCGCTGGCTGTTGCCGCGCGCGGGCCTGGTGTGGCTGGGGTGCGGTCGCCGCTCGGGAGTGATGGGCGGGATTTGTTTATGGGGCGGGATTCCGGGTCACGGGTGGGTCACAGTGGGTGCTCGGGCGGGGTTTGTGCGGCGGGCGGGAAAGGTGGGATGATGCGGCCGGGCCTGTGTGGCTAAGTGGCTACTAAGGTGCTACGCTACTCTGTCTACTTACAAAATTGACCGTCTCCCTCCCTCTTCTCCGCTGCTCAATCGATCCTGAGGGGAGATTCTAAGTGCTTTACTGCATTTACATACCTAACTCTTCTCTCTTCTTTCCTTCCAATTCCTATAATTATGGAGATAGGGGGCTTCACTCTACCACTCACTACCTTTACCTCAACACCCACCCGCCAGTACCTACGACGGCACCTTCTTCGTCCTCCTAAAAACACTCAGCACCGGCACCACAAAAACCCTTGCAAACCACGGCGTCGCCCACAAACTCAACCCAATCCGCAGCGGCAGCAGCGCCTTCACGACTGCCCACGCCGTCGCAACCCTTTTCAATCCCCCCAATATCAGCATCCGTGAACAAAAAATGGAATACATAGCTAAGTAGCTGTATTGCACACTCACTCAAACAGCAGTCTCCCGCCCTTGTCGCCCTTGAAGCTCTCCCAGCCCTTCTTCCTAACCTATCCCTCCCTCCTCATCAGCCCTATTCCACTCCCCCCAGTCTGCCCCAATTCACTCCCCCTGATACAGTCCGGGGCTACTCACGTAATTCCCAAACTTCTCCGTCCCCGCCGCAACCCACTCGCCGGGCATCCCCGGCGGCGTCCACTTCGTCGCGTGAAAGAGCCACACTAGGCCGCCGAGCGGGACGATGGCCGTGAGCTCGTGTAGCACGAGGAAGGAGGTGATGTGTGAGACGGGACGGTTGATGAAGCGCGAGGCGTAGGGGCGGAGGCGCTTGGGGAGCTTGGAGGCGATGGCCTCGGCGGAGGAGGTGGGCGTTGGTGTCGGGGTTGGGGTTGGGATCGGAGTCGGGGCCTCGGGTGGGGCGCTAGAGAAGAAGCGGCGGCGGGGTTTGAAGGGGAGGTGGGTGCGGGCTTGGCGGAGGAGGCGGAGGCCTAGGGCGGGCATTGTAGGAGAGGTGTAGGTGGGTGGTGGTGATAGGTAGAGTAGATAGGGTAGATAGAGTAGAGTAGATAGTGCTTGTGCGGGTAGACAGGGTGATAGCTTGTGTTTGCTTTGAGTGACGTTTTGTAATCCGCCCATACATCCAGGTAGCTGCAGATAGCTGCTAGCCATTTACAAGGTAAGCTCCATGACCAAGTGAACCCCCAACTGCTCCACTCCACTCTACTACAATTTCACAACTTCACAATTCAAAGAACCCTAGTATATTCCTCTAGCTAGCTACTATCTACATTACACCCCCCCCCTCCACCCCCCGGTCCTCACCGCAGCTTCGTCATGACAAACCCAAAATACTCAAACATGCCGCCCTCGGCCTGCAAGCTCTCAATCTCAAAGCCCGGCCAGACCTTCTCCCGCGCAATGATCGGCTTTATGAAGTGCGGCTGGCGATACGTGATGTATAGGAACGTCCCACCGGGCTTCAGCACCCTCGCAACCTATCCATCTCGTCAGCTAGTAAACCAAACAAATAGCTAGTAGTGTCAGGGCCTACCTCGTCGATATACCGCGTCGTATTCTCCCTCACCACGTCCTCGAGATCCCATAGCGAGCCGGAGAGCATGGCGTCCAGTGTGCCCTACAATACACCCACACCCACTCAGCATATTCACCTCTAACAAGCAAACCCGGAGAGAGACGGACCTTATCAATCGCCAAATCAAACTCATCATCCGCATAATTCATCTCCCTCACATCCATCACCTGCCACACCATCTCCGGATGCCGCTCCTTCATCTGCGCGATAATGACCTCCGAGAAGTCCACCATCACCTGGTCTGTGTATCCCTCGTTCGCCAGGTCCGCTGATAGCGTCTATACCGGCCTCGTCAGATTAGACCTTGTATTGTTCATTGTTGTATATATAATTTTTCTACATACACTGTTCCCGCACCCCAGGTGCAGGATGCGCGCAGCTTTGTCGGGCATGTGCTTTGCGAAGAACGGCTTCAGCGACTGGAAGTCGCGGAACCAGTCGAACGACTTTGTGGCGCCCTCGGCGGTATATTTTTCGTCCCAGTAGTCGGGCTGCGCGAGGCGCTCTACTTCGGCTTTCTTCATTGTGGGAGGAGCTTTGAGGGAATGTATGGATTGGGAATATTCACCGTTTCAATTCATGGTGGGGTGGGCATGGAGGTATGAGGGGCATTTTTTGAGCCGCAAGAAATTATACATAACCCTGACCCTGGGGGTTGGGGGTTTGGTTGTTAACTATCATTTCCCCACCGTGACACCTTGCGGGGGAGGTGTGCTTCAGTTTTTTAACAACTTGGGGAGAAGTTAACAACTCGAATTGGGCAAGATCCGGTCCTACAGTTCTACTACTAGAACCCAGGAGGTCGGTTTCCACCTTCCTGCTCTATTTTGCAATTTGACTTCCTTAGGTGCAAGGCCGGGGATCTATTTCTATGACGTAGGGAATGTCACTGACTGTCACTGCCAAGATCGAAATATAACTATCTTCTCGCGATGACCCAGCTTGACATCTCCCCAAACTCGTCTGCGCCCTCGGATTCTCTAAGAATATACATCACAATGTCATCCATCGTGCGCACATCGCTGAAGCAGTTTTTGCACACGAGCCGCCAGTCGCTGCTGGCGTCGTTGAAAGCAAGGAAGCCGGTTAATATTGTGATTGGGAATCAGTCTGCGGGTATGTTTGATATCACTAGTCGGTCCTGGTTCTAGTCTTTGTTATACCAGTAGTATCAGTAGTAGAGTCCTAGCGCGGATATATATTAATAAAATGCAATGAAAGAAAAGAACTGACGATCCAGACATCGACTCCTTCGCATCCTCCATCCTCTACGCCTACTACACCGGTCCCACCACCCCACCCACAATCCCCTTCCTTTCCATCCCGCGCGAAGACCTCTCCCTCCGCCCCGAGATTCTACACCTCTGCAACCTCTTCTCCATCTCCCCCTCCGACCTCAACTTCACCGACGACCCCCCCATCACCGACCTGCCCAAACACTCCACAAACATAACCCTCGTCGACCACAACCACATCGAACCAAACCTCTCCTCCCACTTCACAGACCCCACCAAAGCCGTCACAGCCGTCATCGACCACCACGACGACGAGGGCCTATACCCAGATGCAAAACCGCGCATCATAACACCGAGCGGATCATGCTCGTCCCTCGTCACACAGCACTTCCAGAGCGCTTTCCCGCAGAGTGGAGACGTCCGTGGGGAGCTGGCGAGACTGACGCTCGCCGCGGTGTTGATTGATACCACGAACATGACCAACAAAGTCACCCCGCACGACGAGGAGGTGCTGGCTTTTCTAGAGGCCGAGATGGCCAAGAGCGCTACAGAAGGCGGGGATGCCAGCGAGCCATGGGATCGGAAGAAGTTCTATAACGGCGTGTGGGACGCTAAGAACAACGTTGACGCCATGCCGCTGCGTGACCTGCTGCGCAAGGACTGGAAGGAGTGGACTGAGAGCGTGACGGGCGCGGACGGGGTGCAGAGAAAAGTCGGTATCGCATCTGTGCTGCGGGAGCTGGAGTGGTTGAAGGGGCGGGAGGCGGGCGAGGGGTTTGTGGAGGGGGTGAAGAGCTGGGCAGGGGAGCGGGGGCTGGATGTGGTCAGTGTGATGACGACCACGGGCCGTGGGGGGAACTTTAGGAGGGAGCTGTTTGTGTGGGTGTTGAATGATGGGGCGGAGGGGTGCTTGGATACGTTTGTGCGGATGGCAGAGGAGGCCGGGTTGGGACTGAGTGTGTGGGGTGGCGGCGCCCTTGATGGGGATCATGGCAGGAGGAGGGCCTGGTGTCAGAAGAACTTGAAGGCGAGTAGGAAGCAGGTGGCGCCGCTACTGAGGGAGAGTATCAAGGTGGGGGCCAAGAGGGAGTCCAAGGTTTAGGCCTGTTTTCTTTTCATTCTTGTTTCGTGATACCCAAACGATAATGGCATGTTCTTGTTTTTGTCCCTCTCCAAATTGATTTAAACCCCACTCTCAAGAATGGTTATACCGTGAACTGTAGAAATCAAGTTGGTTACACAACTGAGTCTTGATGCGTTGTTCCTAGAACCAGCTGATCGGAAGTCTGTCGAGTGATATTTCATGATGATCGTGATGTTAGCCTCAGGTTCTAGGTCCCACAAGACTCTTCAATCTCTGGGATTCGAGCCATGCATGGGGCGGGGATAATTTCCAGCATGGATGGACCATGGTCCCTGCCTGAAGCAGTACTTTTGTTCTTTCTGTGTACGTGGGGGATCAATGGCTAACACTATTATTTCTTCCTCACATGAGGGATGGTACTGGGAGGTGAATAGTACTGGAAAATGTATGGTACCACATAGAGGACGAATCGTATTGGGGAACATTTGCCAGGTCGGGGTTGGGTGAGGAAATGATTGAAACGCTTTCAGGCTGTTGGTGATCGAGGTCTCTATTTGAGACCGGAAGATTCTCAAGAAAGATGGCTTAGGCTCTGTTGCTCTATTTCTCGAATGAAAGAAGATGAGAGTGACGATAATTGGATTCAGTGGGTGCCGCAGCTTAACTTTATAGGGTCTCAAAACTAGCACATATCCTTAATCATATAACTGTTGTAACGTTTCTCAACCTGTCCTATAACCCATCAAAGACCTAATGCCAAGCCGTGTCGAACCTCGCTATCATAAACACAACCTTCGTTTTTATTCCGACTTTTACTAACGTACTAACAGAGACACATCCTGGTAATGACGAAGCGAGGACAACAGCTAATCTATAAGGGCGTGCCGTTCTGCTTATAATTATCATCTGAAAGATGACAAGAATCTCGGCCAAGAAGCTACTACAGTGGAGTCTCGATAGTAGCATATGGTCGGGAACGGATTTTCGTGTGCTACTATCGAGAATATGCTTGTATCGAGAACAAATTTGCCCGTACCGACTCGTTTGGGATTGCCCAACTATATGCTACAATCGAGGATATGCTATTATCGAGAATGCTACTATCGGGACTCCACTGTAGTAATGCAGTCACAGTATATCACTCGGTTTATTGTCTCATAAATTGTAGCTTTTTCAAATCCCGAATTGGGAACTTTGAACCGCAGCATGAGATTATGAAAGGTTTATAAGACATTGCCTTTATAGAAGGAAACATTTCTCTACAATGATACTTGCACTAGCCTGGTATGATGCAGGAATTGGATAGGCTCTTAAGCCTGAATATGCATACGGATATCCGGATACACCATAGTGCCCATTCTACATTGCTCTAGACGAAGGAGGGATTGTGGTTAAATTACAAAGCATGGAGCTCTTTGCGCATTGCGAAATGGTAGTAGCGATTCAGATGGCGAAGAGGTCTTCCACGGAATCTGGAGATATGATATTGTTTCCCACTCCAAAGAAATGAAATGAATGAAGACAAGAGGCTGAATTAATGTAAGAAATGAAACGCTAAAGGAACGCTTTTATATAATAAATCGATGCGAAGCCAACACCCTGCCAGTAATACAGTACAAGAAGAAGAAAAGAAGTAAGATAAAGAAGAAAAAAGAACTTTAGTAAAGTGGTTAGTCGCTCCTCAAAATAAGTTAAAATATAAGGATTATATGGTTAATTGTAAGGGAAATCCCTAGTCAAAAAGAAAGAAAAATCCAAACCCCACATAACTCATGGTATCATATCCGCACAATAAAAGAATACAGAGGGTCATCTCTGTACCCCTTTACCCTTCCCCTTTTTTTTCGAGGACAAAGAGCTTGAGTTTCCGTCACCGGCTGCCTGAAGGAGCATCTTCAATCGCTCCTCCGCGCTCACGCCTTTCGACACCTCACTACTTCCTTTGCTGCTCCTACCGCCGAAGAATCCAGCCCAACTCCCTGCGCTGTGGCGCCACGTACTCGGCGGCTTTGAGTTCGCTGGATGGGAGCCTACCGGGCTTGTACCCCCACCGTCTTTATCGCTCCCGCTGGGTGGCGAGGGATAAAGGGCCGAGTTGTCTGTCTCGCGGGCCATGAACGCAGCCAAAGTTCCCGATGATGCCCGTCTTGACCACATACCACTTGGCCGCCGCGGAGACATCAACGGCGACATAGGGCGGGGTGAGATGCTACCTTCGAGATGCTGCTGTGCGGTGTACATGGGACTGGTCAAGCTCACCCCCGTCGCCGTTTTGGGCGCAATGGGAAAGTAGCTGCCGCTCGCGCTGATTTGCTCGTTGCTTGGACTTGGGAGGATAGTGCGAAGTTGTAGATGCGGGCTTGAGACACCGCGATTATGAGTATACGACGTGCTTGCCCTAGAGACAGTTGGGGAGTTGAGTAGCAGCGTTGACGACGTTGATAGGCGCCGCCGGGGGGGGGACCATGATGACGATGCGTCCATGGTAGTCCGGGAGGATGAGGATTCGCCAAGGTCGAGATCCAGGCGGGACATTAATGTTTGAACGGACAGCGGCCGCGAGACGGGGCGCATCTCAGGGGAGCGGACATTCCGAAAGCGGACTTCAATCTCGTGGGCTTTGTCGGCGAGGAGTGTGTGCAATCGTGGATAGTGCTTCTTGTGCGCAGACGAGAGTGGTGACAAGCGTTCCTGCACAGGGAGCATCTCATCGATCGCGAGTAGCATCGTAATGATAGATGTGAGGGATGTGTGAGTGGCCTCTGCGGCCGCGGCAAGCGCATCTGCTGTAGAGCCTATACCAGAATATCATTAGCATCCCACAGGACGATACCATGCTCTATCTATACCCACCTCCTTTCAACCCCACAGCCTCCGCGTCTAATCTCTCGGTCCGCATCTTGGTCGTCTTGAAAGCCTGGCTAGTCAGCTTGTCCGCCTCCTTTATCATCGCGTCAATCTCAGCCTGCGCGTCTGTGAGCGCATCGACTTCAGTTCGTAAGCTCGTCTGATACTCCTCGCATAGCTTGCCCACAGCATCGAGTGCAGTCGTGACTGCACGTATGATCGAGTCAGCTCAATCGATTGGATACCATCACCAGAGGTGAAGAGAAGTGCAGGTTACCAGCGGGGTCGATAGCTTTCAAGATCCCATCGAATGAGAAAGAGTCAATGGACGGGAGCGCAGTGTCCTCGATATCGTCATTCTGTATGTTGTCGAGGTCTGGGTTAGTAATGTGGTTCATGTGTAGTGGGTATGCAGGCACGTCGATAATGTGGGCGAAGAGATGGGGTTATGTGACCCCCTGTTGGCGGGGGGAGGGGGGAGGCGAGACGAGACGGGGGGAGGGATGACAAACACACCTCGTGCAAAGGGGAGGCATTTCTAGAAACAGCTGGTCCCGGGTTATAGCTTTTGACAATAACGGGCGTATCCACCACAGCGCTCCTGGTATGGCGATGTCCATACCTGTGTCTATTGCCTCCCAACGCCCCATTCCCGTTGCTGCTTCCATTTAGCAGGGTATCGCCAGATATCGACGCGCTCCGGTGATGACGATTGTTACTACTGGTATTATTGGCAATCCCTGGATGGACGTCGTTCGCTGTAGAGGAATTTGAGCGCTCTCGGTTTTCCCGGTTCGCATTTTCGGCGCTCCACAGACTGAGGAAGGTGCTGAATGTGGTAGACGCAGGGAGCGAGTGACGGCGGGTAAGGCGGAGAAGCGAGGCCTGGGCAGTTTCGGGGGGGGTTCCAGAGCTGTTGGAGGAGTCTGGCATGCCGAATCAGCGGTGACGGCGGGGGTGGGGGGGGAGGGGAGGTGTGCAGAGCTGGTATGTAGGTGTCCTAACTGGAGACAGCCCGGAGACACACCACGATAGAGATCGAGGAACAGATAGAGGTTCGTTCGACAGAAGAGGTTCTCGTGGAGATTGACAGGGTAGATTTTCTCTAATGTAGTATCGCGTATGGCATGTGTCGGGCTGTTTTCTTTCTTTTTCCCTGACCTGCTTGGAGCTGCTTGGAGCTGCTGAGCTGCTGCCCACCTCTGTGTGGGGAGTTAGGGCCCTGTTGGGTAGGTAAGTAGTCACTACTTTAGTTGTCAACGTGTTCGTGCATATCGTTGGTCCACAAACGAACATCAGGAATGAGGTCAATTTCATATCATCCTTTCTGGATCAATGGCGAACCTGGATCAATGGCAAAACCCGCATTTATTGGTCAATCAAACCAGAAGGACCTCACCGGCCCATTTGCAAAGAGTCTGTTTTTAATTAATTCTGTGCCCGTAGGCCATCTCCAATATATAATAAAAAACAAACAAGTAGAAAAACAAACAAGTAGAAAAACAAACAAGTAGAAAAACAAACAAGTAGAATCATGACTTACATATGTAGATCTAGAGCAACCCCGATAAGAAATAGATCGCAAAGAATAATTACCAAATAAGGAAAGTGTCTAGCCGTTTTTCATAGGCGGGTGAGATAACATGATCCTGCCCAGGTGAGAGAGCATGTCTTCGTGCCCAGCCTTCTTGTGATTGGCTGTTAACTACAGAATTACGCAGCGAAAGCATATTTCTTGGCGCCAAGTGAATGGCCTGGGCACGAGATAGGACCCTGCGGGCCGGGTGAGACAGTATGATCTTGCACCATTTGCCCTTAGTAGGTACTCTAATTGGCCATTCGCCATTAACCTAGAAATACTCTATGTAGATTCCCCGTTGATGAGGATGTGTTTCTATCACCTTGCAGGACAATTGCTTTGTGCCCAAATGTCTTGCGTGCATGACTTCTATGGATGCACCCCGCAAATGCAGCCATAACCACCTGAGACACATGACATCCGTGTGGGGCATCTCTTGAGTTTTTCGGGAAGGGTGCGATTAAGGTGATTTCGAGATAATTCTTTTTTTTGTTCTATTTTCTTTTTTTTGAGCTTCAGATAATTACCTTCGTTAATAGCTCTGACTGTAAGGAATTGGAATAATACAATGATAATATCAGTATGTATGTGTATTTGCACCGATATCCAGCGCAAGTGCCTACGTAGTAGCTAATTATAGCGCCGAAATATCTAATGTCTATATCAAACAAACGCCAGTGAAAACAAAGCCAACAAAGGAAATACTATACAGATATCCCTTCTTTTATCTCCTCATGCAGTTCATCCACCCATTGCCAACATAAGAATTTCCAGTTAAGTTCCCCTCTCCAAAACAAGCCATACCCGCTCCCCTCTCCGTCTTCCCCTTCAGCCATTAGTGCCCCTGTCTTCGGAACCTTCTGTGCAAATACAACAACCCCAACTCTGCTATGAAGCAGAGCCATGGCACACATAACGCATGGTTCATGGGAGAGGTATACATGCATATTATGACATAGATACCCCTCTCCATTTTCTCCATTCTCCGCAGTCTCTCCCGACTCAAATGGAGCTATGGTGATAGTGGTGGTCGTAGTTTTGGCCTCAAAGTATACTCTCTCAAGCTCCGTCAAGGGTCTACATGGATTGTTTGGCATGACCTCTTCACCTGTTTCAAGTCTTTTCTGTGCAACCATAGCAACAGCTCTCATCACTGCATGATTAAGCGGGTTTCCCCACTCTTTATCGCCCTTACACCTTCCGTCTCCAGCAGCAGCCACAACTTCGCCCGTCTCTGGATTAACAATAACGCATCCAAAAGGCTCCCCAATATCCAGGTCTGCAACTGCAGCTCCAACACTCCGGGCAATTTGTATGTACTCACCCGCCCTCCCTAGCTTATTTGCCGCGTTCTCTACAATCGCCGGATGTGGCCCGTAGGGGTTCCCGCGCTTGTACACTGTCGGCCAGTATTTCTCTGACCATTCCTGCGCCTGTGCGGCCGAGATGGGCTGGCATGATGGGACAGGAATAATACTGATTTGTGGGCCCTCTGCTCCGTCTTCCATGAACACAGGAAGTGCGGACAAGAACGATTGAAGCCCGGGAAGGGCTATGGCCTCGGTAGGGCAGACGAGCATGTACATAACAGCCGATTTTGTTGTGGTAATAGGTGGGATCTTCTCGGCCACCGAGGCAGGAAGAAAGGAAGGCTTTACCAGGCGGCGGAGGTGCTGCAGCGGGTGGAACTCAGGGAGTAATTCACGGAGAGAGTTAAGGACGGAGTTGACTGATTTTGCAGGTATAGGTAGGATGTAAATTTCGGCTTTGGAAAAAGTAATGAGGTTACTACATAGGGCTTGAACGCAAGGTTATTGAGAAGAAGGGTTGGTACTGGTTTGGACAGCTGCCTTCAATTCGTCTAGAGTTCGGAGAGGAACAAGCTTTCCGGTAGGAATTTGAACATCTTGTGTGGTTTTATGGATATAGAAAGGTTTATCGTTAATCTCGTATGGTTGAAGTACATCCTCTGAGGGAATCTGGGAAGTCATGATTTGCTGTCGTTGAAGGCGCTGAACGAGTGGCTTTCGGCGGTCAAGACGAACGTTTAGATCATGCGTGGTGGGGTACTTTATTTTTCTGGGGTTAGGGTTTTGCGGGGTCTTATCGATAGCAGGGACACACGTGCCAGGGCTCAGGGGTAGAAAAAGCAAACGGCACCTTCCGGAGGTATAACTTGAAGCCTGAGGCCTGGCAGGCTGTAGGAGGGCTGAAGTTTTGCTTGGGCGTAGAGTAATTGAGGCATAACGCATAGATATGTGCTTTCCGCCTCCAAGCACCGTCGAGTGTGAGTGTTTGATGAAGGTAGATCTTCAGTTAACTCTATTTTCCATTGGGCCCCAGTTATCTGCGCGCCAAGTCTATTACACTGCCGCACTATTAGAGGGTTAGGGTTACCTGCCTTCAAGACACCTGGCTGATTTGGGCCAACTTTAGTACTACTGATTAAGAGTTCTCATCTCGTCCTCCCACCCTGTTCAACAATTCTCTCCTCCCTCTCATAAACGCCTCCAGCTTCTCAAAAAAAACTGGAGTAGCTTCACACCTAAGTCACCAGGCAGCAGCACCGGTTGCGCCCCTGTAATTCCTGATTTTAGAGCACTGCATTTGTTTACTTAGCTTCCCTACACCCACGACTATGCGCCAATTAAATCCTCTCGGTTCGTCCTCGGCCGGTGTACTCCTCGTCTCATTCCTCTCTCTCGTCCAGATCGCCAAAGCTGTTAAACACGAGAATTTCAAAACCTGCGCGCAGTCCGGCTTCTGCAAGCGTAATCGAGCTCTCGCCGACCAAGCTACTGCTGCTGGAGCCTCTCGGACATCACCATACGAGCTAGATGCGGAAACCGTGGCTCTTAAGGATGGCGTTCTTACAGCTACCATTCTGAAGAACATTGGCGAGGAGAACGTGGAGCTTCCTCTCGTCTTCTCGTTCTTGGACAATGGCGTTGCGAGAGTTACAATTGATGAGGCAGAGCGCATGACTGGCCAGATTGAGCTCAGACATGGGAGTACAGCAAGAAAGGAGCGCTATAACGAGGCGGCCAAGTGGGCGTTGGTAGGAGGGGAGAATTTCCATAAAGATGCCATCATTAAGACAGAAGACGGGGTCACTAGTGTTGCATATGGCCCTGCAGGTTACCAGGTGAAGATCACACATAAACCATTTAGCGTGAAGTTCCTGAAAGATGGTGAAGCCCAAGTGGTACTGAACGAGAGGAGCTTTATGAATATAGAGCACTGGAGGCCAAAGCCGGAGGATAGCGATGGTAATAAAGGTGATGATACATGGTGGGAGGAGGCTTTTGGAGGAAATACCGACAGCAAACCCAGAGGTACCAAGCCCCCAATCAAATAGTCAGCAATCAATCACTAAACCCTGAAAAGGTCCTGAATCTGTTGCTATGGACATTACTTTCCCCGGTTATGACCACGTCTATGGTATTCCTGAGCATGCTAGTAGTCTATCGCTCAAGGAGACTCGTGGTGGCGAGGGTAATTATAACGAGCCATACCGCCTTTATAACGCAGATGTATTCGAGTACGAGATTGATTCTCCTATGACCCTTTATGGTTCTATCCCATTTATGCAGGCTCAGAAGAAGGGATCTACAGTTGGTGTCTTCTGGCTCAATGCTGCCGAAACCTGGATCGATATTGTCAAACAAAAGACCAACGTGAATGCCCTTTCGCCCGAAAGAGCAACTACACAGACACATTGGATGTCCGAAAGCGGACTTTTGGATATCTTTGTGCTTCCGGGCCCCAATTCAGCCTGGTTGTATAAGCAATATGGTGATCTTACAGGTTTCACTGCGTTGCCAGCAGCTTTCTCAATTGCCTACCATCAATGCAGGTGGAACTATGTTTCTCAAGATGATGTTAAGGATGTTGACCGCAAGTTTGATAAATTCGATATTCCATACGATGTTATTTGGTTGGATATTGAGTACACCGACAGTAAGAAGTACTTTACTTGGGACCCTTTGACCTTCAACGATCCTGAAACTATGCTCAAAACATTGGATAAACGGGAGAGAAAGGTAAGACTGCTAGATCCGGATGTTTAAGATCCTTACTGACTAATATAGCTTGTGGCTATTATTGATCCCCACATCAAAAACGACAAGAATTATGACATTGGCAATGAGCTTGTGGACAAAGGTTTTGGTGTCATGGATAAAACTGGTAAAAAAATCTATGAGGGCTGGTGTTGGCCTGGTTCTTCCCACTGGATTGATTGTTTCAACCCTGCCGCAAGGGCATGGTGGAAGACACTCTTTGACTTCAAAAAGTTCGTTGGTTCTATGCCAAATACATGGATCTGGAATGATATGAACGAGCCTTCTGTTTTCAACGGCCCAGAAACCACAATGCCAAAAGACAACATCCACTATGATAACTGGGAGCACAGGGACGTGCACAATTTGAACGGAATGACACTCCACAATGCAACATATGAAGCCCTCAAGACCCGTCTTGGTCCAGGAAAAGAGCGAAGACCATTTGTGTTGACCAGGTCCTACTTCGCCGGCTCTCAGAGAACTGCAGCAATGTGGACTGGTGATAACCAGGCAGACTGGGACCATCTTGCCCAGGCATTGCCTATGCTACTCGCTCAAGGTATCGCCGGTATGCCCTTCGCTGGAGCTGATGTCGGCGGCTTCTTTGGAAACCCCAGCAAAGAGCTCCTAACCCGTTGGTACCAAGCCGGTGCCTTCTACCCCTTCTTCCGCGGCCACGCTCACATCGACGCTAAACGCCGAGAGCCATATCTCGCAGGAGAGCCCTACACTTCCATAATCCGAGATGCCATCCGCCTTCGTTACTCTCTTCTCCCCGCCTGGTATACCGCTTTCCATCGCGCCTCATGGGAAGGAATGCCAATTTTGCGTCCCCACTTTGTCATGTTCCCTGATGATGAGGCTGGATTCGCGATTGACGACCAGTTCTACCTCGGTGACACTGGTATCCTCGTTAAACCCATTGTTTCCGAGGGTGTCACGGAGACTTCAGTTTATATCCCTGAGGAAAACATGGTGTACTACGATTACTTCGACTACACCATGTACAACGGCAAGGGCGTCTACTCTGTTCCTGCGCCTCTGGGCTCTATTCCAATGCTGATGCGCAGCGGCCATATCATCCCGCGCAAGGACCGCCCACGTAGATCCTCTGGTTTGATGCGCTACGATCCATACACCCTCGTCGTGGCACTTGCTCCAGGAGGCGCTGGCGGTGTCCTCTATGTAGATGATGGCGAGACATATGACAACAAGGACGGCGCTTTCATTCACCGCTCATTCATATACAACCCGGGTGACAAGACACTCCGCTCAGGAAACTTGCACCCAGAACCGGCAAAGGCTGCCAAGTATGTCAAGGAGATGAGGGACGTGCGGGTTGAGAGGGTTATTTTGGTTGGGGTAACAGATGAGTGGAAGGATAAGAAGACGGTAGAGGTGAAGCAGGGAAGTAAGACGTGGGATGCAGAAGTTAAATTTGTAGAGGGCAAGGAGGGTAGGGCGAGCCATGTGATTGTGAGGAACCCGAGAGTCGCAATCGTGAAAGATTGGACTATCAATTTTGCATAGGTTTGATTTTGTGGAAGTGCTATGCTGAAGACTTATACCTAAGCGTCTTGTATTGTAGCAATAGTAGAATGGAATTTTGATGATTTCTTGCAATTGAGCTTTGGACTAAAATCGTGAATTTGCTGCGACCGATCTACCTACATCTAGCGCAATTGTAGAAATCTAAATCACTTGACCGAATCACCGTAACTCGCACACCAGGGACCTTTATAGCACACTTCACAAATCACAAAGAGAGACTGTAAACACCTGTATTTGATATTTATGGGCCCTCCCGTCCCGATGCAGTCCGTCCCACTCCGCTATACAAATCCTCCCATGCCTTCTATGTCCCGTGGCCTTAAACCGCCACAACTGGAGGTGCCTCCCCCGTCGCGCCAGCGAACCTCCTCCGCTTCTCCAGTAGGGCTTCCTTGCGCTCGTTCAGATACTTGATCTGGCGCTCCTCGACGTTCATGAGCCAGTAGCCGAAGGATCCGGTGATACCCGCATAGAGTGGGTAGTGCCACAGCGTCTCTTTAGAAAAGTAGGGGCGCATCTCGATTCCGAGCTGCCACCAGCGGACGGCCGCGCCTGTTCTCCGGTTAGTCAATGTCTGCGTGGGCGGGCAGGCAGGTGAAGAGACGGGGCAGGGGCGGGAGCAGTACCGAATGCGGCCCAACCGAGGATTTTTGACATTGTGTATATAGGTGTGAATGTGGTGGGTTTTGGTGGTGGTCAGGAGGGTAATTGGAGGGGGGAATCGAATTGAGGTTGAATACACCGTTGGGGTGAGGTGCGGTTGTAGTGATGACGGTGTCACGTGGTGGGCCGAGTGATGGGTCGTGGGGTGGGGTGGTGAGAATCCTTGTTCGCTTTGGGTTTGGAGGGGTTTTGCGGGTTGTGCCGGGGTTATTCTATTTTGGAGTGAGGCTTTTGGATGGATGGGGATGGACTCGAGATCCTCTGGACCACTAACTACATTTAGAGTACTCTACAGAATTTACCTACATGTATCTACTCTTTAGCATGTAGTAATAGACATGTAGTATTGTGGGTAAAGGTTTTGAAATAACAATTCGGCGATTAAAGCAGATTAACTGAGATGCCGAAAATCAATAAAGGTTGCTGATACAGTCTAGCACAGGGAATTCTTGGCCGGTAATTCAAGCTGAGAGTAAAGAATGTCAATAATGACAGATCTAAGGACACGCTAGGACTCGAGAAATTCGTTTTGTAAAGATTGAGCTCTCTTCATCCTTCGCTGCTTTCCCTATCTCAGATGCATTCCAAGATCATAATTGGTCTTATCCAGTCATCAGAATATGATCCTATTGCTCTTCTGAAGTATACAGATTCTTTAAACCGGAGCTTGATTGAACCATCCTTAAAAATTGATTCTGGACAAAACAATCATTGGTCGTTTAAGACGACGATGCGGCTCTGTTAAGGCGCTAACGACGTTGGAGGAGGGGTTGAGCTCGCGTGGGGATCCAAAGGTGGGGGTTTGGTAGCTGGATATATAGCTCTCGAGCTCCCACATTTAATTACTATACTTTACTATCGATTCGATTTCAAAGCCTGCCTGTATCCGAGGAAACGTCGCTGCCCGTTTTCCTAGAGGCTTGGGGTGCTACGGATAATACGTTTAGGTAATTGCAGGGTCCAGCTCTAAACCTCAACTATCTGCTTGGGGTTAATATAATCTACTACTTTAGTACAAACCGCCCATCTTACAACTCGAGAATAGTGATAATGGACCTAAACAACGTCAACCCAGAGGTATCCAAAAACCCCGACATGTATTTCCGTCTCCTCTCATCCTCCTCAGGACCTCGACTGGGCCGTCTTGCGCTTAATAAAGTCACTATCGACACGCCTTCGTTCATAGCCCCTGCCTCTCGCGGCGCAGTACCTCACCTCTCTCATGACAACCTTAGAGATCATACAGATATCAAAGGGATATATGTCGCCCTCGAAGATTGTACGTGCCTGTTACATCTACCCTCTCTTTTAACTATTCTTGCTAACTTTAAACCTAAACAGTTGTCGAAAAGTACCCTCCTAATGTCCCAATCTACAATCAAGCCGCAGGAAGCCTCCGAAACTTCACATCCACACCTTCAAAGACCCTTCTTATTCTCTCTGGCCGACGTGTGCCCCCTGTCACCACCGCCGCCTCGAACACAGATCATTCCCTGGCAATCCTGACCAGCGTTGGCTTCCGCATGCTCCCAATCGACGATTATGTTTCTGCCGTCTCCCGCCTGCGACCGGACATCGTCCTCGGCCTCCCAGACATTCCCTCCAGCGCCCCCGGCAAACACCGCGGGCCGAAGATGGTATTCCGGACGGACATGTGGCTTCAACAGCTTCTGAATAAGACAACAGTAACAGCTGATTACACCCCCCGTATCTTTGCGCCTCTGTTACCACTCGACTTCGAACAGCAGTCGTATTATATTGACACTCTCATGGATAAGATAGATAAGCTGTCCGGCCTCGCACTGTACGATAGCGCCCTTGCGGCCGAGCTCCCAGAGGAGTTAGAAAAACTCCCGCGGATGAGTGTGGATGACGCTGAAACCCCGCATAAAGTCCTGCAGCAGGTGCGCTGGGGTATTGACCTCTTCAATCTGGGTTTCATCACAACCGCTACCGATGCCGGAATTGCGCTGGATTTCGAGTTCCCAAGGCCCACAGCGGCGGGCGAAGAAATACGACCATTGGGCGTAGACCTGTGGGGCAAGGAACATGCCGCAGACCTTGAACCTCTAGGGCAGGGCTGTAACTGCTATGCATGTAGAAGGCATCACAAGGCGTATGTGCAGCATCTTTTGGTTGCGAAGGAGATGACGGCTTGGGTATTGCTACAGATACATAATACGAAGGTTATTGACCGGTTCTTTGCGGCTGTCCGGGGAAGTATTGAGCGTGGAAGCTTTGAAGAGGATGTGGCGATCTTTGGGAGGTTCTATGAGAGTGAAATGCCGGAAAGGAAGGGGCAGGGTCCTAGGTTTGTTTTCACATCTGTTTGCAGTGGTGGGTACGGACTAATAAAAGTGTAGATTGCGAGGATATCAGTTCAAGAGCCAAGGTGGAACGGGAAAGAAGAATCCAAAAAGCTTCACTAAGCTGGGCGCCGCAGGTGTGCCAGCGGGTGATATGAGGGAAGAGCTAGATGAGGCCGTGGAGAGCGGAGTGAAAGAGGCGGGGAATGAGCTAGAGGGCGGATTTGCGGAAAGGTTGAGCTAGATGACCTTTCTTTTGCCCAGGTTTGTGAATACTATATAGTTAATAAATGGACGGAGCTTTTGGGTATTCTATAAATTACATATATTTACTTGTAGTTTTGTTGTGGGAGTTGTAATCATGGCGAATCACTCGCGCAGATCTCACAAGCACCACTTACCAAAACCCCCGTACACTCTACATGTACCTACACATAGAATATCTTTCAACTTGGGCATCTGTCTGCCCTATCGTTATCCCGAGAACGGCCGAAATCCTACACCTCTTGGTAGATTCCAGTCGCTATAATATGTAGTTTCCCCCCATGTCGCGGTTCGAATACTACTACACCCCATCCCCTGTTCTTGAGCTCCCGCGAATTAGTACTCTCATTGCGATGTCTACCACATGAATCTTTGTCCCGCAGCATACATGTAGTATGAGTTGGCTAACAGAAAGACTAGGAAAGACTATACCGACTTTAGTCTCGTGCCCAGACTTTTGTCAACTCGTTCCTCGTGACCTTTCATCAAAATTATCGCACCAACCACCGTCTCACGGCAATACCATCATCACCACGATCATCTATAACGAGAGAGAAGTCTTCCCGTGAGCTAGTACCCGGTGCCATGCTGTATTGACCTGTCATTGCAGGTAGCAGAAAGTGATACACCGCAATGACTACGGGCCTACTGCACAGAGCAGCTTACTCCATGAGCACTTGTCCCTCTTAAATAACGCCGGGATATATCCTCCTCTCATGGATCGAAACCTAAAATGTCATGCCCCCTGGAGCTCTATTATCATCTAATTTAGCTCTTGTAAGGGTAACGATTCTGAGTTTTGTATGCACTAGATCCCTCCTCGGGCGAAAACAGGTTTCCCCCCGTTGTCAGATTCCATCATAAGTTATCACTCGATGAATCAACATCCTTCAAATTTGCAATATGATTAATAATGTACACGATATCCACTGACCATAAATGATAGTACTTCTAAGGACAGAAACTTCATTCGCCATCCAGGATTCCCGTCCATCACAAATCTCTCATTACATGAGTTAATCAAGAAAGGAATTAAACCCCAAAAGGCATAGCTACTTGCAAAAAGAACAAAAAAGAACAAAATTAACAAAACCCCAAATACGCCTTTCCTTTACGTCCTTTACAACTGCCCCACCCAGGACAAAACCAATGGTAAATAAACAAATAAACAAATAAACAACAGCAATAATATGGATTTTAAGCAGCATCGCTCCCGAATCTTCTATCCAGCTGCTTTAGCACATCCCGAACACTGCTGACCTCGACTTGCGGGCACCTTCCATCACCGCTCCGCACCATCAGCGGTCGTAGTAAACTTCCCAAGTCCGCCGTTGCTTCCCCGAACCCTCTATGCCTAGATAGTGCCTGGTAGGCTGCGCTAGCTGGTATAAAAGTTCCCTTTTCGTCGGTGGTGTCTTTAAGTGATTGCTTGTCGCCGCAACACCCGCCGCCACAGCATCCAGCAGGAGCGCCCGCGGGACGTGATTTGACTTTCGTGGCAACAGATTGACAGAAGAGAGTTGACATTGGGTCGTTCTTGCACTGAGCGCACCCACCAGGCGGACATCCGCTTCCTGTGCTTTTGGTCATTGGCGGGTACAGAGGCATTGGCTTTTCTACGTTGTGCCCCTCAAGACTTTGATCTCCTCTTGGGGGTGTAAGATTTGACAGAAGCGGAGGGAGTTTAGTGCTGTGGTGTTCTTCGGAGTCCTCTTCGTCGTCATCCATGTTCATCATCGCATTCGCTGCGGCCTCGGCGCAAACACAATGTGTGCCATCTGAGCAGAATCCACACGGATCTGCTGGCATATGTGAAATTACAGGGGAACCAGAGAAGGAAGGAGGGGCCGGGGGTGGTTTGGTCATATAGGTGAAGTCGGTTTCCAACTCATCTGGTGGGGTTAGTCCGACATTGCTGGATATTCGTGTGCGTTTAGGTGTGTTTTCGCTCGGAGACGTAGGGCGCTTCACTGGGTAGGCAGCCTCTACAGCCTCAGTGATACATGCACAGTTGCCATCCCTGGAACAGCGCCCACAACCAAGAGGATCCGGATTCTGAGGAAATTCGGAAGCGGCCTTATTCCTATTGCTTCTTCGGCGTATAGGAACTGAAGGTGCGGGCAGAGGAGCAGACCCAAGAATGTCTGATGGGGGAGACTTTTTATCACAAAGGATCCTATCCAAATCGTCTGTGCACGCGCAATTCGAGCTGCACGGGTTCTCATGTGAAGATGGTGCAGGAGATGCAACCTGTGTCGAATTGAAGCTTGCCACAGGAGCTGATGAATGCTGCTGTTGCTGTTGCTGTTGATCTACCTTGACTTGCCGTAGCAATTCTAGCTCTTTTTGGAGACACTCAACCTTGGTTTTATAGAGACTGTTTTCTTTTGCAAGCTCAGCATTGTTCATGACGAGCTGGTTGACCTGTTCTTGGTACTCAGTTATCTGTGTTGAAGTTTCAAGCTCGACTTCTTTGAGCTTATCCTCAAGTTCGTTCACACGCGCGGCACGGCGCTCGCGGAACGCTCGTTGGGCTGCTCGATTTTGTGCCTTTCTTTTCTATCAAAAAGAATATGAGCCCTAGTTTAAAGATATATAAAGGTATATTTAAGAACTTACTGTTGGCGGAGTATCTGTTGCGGGTTTTCGTCCAGGCTTTTGAACACAAGATGTCAATCATCGATACTCCATAATTTTTTGAAGGGACAACCAACCTTTGGCCGCGGTGGCACAATCCACTCCTTGTGTGTAACCACACCGGCTGGGCTTGGAGTATCATGGCTCATCACACTTACAGCTCTAGGAGCAAGAGTTGGCGGGCCCGGGCTACAGGCGGACATTGGCGAAGAAATCGCTGCATATGTATGGACAATTAGACCAAGTAATGTCTCGGGATACCGAGTGTTTAAGAGCGGAACTCACCGACTGGGGACTGAGAATCACCGGACATGGCGGCAACGGCGAATCAACACCAGCAGCAGTGCGAATAACGAGGAAGTGGCAAAGTCAGGTCGAGGGGGAATCATCAGACCAAAAGTGCGCGCCGGGGGGGTTTTGAGAGAGAGAGACCGCCTGTCTACCCTGGCGACAATGGGAAGGCTGTCTGTCGGATACCGTCGTGGGGTTGCGCGACGCTCTCAACTAATCAGATCCGGATGGATTGGATTAGATGGTCTGATAAAAACTCTGCACTCGAGCTAGAGTGGATGCGGTAGGGTATCCGCCAAAAGCTTCCAGAGAAAGACTGGTGCAGCAGGGGAAACAAGAAAAAAAAATCTGATAAGAGGTCTTGGGATACGAGAGGTCAGGGTTATCTTATCCGATCGCCCGATGCCCCCTTGGTTGACTACGCGTTTGACTCCTCGTGCGTATTCGTTTATGATCCTGGAGCAAAATCTAAATTGTTCAATCAGTAGAGTGGGGATTACTCCTTCATACCATTTTATTGATCCAGTATACGGTACTGTATGTACCTACATATGAGTGAGTGAGCAGTCAGCTATCATTAGATGAGTGATCAGCCACACAAGCGATCACTCGACACTCAAAGCATCTTGTTCTGGGGATGGGGAGTCTGGATTCTTAAAATGGGATATATAGAAGAAGATAACAAAAGGCCTAGCCAACGATGATTTATCAGCCGACGGAATAGAGTATCATGGCAGAGACCAGGGGCGCAAATATCCATATCCTTGCGATTCCTACTCAAACTCGGCGAATATCTCTCTAATTAGAGGAGACCACTCTGGACGGAAAAACATGTAGATCCTATCAGATACACGTACCTACAGCCACTCTGCAAAAGTGTTCGTGATTCCGATTTCGGAGTGAGACATTTCTCTATATGTAACTCTGGCGGACCATTAAAAAAACCCCAAGAGAAAACCTTTCCAGTCACCAATGGAGCCCGGAACCAATGAAGAATAAGATTAATGACCTATCTTCTTTTATATATAGTCACGAACTATATTATATATTTTTCGTTGTTTTAAATCTCTACATTAATAAATCAACGTCATGGGTGCGCGCGCCACACTGCGCACTGACATTAAAACTAAATCACGAACACTTTTGCTGAGTGGCTGTACATACCTAGAGTATATGTATGTATTTACAGGCTACATTACATTAACGTAAAGAGGGAACGAAGACCAGAAGAATCACAGCATGATGAGACCAATCCCGCTTCCGTTCTCTGCATCAATATCATTATTCTCATCAATACCACCTCTGATATATGCGGTTCGCCAGTTAAACAGATAATAATAAAGTTGCCCATCGCCTGCAGTGAATTTTTGATCATTCAAGAACAAGTTATTATCGAGCAGTGTAAGAGCATTAAAGACGTCAAATTTCAACTGATACGAGCTGTTAGAAATATCAGGATGCAATGGATGGAATCGACGCAAACCCTGTTGGCAATTATAAGCGCATCGTTTATCAGCGCGTTCAGCCGTATCTTCAGTTCTTTCTTGGACTCTTTGGGGGCGACTTCAGTGGCATAGTAGGAAAGATAAGCCGCGCAAATCTTCTTATGCTTGCTGCTACTGGATATCACTGAAGTCTCAAGCGCATAGAACGAAAAGAAATCCGTTATGCGTCCTCCATCCTGCCATGCAATTAGCACCCACCCACAGAGGCCGTACCGCAGCTGGAAGATCAATCAACCTCCACAACATAAGTATAAACGACTCTCTCCTCAGAATCACTAGCGTCTTTGTGTAGCAACCAATGCTCGGCTTCATTTATGTCGAATTCCGGTGCCATATCAAACCTTTCAAGATATCTCTTGAGTAGGTTGTGAGTGGCATCTAAATCCCTTGGTTCCATCTCTCTCAGTCCCTTGATACTTGTCCGCGACGGCAACCTAAATTTTGCAGTCTGCCTCGTCTGCGTGCTGCCATGAGGTAAAGAGCTAAACCCGACCTCATACAACTTTAGCCAATTCAAATACCTGTGAAAATACCTACAGGTACTGACTGGGCTGGGCAGCACGACCCCAGTGGTATAAACTGCGTTCCAACATTTCTCTACATCACAACGTCTTGCGATCTCTCCAATAAGGACGGGGGCTAGACGTTTCGACCGCAGCTTCTTGTGTATACATAAGAAGTTGATTCCAGAGCACCGAATGGTATTTTTACGTACCCTCAGGCTCGCCGGCACGCCTGAGATGAAGGCGACGAGTTTCCGAGATGCGGTAACTCGTACGCCGGCATACCACTCGGGAATCCAGCCAGGAGGTTTAAGGGCCCAGCTTAAGAAGGATATAGAGTAGTTGAAGCGGAACATAGCCTCATTGTCTTCTACGTAATGAGCTTTGAGAAGCTCATAGATCTCGTCCAGCTTGGAACGGTGTCAGGAAAGTACTCAGGGATTCTGTAGGAGCTTCTCACATGCTTCGGGTCATTGAGATCCATGGTGACCCATTCAAACCCATCCAGAAGCTCAACCCCATGAGGTGGAACCACTTCTGGATTTGTGTCCCGCACTGGACCATCTGGCTTTAAAGCCCCCTCTTCATCTTTCCACCCCCTCCCCATTAGTCCACTCCTCTAGACAATAAGCTCGAGGGAGGGACCCACCAAACCGAGCAATTGGCTGGGTGTTCCAGAATTTATAACTCTCCATGTCCTTCTTCCCACCAGTCAATTTGTCCTCCAATTTCATCAACCGCAACATCTCCTCGACTTGAGCTCTCTCCAGACTCGGATTCTTCTCCAATATCCGGTCTACTGCCATAGTATCCTCAGTTGGTGCAAGGACAGGGGAGGAAACGGTATTAGCTGTCTGGTGGCTACCACTACCGTTCTGCTCAATAATAAGAACTCTCTTCTTTTTCGACCTTTGCTTTTTCTTTCTGCTGTCTCCTAGTGTCTCGATAATACCACTATAGCCGTATTGTGACATCTCTTCGAACCTATCCCCGTTTGAGTCGTCTTGTGAAGGGAAAGAGGAGATAGCCGGTTCAATTGCTTTGGAATCTTTCGGCATGGTTGGAGAAGCTGCGGGGTGGATGGTGTAATGATATTCAGGGCGCGGGATCAGAATCACGATGCAGGTGGTTGTAGCTGTACATACATGATCAAGCGAGGGTGGGGCTCATTTGATAGCAAGGGTCTAAGTCTAACGTGCATGCCCGAGGCTATCCGAGTCACCTGCAGCGGAGTAGCATATTCAGTAATAACAGATTCTCGGTAGGGGCATATCGCTAGCCAACCTGGAACAAATGAATATGGACAAATTGGCGTTCGGACCATATGCTAATACCGAGCCTCCACTGTATAAAGAGGCTGGCCACAAATGGAGCCTACATTACGCGCAACTACAGCCTGCTCCGCAAGTATCAAGCATTGGAATGTCTTTTATTAGTGCCATCAGCGCCGATGACTCGGGGGGAGCAAGTATTGTATGGACCATAGACTTTCCATACCGGGCTTCGATAAGTGGGCTATAGGCATCTTTCAACGCACCTATAGCGCTTTGGTAAACACTGAAGGGCGTTAAGTTACGACATTCCAAGGCCATGCATGCATCACGGATCATATGTTTACAGCGGTCCCAGACCGCAAGGGAGTGCGCGGAATATGCTACTAAAGCCTCGAGAACTGCCAAGGTTCGAATTGTCAGCGAACACCCAGATACACTAGTATTTGCCTAGACAACAAGTGCTGGTCGAGCAACTGTGATTTTTGTGGAAGATGGGATGCGTGACATAGCACACGGCAGTGTACTGTAGGCTTTGTGGGGTGGGACAGAGTGTACCGAAGGCTCCAATCCCGGGGCTCAACTAGAGTCGTGGGGTCGATACCCCCGTATGACTTTGTGGATGAATTCTTCATTGAAGGAATGAGCTTCTTAGGGATTCCCCGAGCTTCTCTCGAGGCAGGGAAGTAGCGGAAGGTACATATTCGTCTGGGATATTATCTCTGATAGCTGGCTTTGAAGAGGCGCATCTCTCAGAGGTGGTGTGCTGTCTAGAAGAGAATGTTGCAGATGCCGAGTGATATTTCATGATGCGGATGTCGAGGACGTTTTTGGGCTGTTAGAAACCCCGGAACTTGGTAGAACATATTCAGATAAGGGTTTGTGGTAGTTAAGATTCTGATCTTGGGGCCTTAAAGCTCTATGTTTCATGGTGGTTGAGGTAGAGGCGTAGTAAGTATGTAGTGGCGATTATGGTCAAGACAAAAAACCTCAGCTCAACCCCTATATATATGCATGCAGACAACGTCAAGATTTTTTTATCTACAGTTTCCGGTAGAATTATTGCGAAAGTGGGTTCTCCGTGACCCTATAGTCCTATTGGCCCTTAAAAGATTTTTGCTACGAGCACAGACCAACAAAATCCACTCTTTTAGCTCTGACTTTCGCAATAATTCTACCGGAAACTATACTTTAAAAAGTTCTAGAAGGTTCTTCAGCTTATAATTCCATAATTCTGTTGCTTTTAAGTAGGTCACAAGTGGGTGGCGCTTCATGGTTGACGGATCATGGTAGTGGGCATGAAATATCTAGTCATTTTTGGGCCACTTGACGGTCTAGGGGATAAGCTTAGTTTGTGGTTATTATTCTGATATTTTTTTGTATATTGTGCTTCTATCTAGACTTGTCCGGGAACCTCACAAAATTACAGCCAGCAGCGAATTTTCATGATTTCCAAAATCATGAACTGTCTCCATCCATCCTTAGAATCGACATTCATTGGCATGTTGAGAGGATCCCACACTCAGTGTGCAATCACGTATCTTCCCTCATAATTTTGGGGCAAAACCGCCCAATGGCCTTATCTGCCATAAGCAGGGTTGATGGATGTCGCCGCGATCCATGCCTGGGCGGGAGTGGTGATGGTGCGGAGCTTGGGGTACCGCAACCAAACCTACTTTATACTTTACTTATGCTTTAAACACCACGGAAATGATTGCTTGGGCAGAAACTTGTACAAGTATAGATTAAAGCTGGCCATGCCCTATTAGATCAGGTGTCAGTGTTATTCCGAGTGAGCGCTTATGAACATATCATTCTGCGATCCAAAAACCCTCTTTAGAGGGTTTACGATAACACTGGAATTATTCTCACACTTAAAAACCAATTGAATACCCCTCACAGATCTCCGGGTGCCGAATTCAAGTGTGGGCCCTCGTCATATGAAGATACTCGAATTAAGAAATCAAACAAAATTGACTAAAAGGACAGATACCAATTGACCTATTGAAAATGTAAATTCTGTAGCTGCGTTAGGGTTATAGTGCTGACTGTTGTCGGTGGTGAAATGTTTATTTCGGAGGCGAAGCAGTCGTCACATTGCTCATCTCGATTATCACATCATGCCCTGAACTCGCCGCTACGCTTGTCCGGCTGTGGGCACTTGGACATTTAACACTTGGAGCCTTAACAGATGGACTTTTCGCTCCGCCCGGAGGGCCGCGGGCCGTATTGCTCGGCGCCGGAAAAGCCATAGGTGGAAGTCCCTTCTGGATCTTAAGGTCCCTCAACTTCTCAATCGCCTTACTGAGCTGCTCTACGAGCTCAGGGTCACGTGCCTCCGGACGTCTAAAAGGGGGACCGAAAGAGACCGGCGCGGCAGCTTTTTTGGCATGCCAACCGTCGGTATGGTTGTGCGGAAAAGCCAGTCGTCCTCAGTACGGAACGCAGTCCTGTATGTTGCATTCTGCTGGGTACTGCCCGGCGCTGCAATCCCTGTTTCGGCGAGTATGACCGGAAGTAAGACGAGGTCGCCGCCCACCCAGGGCTGAGTGCCTCTGAGGTTGACGATCTTGCAGCTGTACCAGGTAGGCGGGTTTCGGACGCTGTCGGTGTCTGCTCTTTTGTATGCAAGCCATTTACTGAAGACCTTCGGAGGGAAGTCCCAGATTGCTGTGCATTCATGGACCAGCGAATTCTTAAGCTCCGTTACGTCGTTGCTGGACGCTATAGTGTGGGCTTGCTCCAACATCTCAAGCATATCCATCTGCCCGAGCCGTTGAGAAAGTAGAATCGGGAGCTCTAAAGTGTAGTGCGCACCCTTGGGAATCCAGCGCTGTTCCATGGGCGAGTACAAGGGTGTGCAAAACATGACATAAGCAAAGTCGTGGCCGTTAAACCTCAGTGACATTTCAGAAACGCTGAGATCCTTGTCGTCGATATAGTCGTCGAATTTAGGGTCAAGCATCTAGATTACGACTCTGATAAATGCTAGTGCTGTTTGCACCCCAAGCCAGATCGCAGCTTGGTTTGTGGTTGTTCGTCGAACTTCCACATACTGGGAAATGTACCTAAGTTTGGTAAGAAGGGGTTCCAAAGGTTTGGTGTATTTCTTACCCGACGGCTATCACTGCTCCTGCTATTAGCGAAAACCCTCTGCAGGCCATCTCGTAGTATCCGGATACTGCATGAAGATTGCAAAAGACCGGGCCGTCATCTCCTTGTGCTGTATGCATTATAGCAAATTTGTTCAATTCAATCATCGGCTTGGGCTGCCCGTTGAATGTGGATTCCTCATACATTATTGACGGCGTTTGCTCTTTGATATAGACATACGCCCACGTTATCGACGAGATAGCCAGAGCACCGAACAATCCAAACGATGCGAATATTCGGGACCATGACCAGATGCTACTGACCGGGAGTATCGGGAAACTCGTCGCAGCTGCCGTGAGCAACAAAGACCCAAAGATGATGAGGAGTTTTGTCCAATTATCTCGGATTCCGTTCCCCCCGTTCAAGACAAGCGCACGGCCGTAAGTGTCAGGGTTAGATATCAAGCGGAAGCTCATGATTGAGGTCGGGAATGACTCTTGCGTGTGTCTCAGTCGCTTGACCATCTCGAATCTGACGACACCAAGACGCGTGGTCGTGGAAACGTAACTGATCTCGACAAGGTCCTCTCTTGGCAGCCTATCAGCTTCTGCTACGCCAAGGATGGCCCGTACTGGTGCTGTTGGACCCTGAACTGTAAGAGACTGTATTTACGAGGAAGATGGCAGTGAGGGGGGTCACCTGTGGGAAATGCTGGGTCCTGGCATGCTTTTGAGCCCATTGCCAGCTTTACCAACGCCCGAACATATCCCAAGATCCCGAGAAGAGAGCATGTTGCCACAGCTACTGAAAGATAACCTCTAGAGTAGTCGACTGAGTATCGCTCGACACTGTCCGTTGCAAAGAGACCAATAAGTGCGGCTAAATCTTGGGTGCCATCTGCGAGAACCTGGAAAGTACTGCTTCTATCTGTGACTGCCGGGTCTTGTGCAAGAACTTTAGGTAGAGCTCTGAAAGTCCAGCTAGTACATAGCAGTCCTAATATAAGGCCTCGAGCTGGGGTACTGAAGACCAGCAAAGACTCCCAAAGGGTTTTCGTTATCGATGGAGTAGGGCGACGCCGATAATTGGTATGAGATGGCTCTCTCTTCTCCATGTTTGAAAGTAAGGAGGGAGTTGAAACAAGAACGAGATCGTATTGGTCTTTAGAGGGAAGTAGGTATAATCTTTCCCCGCTCAACGAGATCCCTCTAGTACCGAGCAATCGCTCGGGGCTTTGCCTAAGGAGTGGTGACAACACAGCGAATTCGCTAGCACTAGCCACCGTCTTGGCCCCGCAACAAAAGGGTCAGCTTTTTAATCCATATTTTGGTGGATGCAGACCCAGTCCGGTCCGGGAACGCTATGGAGGTGCTGGTGGTGGTTGGTAGGTAGATAGGAACGATGCTAAGTGTCCGTAAATACATGTAGGTACAGTCGCACCTCGCTATCTCGTAATTCGATATCTCGGATCTCTTGCTGTCTCGTACGGATTTGCGGGACAGGTACTGCCCTTCTCCACCAAAAACTATTTGCTGTCTCGTATATTTGCTATCTCGTAGGGGTTTGGCTCCCAGAATAAGCTAACGACATAACGAGGTGCGACTGTACTAGTAGTGATAAGGGTGGGTGCAAAACGGTGCAGTAAGACTGGTGGGTATACTCGCGGCGGGCATGAAGTACCCGAATATGCAGCTGCAAGTTTTTGGTGTATTTTTGACTTCTACTCCAATGGAAATTGCAGATTAGGACGTGCATTTTCGGGTACTTGTTACCTGCTGCGAGTATGTAAAACGACGCTAGGACTCCAAAAAGCTAAGTACTCAAAGAATGGGAATTTATTAACTACTTTTAACCACCGTATTTGAGCCCTGCCGAAGCTAACTATCCTCCTCCTCCTCCTCCTCCTCCTCCTCCTCCTCCTCCTCCTCCTCCTCCTCATCTCTCCCTTCCCCCTCTCTCTTTGTCGTCGTCCTCTTCTACCCTCTTTACCACCTCCGGCAGCACCATCCCTCCCTCCTCTCGCTACATACCCCGCCCACGCCCTCTCCGCCTCCCTCCCCCACCTCTCCCTCTCCTCCTTATCCCCCGCCCCATCAGCACACCACGCCGCCACCACCCCCCTCCACAACCACATGACCCTCATCTCCGCCCACGGCGGCCCACCCTCTCCCACACCAGAGCGCGTGGATGTCGGTGCCGGGTGTGCGCAGGAGGAGGGCGTAGGCGCGGCGCGCGGGGGGGAGGTCGTTGTGTGAGAGGGCGTGGTGGAGGAGGGTGCTGGCGGTGAGGGGCGTGGGTGGGATGGAGTGCGTGGTGAGGTGCGTGAGGATGTGGGCGGGCGGGCGGGGGCCGGAGTGGAGTGGGTTTTGTTGCAAGATAAATCGTTTTGCCAACAACTCTTGGTTTTCAAATACAACAGAACTCTTATTATATGAATTGGTTGATATGAACTCTTTTTTTTTTTTTTTCAAGTCATGCGATTTTTATTTCTAGGTATATATAATTGGTTGATATGAACATTGTTTTATCTGATAGGCGGTCGGTACTCCGAATCACTATAAAGGTTTTAATGTATCATTGGCATGATTTAAACTACATGTACGTATCACAGCGCTGCAGTCAGATGACAATAGGATTGACGCTTAGTAAATACTTCCTAACCTCTTCGTACGTTTTCAGAACCCGGCACTATATGAGGGGCTAGGATAAAAGACAGCCCCTATTGACTACCAAATCGTAGCCCACAAAGGTACCTGAGTCGGTATGACTTTACAAAAATTTGAGCTTGTAAGTTTCGTATGGTACAAGTTCAGGCTGGCTGGACATTGACTCTCCCGGCTGAATCAAATCGTAGCCTACTACTCGTAAATTCATGACGTTTCCGAACACGACTGCTATTGCATACCATATAAAAAGCGCCAAATCCACCTTTTTGTATGTCATGCAATATCGGTCGTGTTCGGAAACGCTATGAACTTACGAGTAGAAGGCATACCGAACTTTCCTGCATGCATGTAGGTAAATGTATTTATAGCGATGGCACATTTCTTTGCAAGGATGGCAGCTGTAGGTTTTCCAATGAAGCTTGTTTTATACGTTTTTCATCATGCAAGAGGTATTAATAACCTTTAAAAGCTCTAAACCATAGCACCAAATATCGAAATAAAAGAACACCACTACTAAAAAGGAATATAACAAGCTCCAAGCATACAGCATTTCCGTTACAAGACCCCCTCAAGGAACAACGTCACAACTATAGCCATGTTTTACTACTTTCAGATCATCAATAAATCTAACCCTCCTCTACAGTGGGCTTTGGCGGTGCAGTAGCCTTGGGCGGAGATCCAGGAGCCGGAGGGACAGCAGTGTTTGAAGCAGCAGATTTTTCGGCAACGGCATCTGACTGTGTTTCTCCAGCGACGCTCTTCTTAACCTTCTTTTCCTTTCCAACCTGTTCACCAAATTATTAGTTGATGCTTTTGATTCATCATATTGAACTATCTGCGTACCTTATGCCAAGCCCAGAGAGGTCTGAAACTGTCGAAGAATCCGACATCCTCGAACAAATTGGGATACAACCAGAGACCCGGCGGAGCTACAAACATCGTAATGACGAATAGAATCAATCTGAATATGCTCATTGCGATGAACAATCCAATGAGGCCTAGCATGCCCATTGAAAGATACCACACGCCCAATCTCAACATTGGCGGCCAGAGCGGGAACATAACGACTAGTAATAAGACGAGGATAACTCCAATGGCCATTAAGGTCTGTGTCCAACTGCGAGGTTCGTAAAACCAAGTATAATAAAGCTCATCCCTCATTTCCTGGTGTTGTTCGATCTTGACGGTCCACAAGCCCTTGACTCGTTTACCGGGCTTGCCCGCTGGCTGTCCATCAGAGCCTGGTTCGATTTTAGAGACGCGCAGAGCGAGGAGATTGCGAGGAAGAAGTGAGAATGCCTGCAGTGCCTCGTTGGGATTGGTGACTTTTGGAAGGAGAGGGTTCTTTTTGCAAGCCTTTGCGTAGTTTTCGCCCTGGAGGGCTCTAACAGCACGTTTAACTATCAAATAGAGCGAAAATCAGTTTTGGACGATATATTATCAAGCCCATAATGAACCTCGAATCAACATACCCTTGAAGAGGTCTTTGCGCTGACCCTGAAGGATACAAGTCCTACTCTTGAGATCTTGGTTGCGAAGGAACTGAGCGACGGCCAGCGCCTCAGGTGAAGCAACAGGAGGAGCTTGAGCTACCGGTTGTCCGGGGGCTGACATTGTTGAAAATACAAAAGGTTATTAGGGATTGTTTATTGAAGCCGACGGGCGAGGGAAAGGAAAGCAACGAAGGTTCTACAGAAGGTGAGATGAGATAAACGCTTTTGAGGACACGATGGGGATCTTAATTGATATGGCAGGGTTTGTGCCACCGTAGGGGGTAGAGGCCACCTCTTCGTTTAGAGTGGCTGAGTGCCTATTTTTAGTGGCGCATTACTACCGTCATTGAGGCGTCGAGGCACAGGCATACCTAGTCCAACAAAAGAAATAATCAACGAAACCTACATGTATTTAGCTTTGGCTAGAATGTACCTACATGTAGTGCCGGAAAGGTTTGCAAGATTGCAGCGGGATTCATTAGCATGCTGCTTGCTTGACTGCGGTAGTGATACGATGCTGCATCACTAATGGTGCGAATTAACGCATTCTCCGGTATTGTACATAGGTCCTTGTGTTTGATATGATTATCGCAGACCATGAGACAAGGACTTGAAAACTATGAGAAGGGAATAGTATGTATCAAGTCAAGAGTGATGTCTTATATCGCTTATAGAATGATATCAGGCTCGAATTCAGTTTAGAAGCGTTCAATACTTAGTATTTTCTGTTTGCGTGACGGTACGAGGGACATCCGCCTTAGAAATTTAAGCGACGTTGATCTGCCCTGCTTCATGCCCCCACCATAATAAAAAACCCCACCAACCGCAACTTGCGAGCAACACTCAAGAGTCCAAAAGTTTCAACAAACAGCCATGAGTAATCGCAAAGAAAAGAAAGCTACCCCCGCCAACTCCGGAGGAAAGAAGCGGGAAGGAGACGCAAGAGAAATCCATCGTCTTCAGGCAGTTGTGAGTGGAGTAATTCTAAGATAGTATCGCGATAGCTTTGTCTGACTCAAATGTACAGATCCTCACAGATGGATTCGAAAACAGATTCAGACCCCTCACCCTCGAAACTCCCAGAGTGAGCAACCCAGAATATTTCTTCCAAGAGAAATTCTATCTTCGTAAATTGAAGCTAAGCTGTGTTGTAGTGCCTACTTCCTCTAGCAAACACCCCGCTCATCGATTACACACTTGAATTCCTCGCCTTTTCTGGCGTGGAAGATGTCTTTATATATGCATCTAGCCATGCTGAGAAAATCGAAGAATACATCCGGTTTGGAAATTTCTCCTTGATGTATTGACATTTCTAATGGGGTTTATGTCGTTTTTAGAGGTTCAAAATGGAACCAGCCGTCATCTCCAATAAAAAACTGTCAAATAATTGTGTCGCCTACAAGTACCTCAGTCGGCGATGCCATGCGTGATCTGGACCAGAAGCAGGTTATCACACACGATTTCTTGCTTATACATGGGGATTTTATCGGCAACTTGTCACTGGATAGTGTTTTAGAGGAGCACAATAAGCGACGTGCAATCAGTAGTAAAGCTATCATGACTATGGTTTTGAGAGAAGCAGGAACCGCACATAGAAGCAAGTAGGTTATCACTTAGCTTTATCTTTTCTCGGGTAAATGAGAGAAATGGCTAACCAATGTTAAACCCATCCAGAACCAGAAGCGAAACTGGAATTTTTGTGATTGAGAAGGGGACAAACAGATGTGTTCATTATGAAGAGGTTGGCACCAAGGATGGGGACATGACATTGTTGCCTACATCTCTGATCAAGGCCCACTCGGAACTTCAAATACGCTCCGACCTTCTCGACTGTTCTCTTGACATTTGTGCACCCAATGTTCCGGTCTTATATACTGAGAACTTTGATTATCAACATCATCGTCGTGACTTTTTAAATGGTGTCCTTAGAGAGACTGATCTTTATGAGATGTCCATCCACGCTCATATACTATCTGATCAGTATGGAGCCAGAGCCAGGAGTCTCCAGACATACGACGCCATCAGCAGAGATATCACCAGTCGCTGGGCATATCCCTTATGTCCGGACAGCAATCTTGGCATAGACCAGACCTACAGTCTGAAAAGAGGAAATATCTACGTCGAGGACGACGTCTCATTGGCAAAATCTACAATCATCAATCGTATGACTATCCTGGGTTCTGGTACTAGAATTGGGGAGAACACTGTTGTGGGACAGAGCGTTATCGGCAGGAATTGTGCGATTGGAGACGAGATAGAGATAGAATGTGCACACATCTGGGATGGGGTGACTATCGGTGATGGTTGTAAGATCAACAACGCAATTATTGCAAACAACGTCACATTGGGGAATAGATGCATCATTCAACCAGGTTCTATCATATCGTATGGAGTCAAAATTGCAGGTGGAACAACCGTGAGGGCTGGTAGCAGGATATGCAACTCCAGTAGTAAGAGAAATGATGATGATTCTGATGATGAGAAACGAACGGATGAAGATTTGGTTGGGATTGGTGGTATTGGATTCGAGTATGAGGGCTCGGACGATGACGATGATGATGACGGATTGGAGGGCTCGTTGCGTGACGGATTAGGTGAGTGGGTTCCTGGTAAGTTTTGGCTAGGCTACGAACTGACCATTTCTAGTATTTAATATGAATCATTCTAATCTTTCTGATTCCTCGATATCTACTATATCGGATGACGAAGACGACTCAGAGGACGACATGCCCGGCTTAAAAGCAAGGCTAGCTCGCTCGGACTCTGTCACTACCGCTGGATCCGAAGACAATGATGAAGCGGAGTCGTGGCATAAAGAAGCTTCTCAGTCACTATTTTCTGCTGTCGAGGGTGACCACCCCGTTGAAGTTGCCTCACTCGAGCTTAATGGTTTGCGCATGTCTGCCAATGCCTCATGGCATCAAGTTCGTCGAGCTGTCGTCACAGCACTCGTTGCCCGTGTTGAACAGCTAGTTTCCAAAGCCTCTAAGACAATTGCGGCGGCCACTGAAACTGTTTTCACACGATGGAGCCCACTTATCAAAAGGACAATCTTTGAGCGAAAGGATCAAGTAGACTTTTTGCTCATAGTGCAGAAAGAGTGTGTCGACAAAAAGCAGGGTCCCGCACTTCTCTTTGCCATTTGCCAAAAAATGTTTGAAGCAGATTTGGTCGAAGAAGTTTCAGTCAATGCTTGGTGGGCGGATGAGAGGAGTAGCACTGATGTTGGCGGGATGGCAAATGTTAGGAAAGTTACCAAGGCCTTTGTCGAGTGGCTAGCTGAAGCGGAGGAGGAGAGTTCTGAAGAGGAAGATTCCGAAGAGGACGACGAGGACGACGAGGAAGAATAGAAGGGCAATGTTGACTGAATTAGGACCTCTACAAAAGAACCACAGTAGCATTTTTTTATTTTTATTTTCTCATCATTCGGCGTTAGTTAGATACAATATGTTTTTATGGTCCTGCTCCATCTTTGCTCTACCCTAGGAATATTCTGGACCCCACGTAGGGCCCAAGAGGCAGCTAGTATTGCAAAGTTCGGGGATGAAAGGATTTATATAAAGCTTCGGGTTTCGGTTTTTTGTACAACAGTAATTTCTATCGCAAGGGGAGCGGATTAGATACACGTATAAATTCTACAATGATTAGGGATTGTGGTCATTTTTATCATGATTAGATATAAAGTACAAAAAGGGCTGCCACCCATAAGCTCTGCCCGCCCATATGTTTTTGCTATTCATAGTTGCCTTGTTTCCATCCTATGGGTCCGGTGTTCTTTGCTGAAAGTATTCTCAAACTACTGCCTCTGGGGTCCCACACTAGGATTAGAAACATTTCCTGCCTTCCTTCTGATTGCCTCAATCTGTTCCTGAACATTTATATTCTGGAGCTGCTGATGGCGAACTGCATCCTTTGTCTCTGCAGATCCATCCCAAGAGCCACCAGTTGCAACACGTTTCCTACGCTCCAGCTCCTCGGCGGAGATATTGTGACCACCTGTAGAGTCAAAGAGATCGTCACGCTGGGAAGCAAGACGTTTCAAGTTTAGGACTGTATCATTGGTGGAGATATTAGTTGTTAATTGTTTGGCGTCGGCCCGAGCACGTTGTTCTTTCCAGCGGGGATCAAGCAATTCAACTACAAACACACGCATTAGTAAAAATAAATGAAATATAGAAAGCAAAGGAGACCTACTTCTCATATGGTCTTCCATTTCATCTAACGGAATATTCTGTCCACAGTTCGGACAGATACCGAGCTGACCTAGCTGTCGCTTTGCAAGCGCGCGAGGTACATAGTCACTCCTGATTTTCATCTGTCCTTGACCAAGTCCCTGTTTAGCCGCCTCCTGCGCCTGTCGTTTCCTATCTTGCTCGCGCTGCCTCTCGCGGTCCTCGTCATCACTGCCTTCCATCTCCATTTCCATACCGTCCTCCTCTTCTGCAACCTGTCGCTGCTGTCTTTGGTGTTGTTGGTATGGAGTCTCAATAGGCTCTGGGTCAGAAGTGGGCATAGCTTCTTCTATCCGCAGGGCTGATGGGTGTAGTGACATAAGTGCTTTTTGTTCTAGAGACGCGTGCTGTAGATCTGATAAGGACGTCGGAGGTGGAAGGTCAGTCTGGTCGTCGGCATCAGTAAAGACGACTGTTTCAACAACAACGAAGTCATGCCAGTCGATTTGCGCATATGTGAGGCGCTCCTGGTCCTCTTCTTCTTCCTTCTTCTCTCGTTCTTTTTCCTGGAATTTTGTCCACTCTGCGCGACCCCGTGCTCGATCAAGGATGTGGAATTTATCTTTAACGTTCTTCTCAAGTTCTTCAACAGAGACACCCCCGGAGGGCGTCAAGAGTTCTGTGTATTGGTCTACAAGACGTGAGAAGTATTGATAAAATGAGTGATTGGGGCGAAGGAAATCAAATTGGAAATTGCGAGCTTCACGTTGCGACAGAGTTGTTAAGAACGAGCGACCATGTCGTGCGACGAATAGCGCGGTCAACCGGAGAATATCGAGATCTTGTGCGGAGATGTTTGGCATCCGGGCGCTGAATTTGAACTCTGGCGGCTCTGCAGGACCTTGGGGTTTCTCCGGTTCTACGGGCTCTGGTTTGCTTTCTGCGCCACCTGCACGCCCGGCTGCGAGGGCGGTCCCGCGACCAGCACGGATCTCTTCGAGGCGCCATATGTAGAACTGGTAATATGAATCGGCTGTATTAAGGAACGAAAACTTAGGATTGTGTTTCTCCTTTTCGCGGATACGTTCTAGTGAGGGTCAGCGAATTGTTACTCTTTCTCTTGAAAATACCGCTCGACTGACTTCGTGTGATCCCCTTACCACGAATCAGCCTCAGAGGAAATTAGAGGGGATAATAGGTATTGAGATACTCACGTTCAAAGACTTGCCCGTTACGAGCAACGTAGCCAGCAGTCTTTTCAACGATGGCTAGTGAATAGCACGAGAATTAGCGTTTGAAGCAACAACACGCGTGGAAGAAGCGCACCTACCTCGGAGGTCTTTTGGAGGGAGGACAACACCCTCTGGAGGACGATTTATTTGTTCCAGGGGGGCGAAAGCCTCTGCGGGAGGTGGGACTGCAGCTGGCGACATCTTCGCGAACAAGCTATTATAACCAGAAGGCGAAGGGATCAATCAATATCTTGGATTGTTTGAAGAGAAAGTGACAGGAACCAGAAGCTACATACATACAGGACAGGCAAATTACCCTGTTGCTCTCGTTACCCGGCCGTGTAATAACAAAGTGGATGTCAACCCAATACACCGTTTGTGGAGTCAACCTCGAAACATTCAGACAACGCGCCCCATACACCCTACAATACAATCAAAAGGAAAACTATCCAGTAATCTCTACTGCTGTCCGCCATGAGTGTAAGGCGCTCTATCTGTGTTGTTTTGTGCTTCCTTGAAGCTTCTATTGGCTAACATGCTGTGCTCAGTTTGTTCCTATTAACCCTCGACCTATGCTGCAGTCGCTGTACGTTACCCTCCTAACATCCTGGCCAATGAATCTAGGAACGGAAGGAAATAAGCCGATACTAACACAGGTACTGTGCCGGATCTAGTGTCAATAAGCCTGTAGTCGTGCGCCTAAAGTGGGGACAGACAGAGTATAAGGGAACTCTCGTCAGTGTTGATTCCTACATGAACATTCAGCTTTCCGGGACGGAGGAATTTGTCGATGGCAAAAGCACAGGAAGCTTGGGACAAGTTCTCATCAGGTACTATATACCACCTCCCTTAAGCAAATGCCGATGTGTAGGGTTACATTTTACTAACAGTGCGTAGGTGTAACAATGTCCTGTGGATATCTGAAGACAAGAACGCGGCCGAAAAGGATGTAAAGATGGAAGACTAGAGAGTTTGGGGGCTTATGGGAAATATTTACTTGGAGTGGTGTTTTTCTAAAAAAAATAAATACCAAATGAATGGCACAGGGTGCGTAGAAGCTTTATCAAACCCAAATAAACAGTATTGTGCATATATCTGAGAATTGAGATAGACGCAGACAAATTTCACGTCAGCCCTGTCCTGAAATGAGCGTACTAGTGATCTGGTCAGGATTCGATATGAAAGCTATTGGTAGCTGGAAATCCTTCAATCTTTTAAGCCTGGGAATTCCTATCCAGAATCACCTTCCCCCACACCACTACACGTCAGATTATCTCAACCGAGTTTCTAAAGGAGTTCCTCCCAAAATAAAAACCACTGGCAATGCTGTTGCTACAAATATCCGTCCGAACAGTTGAAAGGTGGAACTGATATGCCAGCAATCTATAATAACATTGACTATACCTTCCTCAAGCCCCTACAGCCCACCTCAACTATCCATCTATATCACATGTTTCTTTTTTGTCATTATGTCGAAAGGCCTATTATTCACCTCTTTTTTACAAAGAATCGGTCAAAAGCTTGTTCAGCTTGGCCATCTTCGAGGAAACGGAAAGGTCGATAGTCCTGTCACCAATTTCGACAACAAGCCCTCCAACAATATCGGGGTTGACCTATCGAGATTAGAAAACAATCGTAGATACGGATGTTTATTGAATATGTACCTTGTTAACGACCTTCAACTTCTTGCCCTGTCCGACATATTGGGACTTGGAGATGGCGGTCTCAAGACGACTGAGGAGCTTGGAGTCGAGGTTCTAGAGGTACAGCGTTAGTCCAGCCCAGCCTTTTAGCCCCTTCCTGACCAAATATATCCTTTAATATTCCTGCCTACACAACCACATCCGTCCCCGCACCTTCCAATTCACGTATTCTTCCATAAATGAGTATTTGGGGATATCCTACAGTAGCACTGGTAATTACTGCCTCAACCTCTCCTCTGTGTGCCCCCATAAGGATGGTGAACTTGTCGATAACACTTCCAATGAGACCGAGTCTGTTGTTCTCTGCGAGAGCCTCGAGCAGGTTCTTGACTGTCTTATCACCACTAATCGGCTTGGTGATCTGGCTGATAATTGCGGACTTGTCTTCGGCGCTCAAGGTAGGCGATGAGATGATAGAAACGAGCTTAGCATCGCGGTCAAGGGTTGCCTTGAGGGTCTGAAGAGATTTGTCGGTGGTTTCGAGAGATGAGGTTTTGGCTGATGCAGTGTACTATTCGGCCGGAAGGGAGGGTTAGCCGAGTGGACATTTCGATGATTGATGTCCCATTTGTCTACACAAAAGAAAAATCTTTAAAGAACCCCCCCTCTTCTATCATACTCTCCCATCGCCGTCCACCTCACACTACAAACCATTGTAGCACAAAGTAGGGAAACCTCCCCATCAAACATGAGCCGGGAGAACCCACCAAAGCAGAAGCGTAAGTACCATCGACACCAAACAGGGCAACGGGCGGCTTAGCCGATGAGGCGGCAGCGGCGTAAGTCCTGACGCCGGCGCGGGGGACAATTGCCCTAGCAAGGGAGGCGGTGCGGGCGGAAAACATTGGTGAGAGCGGAGAGAAGGGTACCGTAATGGATTGGATGAGAACCGGGCGTCGGAGCGATGATGATGAGTTGAGAGAAAGAATCGGGGTCGCAAGGAAACGAAACGGGTTCGATCGGAGGTTAGGGTTATTCTAGGTGGTGGAGCTGATCATGGCGTTGCACTCGCCCCGCACCCATCACACCGCCACAGGTTGAGCCACAGCCGAGATCATCCGAAGAGTTGTCTAGTAAAGTAGTTGCTACCTCATGTATATACACCTATAAGGTCTACCGCAGTACAAGGTGTTTAGAAATGGGTTTATTGTTATTTATCATTCTAAGAGAGATTTCACGGTGCTCATTAACACCAGAGTCCTCCCAATGGATCAATACTATCGCTTTACTGATTCGCAAGCCC